CACACCGGTAATCAACTTTCCAGCCTCACGTTCACACTAAACAACCATGGACAAACTTTCACCTTAAAATCCCCGGAAATTAGTAATTATCTTTTGTATGTCGCGCCTATACAAAAGGTACATAGGCCTGATATCTCAATTTTCTGAATTTTCTTTACCGTCGACATAGATAGGGAAAATATAAGTACACATATATACTGTAAAGGAAGTCCATTTCATTTGATGTGTTCAAAGAGAATTATCAAGTATGATAAAAGCTATAGACCATTCGCACGTTTACATACAACCTCTTTTTTTGATATGATTCTTGTTCTCTCAGTTAGATATTATGGATCAATCTTAGTATCAAATTATTCAAATTGGACTTGCATTATACATTCGAACTTCTATTCTCGCTTTAGCTAGTTCGGGGGTGCAAAAACTCAGGTTATTGAGATATCATGCATATATACCTCTGTGCTGTTGTATGGGCGTGTCGTAGTATTACAGATCCCATATATCTACACCATACACGTAGGAGCCACAGCTCGTTGGTAGGAATGCAAATAATATTGAATCGAAATTGACATGATTTGCTTCTGGCTACCGTATCAAATGTTGCTACATAGATAAGTACAAACATCCACGGTCTGGGAGAGAGAGGTGCAAGCAAAGACGCAGGACGATCACAAAATGAAAGGGATAAATTCAATTCTATCGGATGAATCCTGTTTTGGGGGAATCAAGAAAACCAGAGCGAGCAATTCAGCCCATAGGGATAGATAGTAACATCATAGACAATGTTGAGGAAATGACTCGATTCAAGGTATCATGTATCAAATTGAAAAAGCATGGGATCTGCAAAAAGGCGGAGGGAAGGAGAAGAACATATGATCAGGCGAACATCGAGGCAGTTATTTACACGGAGTAGGGAGAAAGGAAGGAGTAGGTATAAGTAGCATTACGAAGCCGGGGGATGGTTCTTGCGGAAGGAGACCTTCTCAACAGCGACATTTTCCACCCCATTGGCATCGGTCTTTAGCTGATAGACGTACAGCACAAGGACATCGCCTTGGATCTGTTCAGGGTCAGCATGTACACTATTCTCCAAATCCGTCAAGGCAACTCACGTCCATCAGACAGAAACTCGGTGTAGGCTCCTCGCCATCTGGCCAGAAGCCCGAGCTCATAGCACCCGTTGCGCTTCCCGGGTTGATAAAGAACCGACCCTCCATCTCAAATGCCTCGAAGCGGTGGGTACCACCCCACAGTAGGACATCGACATCCATCTGGCGGGCCGCGATAAGCAGTGCGTCGGCGTCGGCGGGTGGCACGATCGTATGACCATGGGTGAAACCAATTCGTAGACTGCCATGGTTCACGATCTTGGAGAGTGGGAGATTGGGAGAGTCGACATCGTAGTCACCCTTGACCATCTGGAGGTCCGGGGCTACCTCGCGAAGGAAATCATAGGTCTCGCGGTCAGTCAGATTGCCCAGACAAAGGGTCTGGCCGATTTTGCCGGGAGTCAGGAGTTTGCGGAACTAAAATCGACATTGTCAGCAGGCTGGAATAAATTGCGACGCAGAAGAAAGACGGACCTTGGCTGGAAGATCCTAGACGATGTGTTAGCGGAGATAGTGAAGCTGAGCTGAGGACAGCTTACAGGAGCTCGGTCAGGGATGAACAGGTCACCAATGACCAAGACCAAACGGGCGGTCATCCTGGATGGTGCGTGTGGGGTAAATGGAGATCAATGGTCCATCCACGGTGATCGGAAATCGGAGAAAGCCAGAAAGAAACAACGCCTGTTGGCTTCAGCCTGATGGAGCTTCGCGGGGAAGAGCAACTAAGCTATGCCCTAAGCCCTATTCTGTGTCTAAATGTGGCTTAGCGCTATCTGTTCTATGAAGCCATCCCGATCATTTTGTTTCGCATTGGCTCATCAGGCCGAACGTCTCGTCCGAATGCTTTTCGGTTTAATGAGTCCAATCCATGCTCTACCGGGTCTTTCTTCGAAGGTTTCCTAACGCTTTGCGGAGGTCACCGGAGAGCAAGAGGGGGCATACTACATTGGATTTCGAGGGTCGAATGGGGTCGCAATTGCCAGGCAGACATATTGAGATTGATCTACAAAATAGATGTGATATTATATACGCATTCAACTCAGAGAGCAAGTCTACCTAGTATTCGGATACTCCTATCTCCAATATATGTGCAGCAGACAGTTCTACAAAGATATACAATTTCTCTTCAATTCTCTTCAATTGCTAATAGAATGACACAAAATGCCATAAAACCTGCAGAATACCCCAGATATTGTTTAATATCCACACATATCTATAGAACAACACGTACAGCGTAGGACGTAGACTGTTGGGGGAGTCAATCGGTAGGATCCGCCCGGCCTTCCCTTCTCCGACGTCAAAATCCCCAAAGGAAAACAAACCCCCTTCGGAGACAAGAGCGTGACTCAATTCATAAATAGCCCTTCAATTCTCCCTCTCACATGCTCTCGGTTCTACCATCCGAACGAACAAATCATCGAATCCCAATCGGTATCTCGGCCAATCCACTCGGCGGCGATCCCCGAAGTCAGCAAAGTTACCCTCGGGAACTCCAATACCCTTTCACGCGAAAAGTACCCCGCGGCTCGCCGCAATCGGAAAGCTGGCGTCCAAAACGACCACGGAGCGTCTGAGCCTGATTTCCAGACACCTGGACCAGCGCCTCCCGTTACCTGACCTCAATACTCCCTTCTCGACCGAGAGAGATTCACTATTCTCTGACGACGTCGAATATAAACCCATTGATCGCTCCATTCTTCCTGCCTCTCTCCCAGAACCAACTGCCACTATGTCTGCTCAAGCCCCTCACAACACCCTCCTGATCCCGGGACCCATCGAATTCGACGATGCCGTCCTCCAGTCTATGTCCCACTATGCGTGAGTTATCCAGCCCACAATGCCATTGCTACAATAAACAACCAACTAACTTTCCCAGTGAGAGCCACGTCGCTCCCGGCTTCGTCAAGGTCTTCGGCGAGACCCTAACTCTCGTCCGCAAGCTCTTCCAATCCACCAACCCCACCGCGCAGCCCTTCATCATCTCCGGAAGCGGCACACTAGGCTGGGATCTTGTCTCTGCCAACCTGATCGAGCGCGGCGAGAACGCCCTCGTTCTCAACACCGGATACTTCGGCGACTCCTTCGGCCAGTGCCTCGAGACATACGGTGCCAACGTGACACACCTCAAGGCGCCCATCGGCGATCGCACCTCGCTCGAGGAAGTGGAGCAAGCCCTAAAGCAGAAGACATATAAGGTCATCACCCTCACACACGTCGACACATCCACCGGCGTGCTCTCGGACGTCAAGGGCGTCGCACAATTGGTGCGCCGCGTCAGCCCAGACACCCTCGTGGTTGTGGACGGCGTGTGCAGTGTCGGCTCAGAGGAGATCGCATTTGACGAGTGGGACCTTGATGCGGTTCTCACAGCTTCGCAGAAGGCCATCGGCTGCCCGCCCGGTCTGAGCATCGTCATGACATCCGGCCGCGCCATCCAGGCCGCCCAGTCGCGCAAGACCCCGCCCGGCGCTTACTACGCCTCCATCGCCAACTGGCTTCCCATCATGCAGAACTACGAGAACAACAAGCCCTCTTACTTCGCCACCCCGCCCACCCAGCTCGTCCACGCCCTGCACACGACCCTCACCCAGATCACCGCTGATGTGCCCGGCCGATTCGCTATCCACACCGAGGTCTCGGATAAGGTTAAGGCTGCTGCTGCCGAGCTTGGCCTCAAGCAGCTTGCTTCTCGCCCTGAATGCCAGGCTCATGGTATGACTGCCATGTACTTGCCTGAGGGTCTGGTCCCGGCCGATGTCCTGCCTGGTCTGCTTAAGCGTGGTGTCATATTTGCAGCTGGCCTGCACAAGGAGATTGCTACCAAGTACATCCGTTTCGGCCACATGGGTGTCAGTGTCACTGATCCCAAGCGTGGTGATGTTGACAATGCCCTGGCGGCGCTCAAGGAGGCTTTGGCCGAGGCCAAGCAGGCTAAGGGTCTGTAAGGGCTGTACTTAGGTATGTTCGATGTAAATAGGATCACTAGGACTTACCCAGAGTAAGCCTTGCGGATTATCTTTTGGGTAAAACTACTGCAATGAATTATTGACTATAGACAATGTTTATTATATTCCAAGCTTGTAGAAACTCCCTTGTTCCAAGGTTGAGTAGGATAGTAACGTGACCTCACTTTATAAGTTAATGTGGTTATTCTCTCCAACATCGTACAGAAGTAATAATATTGCTGTTCGCTTTGCCTTTCCTTTAATAACATTCAATCCTAGATAATCCCACTGTCCGGAACTACCTCCTACCCCAAACAAGAAACAAACTAATCTGCAGGTACCCGCCGATCCTCCACATTCTGGGATCCTCCCTATTGGCGCGTCTACCCAGACCCAAGACCCTAGCCGAAGTATGCCCCAGACTTGTAGGAATGTAGTATAGCAGGGACTTTGAACAGGCAGTAGGAGTCAAGAATGTAATATTATGCCAGGAATTACTACATACAATTTTCTATTTCACCCTACTAGCTCCTAGTTGCTGTTAGACAAGCTGGAAGCATGCCGAGGCCCCCCTGCCACACCCCTAGACAGCAACGAATTGACCAACCCTCTCTTGCATAGACGCGGCTGACCTCCAAAGTTTCCATTGTACATAGCAATATAGAGTAGGTTAGATATAACCAGGAATGTTTTCTATCGCAAGCTGATTTGAGCACTAGATTCCCACATGGGATCTCCCCGTGTTTTCGATAGAGTTTCGCCAGAGATGAAGGTACAGAGTAGGAATGGAATGTTTTGTCTTTGATAGAAATGTAGCAGTGGATATTATTTCGTTTATATCTGTATGCCCATCCATCCTGTATATGTCTGTTCGCTTCTATTATAATTCATAAAGTAGCAAGGCTTCCCAACTGCATGACAATATCTTAATATAAAATATCTCCTCAAGATGCATTACTTGAACTCTACCCTTCCATTTATCTTAGCAGCCGCTACCTTCGCCTCAGCGGATACAACAACAAGCACAGTAGCAGACAATGTGGTGAATACTGCATGTGCCTCAGAAAGGTAGGTCGAGTCGATCCACGGATACCCATCTGTGGACGGTCATATTAATTTCAAGTTGAGCCCAAATACTAATTTTTCAACCCAACAGCATCCTACAATGCATCCAACCAATGCAATCTAACTTGGCAAACTGCGCACCGGACGACTGGAACTGCCAGTGTACTAGTAGCGCGAATGTGGTGGAGTAAGTCTCGTTTAATACCTGGGTAATTCCCAAGACTTACCCTATACACCACCTCCACACATCTAAATAACACATTGACACTAATACCACTACAGTTGCTATAACAACTGTCCCGATGATGCATCGAGAAAGGACGCCGAGTCCACCCACCAACAAAACTGCGCTAATGCCAAAGCACACACGCCAAAATCAACGCCGGCATCTGCTATAACCTCTAGTAGAGCCGCGGCTACGAGCAGTACTGATATTGATGACGGAACGGATATCTCCGACTCCGAGGCTGAGAATGATTCCGAGGAGGGACATCCGATATTGTCGTATAGTGGTTTGGAGGCTAATTCGATCCCCCGTCCGGAAGAGGGGACTGCTTCTGGTTTAAGGATGGGGGGTTGGCTGGGTTTGCTGGGGCTTACACTGGGGGGTTCTTTTTTAGTTCTGGTGTTGGGTTGAGGTTCTTGTCTCTTTGATATTACTGTATGTATGCTCGTATACCATATAAAGATGGGCCTATAAAGTCTTACTATCTCATCTCTCACATAATGTACTTTATTGTTTTCTTTGACAGTTCCTTCAACTAAGTAACGCAAGAACCAGGAAATAAAGAAAGGAATAAGAAACCTTTGTCCCGAACTGCGTAGTCGTAAAAGAACAAACTTTTGTCCGTGTCCCGTATCCTGCGACGCACTATGCATCATGCTCAATGACTCGAACAACTTCGATTCCGTTTTTTGTATTTCCCACTGGCTCTCCTGCCATCCAACACAGAATGGTGATCCAGTCGTCCAAGTTATTTTGCACTCCATCCTTAAAGTCCATGATAGGTGACGATCGGACTTGGAGAGCCTTAGGGTTCTGCTTGTTGTGCCAGATCTGAAGGATGCGAACTTGGAAATCCGACATCAAAAAGACGGTGATAGGGATGTATCGGTGGTCGTTATATCCATCTTCGAGTCGGCGCTTGGCGATCAAGCCATAGGAAAGAGATACCTCACCTGAGTTGAGGCGATCAACACGGTGGGGCTGCGAATCGGCTACGAAGGCGTCAACTGAAATGAGTCTGCAAATTTGACCCGAGCCCTTTGGGTCCCAATTTCTCGATCGTTCTCATTTGAAGTAGGACTGAATAAGGTGAGGCACCGACGACCGAGCATCCATGGGTATCCACCGACATACTTTCACTGCTATGGGCTCGCCTGGTCATGTCCCTCGGCAGTAATTGTCGTATGTAATGCAGAGGACTTTAATATAATCAATGCTATCCAAGGCAAACGAGACTTGTTTGAGGCAAGCTGGATGAAGCGCTTATTATTACAAAGTGGGTAATTCTTGTAAATCTCTATTTCATGAACTAATATGCGCTACCCTTGAGAAAGCTGCTAAAGATGCTATCTTTCCGATTACTCAAAACCATCGGCTCATCCATCTCTACTATCTTCCCCCGATCTAGACCGACAATGAGATCATAAGTCAAAAGAGTGTGGACCCGATGTGCAACCGTAAGGACTGTGCATGTGCGAAAGGGATCCTGTTGCAGAAGGTCTTGCACACGAGCGTCAGTTTCCATATCGACGCTGCTGGTGCCTTCATCTATCAACAAGATCCTAGCGTTGCTTGCTTGTATTTTTAGCATTGCACGAGCAAATTGTAGCAGTTGTTGCTCGCCTCGAGATAGCGATAGAATATCATTTATCTCGGCGCCTAGCCCGCCCCTTTCGAGTAGCACACCATTCCAGAGCCCAACTCGGTCGAGAGCAGCGATGATGTCTGTGTCAGGGAGGGTTTCGGTGGGATCTAGATTGAACCTGACTGTGCAGCCAATCATGATGAATGGTGTTTGGGAAATGGTGATAAGCCTTTCGCGGACTTTATCGGGGGGAAGAGTAGCGAGGTCAATGTCGTCGATACTGATTGAGCCGCTGGTTACGGCGAGCATTCCCAACAAAGTCGAAAGTAAAGAGCTCTTTCCACTAATTTATTACGCGGTGGAAAGTTAGCCAGGACTGGTTATCCTAAAACCAAATAGGACTCCCAGGAAGCTGGTGCTTACCTCCCAGTACGTCCGTAATTACCGACTTTTTGACCTGGCAAACATTTCAGAGAGATATTGCTCAGTACTGTCGCTTCAGAACTGTTCGTAGTTTGTTAGTTATGCGAATCAAAAGTGGCGATAGCTCAGATGTCTTGCGGGATACATACTTGTACTGCGCAGCCATCCCCGAGATCTCAATAGCTCCCTGACCTGGCCAGTTGACGGGAAGTTCTTAGTTGAAATTTCACGAGGAACTGTGAGTTCGAAATCTTTGACGCGTAAGATTGAGCCAAGGGATATCTCCAATTGTGTCCAACCCGATATAAGAGATGAAAGGCTACCATTGAAGGCTTCGTGGAGATAAGTTAGCTGGCGAAAGTACATCTTTGTCACTACCCTAAAGGGGCAGCTTCAGAAAAGTAAAGTGCCATCGGAAAGACATACCGAGAATGCTATTGAGCGATACTCCAAGCAATCCGACACTCGTAGTATGTCTTAAGGACACTGCCAAGCTGACGACAATGACCGCCTCGGCAGCGACGATGAGGTCCAAGACTAAGGTAAGCCAGCGCTGAATGCAATTAAGCATATAATACGTGCGCTGAGTAACATCCAACAATTTTGAATTGACGATTCGAAAGTCTGCTTTCCAGCCAAATGCCTGAATTGTAGCAAGACCCTCGACAGTGTCCAGAAGATGGGAGTATAATGGACTTCTGCTTTCCAGGTCCAATAGTCGAAGCTGTCGTGATGTCTTCAGATAGAAATGCTGTAAGAGAAAGAGGGAGATGAGCAGGAAAGGCACAGATATTGCCATGTACTTCGATCCGGTCGCAATTAGTGCAGCAGTGGCAATTGATGAAAAGAGATCTGGATTCATCAGCAATAGTATCGAGAATTGGGGAGCGATAGTTGTTAGAAAGCCTTTCCCGGGGTTGAGTGGAATGGCAGGGGCCTTACTCGAGACCGTAATTAAGACGCCAATAGGCAAATCGCTTTCTATCAGGGTCATATCCTGGCTAAATCGGTTTAGTATTGAGCCGATGTCAACGGTGGCTAGAAATTGAGGCGTTGCCCTTCAGGTGTCAGCAGTTGACCGAGACGGGAGTATAACGGAACTGAATGTACCTCATGACAGTCTTCAGTACGACATAATGAAGCCGGCGCGCTGTTGATGGCGAGATCAGAATGAGGATAGCCCTATCATTTTGTTAGGAGTCAGCCACGATATATTATGGAATAGAACGATTCACCAAACGTAACCACCATTTCCGACAGTGTTGCAAATGGCGAGGAAGAAATACACCGTGACATAGAGTGCCTTTTGGCCTCCGCCACGATCAGCCCATCGCTTAAGCCAGATTTCTAGTAGAAAATAGATGTCAGTGATATCGGGAATAGCACAAGTGAGAATTCACATACGACTGTATGTGCTAGCGAAGACATTCATTGTCACGAAGAAGATAAATATTACAGCGTTCGTCCACCCAACGTAGCGCAAATAATACGTATAGACAGCAGAGTCCCCTGATGACCTCCTGAGATCGTCGATCTCATTCGCTTCTGAGATCATGGTGGCTTTATCCTCTGTCGCCAGCTCTGGGAATCCCGTTGACCCCTCAGCTTCCACAGCGTCGGATCCCATTTCTTGGTAGATATTCCCCTCGCAGGGCTCTTCTTGGCGAAGACGCCCGTCTGAAAGAACATAAATCCGATCCGGACAAGGCAGCTGCTCCACTATTAGGATGTTAGCTCGTAATAGGCGACAAATAAACATTGGCTGGGGCCCTACTCTCATGTGCCACCAAAAATATTGTGGAATTTGCTTTTCGGAGCAGTCCATCAACTCCGAAAAGACGTGCTATGATAGTAGTCTTGGTTTTACGGTCCAGTGCACTGAATATGTCGTCTAACAGCAAAAGCTGCCTGCGAGCGTATACCGCTCGAGCAAGAGCGACCCGATGCATTTGACCACCGCTCAGTCCATGGACAGATCCGTGTCCAATTCGCGTAGCGTCTCCTTCGCGAAGCAGATCCAGGTCCGAATTGAGAGCACATGCATGAAGAACAGCCGCATACCAGTTTTTATCAAATGAACCCTCTTTCACTGGACCCGCCGAGAAGGTTCCGCAGATTGCATCGCGGATGGTTCCACTTGGGAGCCACGGTGTTTGCGCGCAGAAGGCCGGTTGTTGTATGTTCACTGTCTTGGATCCACTCTCGCAAACTGCTTGGCCAAGTATAGCCCGAAGCAAGGTCGATTTGCCTGATCCAACTGGCCCTTGGATGATGACCAGTGCCCCGAGAGGGACTTCTAAATTAACATCTCTCAACACAATTTTTGCTGATGGGAATGGGCGAATGTTGAAATGTTTCATGGAGATGACAGGTATTTGAAGGTTGGTAGTGTTTGGTGAGCCCGTGAAAGTCATGTGCTGCATTTCGACGATATGTGACGATGCATCAACTTTCGTTTCCTTCGTGCGAACAAAGCCATCCCCTTTGTGTTGAGGACCGGTTGCGAGCAGAAGAAATGCTTGTACTCTATCAAAGCATCCTGTCGCAGCCGCTATGGAAGGAATAGCGCTTAGTAGCTTAGAAGCTGGATCAGTTAGAAGGGTTATGATGGACAGACTGCTGAACGCCTTGGTAGCATTCAGTTCGTTTCCTTGAGCAGCGTAGACGACGAAGGTCAAAGCTGGTGCTAAGGCCCAAGGCAGATTGTGGATCATATTCTTCCAGACCACACTCCATCGGTACTTGGCCATCTGCTGGGTCTCATGGACCCTTTTCTTCTGTACGAGCTGAATAAAGGTTTGACCTAACCCAGTCCCCTTGACTGTTTGGATACCGACTAGCATCGAACGGGTGATCGCTATGCGTTGCTGCACGGCATCCACCCATATTTTCTGGTATCCTCCTATATGCTTCGAGATATAAATAGCTCCTCCACTAGATACTATTATCAAGTTTTAGCAAATTGTAGCCATATGTGAATTGAGACTGGAATCCTTACTGAGAACGATCACTAACGGCATTAGGCAAACCCATCCTAACCGAAGCGCGAGTAGCGCAATGCCAATGGCCACTTCAATCGTCCGCGCCCAGAATTCATTCAAAGTAATTAGACAGTCGATGATCCGGTCAATGTCGGTAGTTATTAGAGTAATTGTGGCAGAACGATCCTCCAGGGTGCCATCGGGGATGTCTAAGGCATGGGAATAGATCATCGACGAGGCTGCGCCTCGAAATATTGTCACAAACCGATACAACATCTGGTCGTATATGAGGTTCGAGAGGGCCATTCCCAGATATATTAGAAGTGTAGCGCCGATAAGGCCGTAGCCGGCATTGCTCGCGCTATACGAGTTATCAAGCCAGTTGAGAACAGATGCGATCAAGAAGGGCTGTGAGAAGGTAAATCCGATCAAGAATAGGCGTGGAACTACTATCAGAGCAAGTGGTCCCTTGAACGCTAGGCCCATTTGCCATGGAAATTCGAAGCGGCGCTCGGGATTCTGGCGTAGAGCCCAGGCTCTTAATGCCTTCTGCGCCGTTCCCGCGGACTCCAGGGGCTTGTCGAGATGATCAAGATCCTTAGTAGTAAGCAAAGAGTGAAAGCCCGTGACAAACAGACGGTTTAGCCACCACATGAACGATCGATTGACAATTCCACTCGTCGACTCCGGTGTAAGATCTTGATAGGAACCGATGAGGTGTCTCTGCTTCCCCAAGCTCTCGAACAGCACCATTGCTGTTTTCGCAGCGACACTTGCGGTGAAGAGACTAGGGATCAGCGAATTCCCGTGAGATAACCATAAAGTCCTTGTCTGCACAACATCCAAGAGTAGTGTGAAGAGAAGGTAGATGGCGAGGAGTGATGACGGTCTAACGGATCGCTCATCTTCCACCCACGACAAGACCACAATTTCCATTGCCACTACCAAGTTTATTGCACTTGATGCCACGGAGAACTTTGTAATTGGCTGCGTTTTCTTTGTCCAGCTGATGAGCAGGGCAAGTTGGATTGCGGCGAAAACCAAGGCAGTTATCTGAGGTGCAATTGACGTTATCTCGTGTTTGACGCTGCAAGTAGGGATATGAAAGTGCTTACCAGCTTTGCTAATCTCATTACGTGAGGCTGAGTCCGCACATCTCTCTTAACCAGGAATTGCAATCGAAGAGGACACACGAGGAGAAATGCGACCGCAGGAACGAGGCCAAATATGACTTGCTCGAACAATAGCGTGAAATCAAAGCCATCACGGCACTGATGATCTACCACAGGGCCGAAACTGTTGTCAGCCTGGGGCGAGCACTCTGGTGCCATGATGTCGTGGTGTATTCTTTTTTCGCTCTTTTTTTTATTTTCAAAAGATGGAGGTAAAGGGAAATTACTTCATGTTAAGTAAGCTAGCGAGCCCCTGTCGTGTCGCCTATCGCGCAATCGATGCCTTGTCATTACTGATTTTTACATAGACCCGATGATAGGTTTTATGTTATAGCAGACAACGTTATGTCTCCTTTGTTTGTCCGCACTGTTATCATGACCATAACGTCAAATAAGGAAAGAAATAAAAAACCTATGTTTACCAAAATGTGTATATGTATGCTATCAAACCCAGTATCTATATCCGCAGCATCTAAAAGGGGATCGTTCATACTGGTCTGAGTTTCCATATGTGTCTCCGAGTCCTTCGCTGCAGGGACTATATATGGCAGAGCCTCGCTGCTCATGATTCTGTATGTTTTGCCACCATGATTAATCTAAATTCCCGGGTATTTCTAGGGGAGGTTCGAAACTTTCCCGGTCGCCCGTCGTAGTCCGTATCAGCCTCCTCATAGTACCCCAGGAAATTCTCGATCTGTGCCGATCTTAGACTGTTTGGGACCCCGCTCTTTTACACATATATGCACTCTACTCAATATTTGGTCTTAGAACTGAATCCTGATTTCATTGTCCCAGTACTCGTACTTTTCTTGACCTTCCCTTGGTCTTCCAGTCTTCGGTTTCATCAAACAGAGTTTAACGGCTTCTGAAATCGCACAATTCATCGTCGGTGGTGCCCTTAGCTGGAGCTATTTTTTTATTGAGTACGATACCCTGATACATCGCCCCGGAGGTCTTGTCGGAGGGCTCCCGTCAACAATTTTTCAAAGCAAGGATGTCTCATATTCTATGCCAACGGTGCCTATTGCTCTAGAGGGACATGGGGTCAATTCCCACCTCCAACACCCTCGAGATCATTTTCAAGTCCAGAGAATTCCCTGTCTGAAGAGAAGCGGAGAGGCATTGACGGTTTGGTTAACGACTCTCTATTTTGTCTTTCAGATATGTCTATCTATAACTATGAAACAGGTGGATTTGTTGGCGGCGAGTCTTCAAGAACAGCAATACGCATTGCTGCCAAAACATTTTGGGCATGACTGAAGTGATCATGGTAGTCATTGTAGAATGCAGCAGTCCCATCGGTCGCAAGAACTTGATGCAACAAATCTTTCCCTCCAGGATGCTCTCCCATAAAATCAGATATATCATGTATCACGCCATTGATGCACACCAGACAACAACTAGTGTTAGCCTGGTCAATGTATTCTGACCACTTTATCACTAGAAGGGTTGAAAGATCTTCGTGGTCCTCATCCACATACTCAACAGTCTCCCCATGCTGAGTTCTTCTTTTTTGCCGCTGGTGCGCTCTCCTAATTTCAGATTCCGTTGCCATTACTGGGTTTCTTGCAAGACCAAGCTGGCACCATAGTAAAATCATCCACTTGGATAGGTCGATATGGTACCACTACACTCCGGTGCGAAAGTCGTTTGGGAAAGTATGATGAAAGTTATGATATCCTTCTCTATGATTTAAAAATGAAAGGAGAGAAACGTCCACTCCGCTATTCTTATCTGAGTAGGTCCTTTTACTTGCCCACTCGGCGTGCCCGATAGAACCGGAGAGGAATGTCACCTAAAAGGTGAGGAAAAGACGAAGGACGCTAGTATAAACTAGGCCTCGCCAATCATTCTATCTAAAGTGAGCAATCAAAGTTGGTAAACCAAAACAGCGAAGCACGAAAATAATTAAATAATGCTTTTATTGCCACCGGACCACGGGATCTTCTTTTAGGTCTAAGATGTTAACAGAGCCCTATGTTTTGTGCATGTATATTAGGATCCAGCCTATATAGCGAAAGAAAAATCCCTTTCTTACATCATAGGGATCTTTGTCTGTATTAGTATACTAGTAATAAGCACGATGGTGTGTGACCCATTCGACAATTGACCGTTATAATTGCCCCCCCCCGCGGGGGGGAAATTGCTAGAAACACCCTTAGTGGAAGCGAGGCCTCGTATTATTTATGGGTCCACAGACGATGGTATCCTGCAAAACAATATAAAAGTCAGATTTCCGAGATTGTCATACTTCTGGGACTCGTAGTTCTGAAGAATAAACCGGCCGTGAGTCCGAGCAGTCCCATTAAATGGAGCACGAATGTCAAGACACCCGTTTTGAGTCTCAAGGTTACCGAGGGAATATATAAAACTAGAACTCCTATAATAGTGAGGAGCAAAATGAAATGTAACAAGTGTAGATTTTGATAATAGTAACGCCAGGATGGCGTGAACGGGGGGTTCGCAGACCGGGAAGAGTTGGATTGAGCTGCCATTGATGCGAGGCCTGTGACTTGGGTCAGGACAGAGTCAAATGTGATATCTTTGGGTTATCTTTTATAGGTTAAACCGCCTCCTTGCTGCCCTGCTTTATTCGAGTTCATTTGTGATGATATATCTCAGCATATGATACGACCTCGGGCATTTCACTCCTTCATTGGAAAGTGGATATGTATAATATAGTCCAGAAATCTAGACAGATCCAATGGCTTGCATATATGTAAGGGTTAAAAAGTAAGGGTATGCTCCAAAATTATGGTAGCTGAATAGTGGTGGTCTGACTAATCCTCTGCCGTACCTTCCTTCTTAGGCAACACCCTTACCTGGATGGCGTTATGCCCAGGGACTGTCTGGCCATTAAAGCAGTCTCGCACGATGGTCACATTACTATCATCAGTGTTGTGAAGCGCCCAGTCAAATCGGCGCAATAGAATGGCCAGCCCAATGTAGAGCCAGCAGTAAGCCATACTATCTCTTGTCAGTAAAGCATACCTCTAGCAAAAAGAATAATGCATTAGCTTACTTGGGTCCTAGGCATCCCTGACTGCCTTTTGAAAATGGAACCAGAAAACGTTTCATCGCCGCTGACGGGGATATCCATCGTTCCGGATGAAAAACCAACGGATCGGGATAAATCTCGGCATCATGTAGGATAAAATGATTGGACATACTAACAGTGGTCTAGCACTTACGGTCAGTGAACGCTCTGTTTTCTAATGGGGGGATAAAACGAACACCAGCGGGAATCTTCCAGCCATGGCAGACTAGGTCCTCATCGGGCGCAATTCGGGGCAAACGTGAGGTCACCACGGCAGATAGTCGCAGGCCTTCTTTGATCACAGCGGTCTGTCACCGTTAGATTGGCCCCTTACTTAGTATGGCGCACCTACCAGGTAGGGTAATCGTTCCAGCTCCTCCCACGAGGGATTTGTATCTGTGTCTGGAAGGGCCATTTGCAGCTCCTCTTTGAGCCGACTGTGGACGTGCGAGTTGTGCAGAATATGGTACATCGTCAGGGCCATCACTTGTGATGGTGCGTCAGTCCCAGCTACCAGCAGGAACTTGGCCTCGTCGGTCAACCGGGCTAGCGTGCGCTCGCCGGGGGGCAATTTCTCATTGCGTATGAGATGCGCAATAATGGAAGTTTTGTCATCTGCAGAGGTTCTATAGACTAGTCTGGCCTGCTGTTCAATGTCCTAAAGATTGAGATCACCTTAGCACAATATATCCATTACTCGCGCTCGAGCGTAAGGTGAAGAAGGGACCCACCTTTTCAATTGCATTGATATGGAGAAATATCGGACAGAACCAGGTAGAGACAGATAGTGGTAATACTCTTGATATGGTATACAGCCAAGGGAAGTGACGTGTGATCAACAGCATCTCGAAGATGCTATTAACACCTTTCTTCCATTTGTCGCTCAACATTGGCTCCTGTAGCGTGTTGAACTGATAGTCTGTACCAAATACATACTGCGAGATGGTGTCGACAGCAAAGTTGACGAAGCAGGTATGTAGTTCAAGTGCATTTCCATTTTGCTGCGCTCGTTGAACATGCGTACATAGTAGATGCATTTTGGCATGTATGAGCGGCTCGCATGCACGGACGGCGTTCTTAGAGAAAAAGGAACTTAGACCGCCACGCCTCACACGGTGGTGTTTGGCTTCACTTGATGCAAATGACGTACCTGGTGCAACAGAAGACATAAACCAGGGGTCCTTGTGGCGGCACCGCGTCGGCCCAGCATATAGTGTGTCATAAAAGTCGGCGGTGTTGACGTGGACCTCATTGGGGCTAATGCGCACCAAAGGTCCATACAGCTTATGCAGCCGCTGGATCTCGTACATAAATTGGCCCCCGCAGAACACGTCGAAATAAGTCTCATACCATCGTGTGATTGCCGCCAGTCGAGGGCCAGGAATGCCTGCCAGGGGGCTTAAGTTGAGATTGTAGATAGCCACAGAGAGCAGTAGAGATATCATAGTGCCTACCAGACACAGGGCAGCAATTACGAGCACCATTGCGTGAGGGAAGTTGATACACGATGCTCCAGAGGTTCGGAATCAAGCCTTTAATACTAGAAATGGCACAAAAAATCACAGCATGCCAAGCAAGAGCGGTATTGGGAAGGGTATATTGCGATATAGGTTAAATAACCCCATGCAGCAGTCAAAGCATGTTTCGAACCTGCTGCAGCAAAGTGGCATGCCGATCCTTCAATCCTCATGTCGGACTCTTGTTAAACACCCGCCATTACAAGATACTTTCGACACGTTCCGGTAATCTACTGGCTCTTTTATGGAAAACAAATTATCGCTTCTGGATTGGCGTGCGAAACTAAGCAACTGTACGTGCCCAGTATAATTAGCGTTTTTGGAAAGAAGATATTGGCTCACGTATGGATATTGTCGTTATTTTCTCATTTCCCTTTTTTTAAATTTTTTTACTTCCCCCCGGCAGGCGATTTTCAAAATCAGAAGCCCACAGTAACAACACTATACTCCTAGTCTCAGTGGTAAAGAATATCCGCCAACGGGCTCTTTGACCTCAGGATCTGCCGTTCGAACAGGAAACAAGGTTACAGTGCGATTCCTGCAAAGTATTGACAAAACTGGTCATTTGGTTTAGGTGAAGGTGATTAGGCCACACTTAGGTACGAACAGTAGGTATCCTTCAAGGTAGTAGTTACTAATAAATTTTGGTTTTAAACGCTTTTTAGTCATTTATTCCACGGTTTTTGTAATCTGACTTTTCGTAGTCCTTTCTAATTAGCATTATACCATAGTTCATTGATATACATATATGGTGAGGCGACAGAACACAGTAATGGTGTTCGTCTGTAGATCCAAATTCAAGGCTATCTATAACCTCTGCTGTGGCCAAAGAGGTACTTGGAGTAATGACTATATGCTGTATTACATTATTTTTCTTACCGACATTACTCGTTAAAGGCTCACTTAAGCTAAAGAATCTAGATCCTATTCTTATGCTTGATGAGTCTCCTAGTAGATCTCTCGAATGCTACATAAATCGATTTTTTGTCACTGCAGATCATTATCGGTGAAGATAGCGGCTGCATAATAACCTTCGTAATTCACAAGCGAGCTGCGCAGTCCGGGGCACCATAGTAAATGCGATATACGCTACATTTATATCTCAACAACCACGTTCTTGTTTTGTTTCATTGCTTGTCGATAGCTATTGATAAGTATTTTTAGTAGCATATATTAATTTCGAATAAATCGAAAACTTGCAGTGTTATGGTATAGAAAATTACAGCGCTGAACTTCATCAAAATATATATCTCAGTTACCAAATCATCAAATTTCTCGAAACTCTCTAAAATTGCTAGATGTCGTATAAAAAGTACTAGGCTATAAGGAAAAGTCCCTATAGACCACTGTTGTTGAAATAACGAGATCTAATTTACCGCATTTACTATATGTATTGGATTGCGCAGCTCGCTTGTGCGCGCAGCTCGTATATGAATTACGTTAGCGGCAGCATAATAAAGTCTTTCTTGGTGTGACTATAGCTAGCTGAGGCATTCCCCCTTTCGTGTGCACCTCCCCAGCATCTATAAAGTAGCGCAGAGGCCACCTAGCCTGACAAGGACTCTGCTCTCCAGTTGCTCTATTATCATGGATCTTTTCACAGCCAAAACTGCGATTAACTTCGCCCTTCCACCACTGGACCTTTTCAAGTTCCCCCCAAGCCAGCCTCACAAGCCGGCCACACGTCTCCCTCTTCCGCCCACGGATACTTCCGCGGCAATGTTTTTCCAGCCGTTTATGATCAATCCGAAACTTTTCCGCCTCTCTCTCGATCTTAAGCTCGTTCTCACTTTCGCGACGGTATATACTACCACAGTTCTACTTTTGAATCAATTCAATACTACCCGACAGTATCGGCCATGGGCTTTCAGCAAAACCTTCATATTCAAGACTCTAGTGGTAACGCATAACGCCTTCCTAGCGTTGTACTCTGCATGGACTTTGTGTGGAATGTTCTACGTTCTATATAGCTATTGGCCTTCGGCAGTAGCAGAGGAAGGACCTAATTACTACGCCTGTTTAGCGGAATACTTTTGTGAAGTCGAGTCAAGTTCGTTTCTCGGTAAGCCTTTGATCATCAACTAGGATCTTATATATAACAATCAGTCGTCTAACCGCTTATACCTTTTCTTAGTTTTAAAGAGCTCAAAAAGTTTTTGGGAAGGAGGCTGCGGTTACTTAGGCTGGCTTTTCTATATGAGCAAGTTCTACGAGATTATAGACACTCTGATAATTCTCGCACGCGGGAAAAAAAGCTCAACTTTACAAACATATCATCACGCCGGTGTGATTATTTGTGGATGGGCAACGATGAGATATGAATCCCCGCTGGGCTTTGTTGCGGTGCTATTGAATGCGGGAATCCATACTTTGATGGTAAATCGGCCCAACCGTTTGTCTGCGTCGATATACTATGCTAACAATTTATCATCATATTCTAGTACTCATACTTCACCATCCAAAGCCTCGGGGTTTCTGTCTCTATAGGTGTTAAGCGCGCTCTAACCAGCATTCAAATCGCCCAGTTCTTAGTGGGACTGGCCTGGGGCCACTGTGTGCTCTTCGTGCGTTATAAGGTCCCTATAGAGGTGGCAGAAAACAGTCTCAACAACGACCCGGCGCCAACATTGCACTTTCCCATAAGCCACAATACCTCTTCAACCGGGGAATTTTATGGCAAGGCCGGAAAATTGGCTAGCGATAGTAGAATTACATGCTTGAGTGACAGTGGAGAGGCTTTCTGCCTTACTGTGGGAAGCATTTATCTCGTCCCTTTGATCATCCTTTTTGTGCAATTTTTCATAAAATCCTACAAGACGAACACGAAGCCGATTTCTCTGAATCAACAAAGTCCTGCCGCTAAGAAAACTCATTTTTTAGCTCCCACTAGCAAAAAGCCAGACGGCGGCAGTCAAGAGTCGTTGAACTTAAAAAATTCAACCTATCTTGTCGGAGTTCCTTTGGTAGCTCTGATTAGTCTTTTGTGGGTTCCTCTTCGTAAAGAGACCTTTTGTTTTGCCTTTATCTATGGATACACACGAGCTCTTGCCGTGACGACTGGTGAGTTCCTCTAACAGTCACTTCTTTCCCGTTGCACTCAAGTAATGAAATATCTCAACAGGTTATCATCGCCTCTGGGCACACAGAGCTTATACTGCTAGTCCACTCTTGAAAGTGATTCTTGCGGTCATCGGCGCTGGCGCGGGACAGGACCCTATCAAAAAATGGTGTCGCGACCACCGGGCCCATCATCGCTATGTTGATACTGATCAAGATCCGTACAATATAAAACGGGGATTCTTCCATGCGCATATGGGATGGCTCTTGTTTGAAAAACCATATTCCCCATATGACGTCTCGACTACACGCCACGTGGATATGAGTGACCTCAAATCTGATCCTATCGTGGAATGGCAGCGCAAATACTATTTCCCCCTGGCATTCCTTATTGGTTACGTCCTCCCCACGGTTGTCTGTGGCCTATACTTTGGTGACTATATTGGTGGTTTCGTCGTGGCAGGCTGTATAGGCACAGCCGGTCAACTACAGGGCGTATTTTGTGTGAATTCTGTCGCGCACTGGTTCGGGGATCAGCCTTATGGAATCGGGAAATCTCCCCGAGATCACCCTTTGACCGGTCTCCTCACCCTTGGAGAAGGATATCATAATTTTCATCATGAATTCCCAATCGATTATCGGAATGGGGTTCGATGGTATGACTTTGACCCGACCAAGTGGTTGATCTGGACGTGTTATCAGATTGGGCTTGCCTCTAATCTAAGACGTTTCCCGCAAAATGAGATTCAGAAAGGGAGGCTACAGCGAAGACAGGAGAAATTGGAGAAGGAGTGTGAGATGGTTGACTGGGGTGTGCCGCTGGAGGAACTTCCAGTTATGGAGTGGGAAGAGTTCCAACAACAGGCGAGGACAGGATGTAATCTCATAGTTATCAGGGGGGTTGTTCATGATGTTTCAGCTTTTGTGACAGAGCACCCGGGAGGTACAGCCATGATCATAGGGGCGATAGGGAAAGACGCAACCGAGACGTTTGAGGGAGGGGTATATGGTCATTCGGGGGCGGCCTTTAACCTTTTGGATACGATGCGGATAGCTGTGATTAGAGAAACCCATTTAGGATAGAAATTACTGATAGGTGTGGAGAAATTGATTCCGGTTGAATAGTGTTGAGAATACGGAGAAGAGGATATAGATTATTTAGACAGCATCAACCAGGTTCAATTGCACACCTACATTAAATCGAGAAATACGTGTCCTCATAGAGACGTGAATTGAGCAGATCGGTAGCATTAGGGCGTTGCTCGGCTTGTTGGAGAAAGTGGGACAGGGAGCGTAGGATGTGTTGGGCCACCACAATGGTTCCGTCATAGAAGGTGTGGACCATGTTGGAGTAGGAGGTTTGATGTATGAAATCTTGAGAATAGGATTGAAGAGTTTTAAAGTGATATGAAAGTGCTTACCAGCTTTGCTAATCTCATAATGACTTCGCCATAAACCGCAATTGGGGCCAAACCTGTTGTGGTGGCCTCAGGCCGCCAGTGATGCCTCAGGCATCAACCCCTCGTTGCTAGATAGATAGTCGGGCTGTTTGCTCCCAGTAGGAATCAACTCTCTCCCTCCTTCCCTTTGGCCCCTACATAGCGTAGCGCCCAAGAGGTTATGAGCCCTCTGCTTTTCAAAGCTTTCATCCTGTAAAAAGGAGGCATTTTCATCTTTACTTTTTCATCTGTACTGTGCAGAGAGAGTCGCAGTGCAGAATTTTCATCTGATTGGTGGAGCAACCCCTCTGTGGGACCACGATCAACCCTTTCGACCCCACTGCGGGAAAAACCAACCAACCATACGACGGAAAAACCGTCCAATCAACATCGATCTACATAGATCAGATCATTCAACAACATCAAAACGACCTTTGACCACCGGAGTCAGCAAAAATGGCATCCAGCAATGGTGGTGAAGGACCCTCAGGGACCAATACAGGCCCCGCGACACCGATCGCAACCAACAACACAACCACTGCCCCCCTGTACGGAACTGGAGCACCAGAAGACAGAGACTGGGACACAGTGGAAGACGTGACAGATACAATCGGAGATCAAGGTGAAGGACTGCCGGCGATTGGCAGCTTCGTACTTTACAAGCTTGAACCACTTCTCAAAGAGAAGGAAGATTTCGACAACTGGTTCAATGCTGTCTCACGAATCCTCGAAGGTCACGGCCTTCAGCGTCTAATTGACAAAAACATACTACGACCAACCCGAAACTCACCGAATGCGGAAACATGGATGAAGCTTAGCATGCAAGTCAGTTCCTGGCTTCGTATCTGCATTGACCCCGACGTCGCGAAATACATTACTTCGAGCGGAAAGCGAACCAAGTGGGCGGATGACTTTATGCATGAATGCAAGCTTCACATGCGTGGTGAGGGACATGGCGCACTGAGTGCAGCAATGGTCAAATTTATGGGAACGAAGAAAGCTGAGTTCTCAACAACCACAGAGTTTATTGAAGCTCTACAACAAAGATTCAAAACGGCCAATGATCTTAAAGCCGGCCTACCCCCGTACGCGGCTATTGTGATCATGGTTACGCAGCTACAGGAGATCACTGAGCTACGTAGCGCCATCGAGATCAAGAACAACGAGCTGAAATCGATCAAAGATCCGTCTGCAGAGTTGACAATTCAGGATTTCTTCCTATACTGCTCTGAGATGAAGGATAAGATCAAAGAATTCGGCATTGACGGCGGCTTCGGTGCCAATGCGACAGCCACAAAGACACCGAAGCAGGGACAACAGCAATCCCAGTCTTCAACCGAGAAGAAGGACAAGCTTACCAATGCTCCCCCACCCGGTAAATCAGCATGGAAGCATGTTAACGAATGGAAGAAACACAAAACCCAGCGTACAGCTACTGGCAATTGCTCCTATTGTGGAGGACAAGGCCATGATGCTAAGGACTGCTACTATCTAGTGGCTGACGATCGTCCTTCGAACTGGAAACCGAAGCCTGGCTTATGGTACTGGAAGATAAAAGAGCACTTTCATGAAGATAAAAGCCAGCAACTGACGGGCAAGCCTACTGAGCGAACCAAGCAGGCTAACTTCGACGCCGTCGCTTCATCTGCAACATCAAAGGATGACAAAGTGTACGACTTCGCCGGCATGGCGGTTGCACTTGACGATCCAATTGTCAATGCAGTTGATACTGCAAACAAGATTCAGACCGAAGATGTCTACGCACCAGACAATATTGAAACGGTCTATATTCCAGACAACATCCAGACTATCCTGGAAGATGACACCGAGTCATCTGGCTTCGCCGGCTCGGCAACAACTTCATCTACTCGCCAGCTTCGTGCCGGCATTGACTGGATCCTGGATTCAGGATCATCGTGGCATATCTGTACAAACAGAGAGCTCTTCATTACATACGACGAATACAAACCTGGCACAGCGCCAGGATGGGATTCAAGCACGGGACATGGAGCCGAAGCAATTGGTCATGGAGATATCATTCTTCCGATTCGAAAGCCAGATGGTTCTCGCCATGAACTAAAGCTCCATTGTCAATACAGACCAGGCAACAAATTCAGCCTTCTTGGATACCTTGCCGCTCACATAACACACGGCATGATCTGGAACCCAGAAGACATGCTAATCAAAACCAAAGAAGGGACTGTTGGCTACACATTCGTGGCGAAGAACGTCCCATTCATTGAGCTTGCCAACGAGCCATTCCCAGTCCAATATCAAGACGATGACAAAGAAACCGGTGTTGCATACACAACGATCTCTGCTGAACTAGCCCATCGTCGACTGGGCCATGCCGGAAGCTACAAAGGAAGAATCAACAAGGACAAGCTTGGTTGTGACGTCGGTAGCGAGCACTATGACTGTGAAGCATGCGGCAAAGGGAAGTCGAAGAAGATCATCTCCCGGGACCGCCAAGCTAGATCAACTAAGGTTGGACAACTTCTTCATGTTGATCTTCATCCTGTCAAGCCTAAGGGTATTGGCAAAGACGGCAAATACGACAGAGAGCATACAATGATCATCACAGATGACTACTCTCGATTCCGAGTGGCCCTTCATCTCGCCAAAAAGAGTGATGCTTCGCGAGTCCTACAAGAATGGACAGAGCAATTTAAAGAGCATACTAGTTACTACCCCACTGAATGGAGATTTGACAACGGCACAGAGTTTCACAAATTCACCAAGTGGGCAAAGAGCAAGTTGATGCTTGTCAGTCCTTCTGCGGCGTACGCTCATGAACAAAACGGCGTATCTGAATTCAGCGGTCACTATATCATGCAAGTGGCAAGGACAATACACCTTGACGCAGAGATAGCACCGAAGGAGCTGTGGACAGAGGCAGTTAGCGCCGGCACCTACATCATCAATCGACTGTCTCGCTCGGGGGGTGAAGCACCAATTCTAGCTTGGAGAAAAGCTATGAACCTTCGTGGAGACGAAAGCACAGTCAACCTGTCATTCTTACGAGTATGGTACTCGAAAGCTTACGTCCATAAGCCAAAAGAAACCCGTATTCAAAGCATGAAGATGGATCCTCGAGCATGGATCGGTTATCTGGTGGGATATGAAGGTGACAACGGTCATTGCTACCGCATTTACAATCCTACCACAAAGAAGGTTTCTATTCATAGAGACGTTGTCTTCTTTGAACCAAGAGCACCACAGTCGTATGACGGTGCTAATGACATCAAGATCGGTGAGGAAATCATTGATGGACCGCCGCCTGGCAAGACACAGTTCTCAATCAGCGAGCCAGTTTTCAAAACGACTCGCCAAGCGATGAAAGATCTCTCTGTTGCACCAATTACACCAGGAAAGATCATTGGAGAGATCACTGATCAAGGACATGTTAGCTCAGGGGAAGAGCACCAGGATCACCTGGATGCTTCATTGTTTTCGGAAGGAAGCTCTGTCAATACAGAGGAAGCTGAATTGTTCTACAATACACAGGAGGATACCCTAGAAAATAGGGTACAAGCATTACGACTGAAAGAGCCAGAGACGCCAATTCGTCAAGTTCAACAACAAGCTTCTCCTCCAAGAACAGGGCAAGTTCACCAGCAACAAGCTTACCGTCAAGAGAGAATTGACTACCCTGGACTGCCAGAGATCTATGAAGAACCGGCTACGCCTTCTCCTACGCCGTCACCATTGACAGGCACCCAACAAAACCAGATCAACCTCGCGAGACAGGTGGTTGAAAACGAGATCCGACCATCACCGAACCCGGCCCGTCTCGATCCACCGGAAAGATTCCAACCTACGAATGCGACCCCCACTACCACCGCCGTACGACGATCTCCACGATCAACGAAGGGCCAGAGCCCAGAACGATACCAAGACTTGAAGTGGAAGAAATACGGCGAACCGGACCGAAGTGGAGGATCACAATGCGCCGTGGTAGGATCGGTGGCAAGTGGTGGAGATAGAGATGGAGACATGGGATTGATGCCAAACGACTACTGGATGAATTCGCCATTTGGCGTTGGTTTTGCCATGTCATCGACCGAGACAGGACCTGATCAAGGCTCTATCCCAACTAGTCAAGATGCTACCTCAACGGGACATTTGAAATCATGGCAAGTGAAGATTCCACGTACCTACGCGGAAGCGATGGCATCTCCACATAAGAAAGAATGGCTTGGTGCGATGCAGGTGCAGATCAAGAAGCTTCATACCGCAAATGCATTCGAATACATTGATCGTCCACCATCTGGAGCTACCATTCTACCCGGCAAATGGGTGTTCGATCTCAAGATCGATAAGAACAACACTGTTCTGGAATTCAGAGCCCGATGGGTCATCTGTGGAAACCGTCAACGCCCCGGATTCGACTTCGACGAGAACTACGCGCCAGTTGCAAGAGCAGAGACGATGAGACTCTTCTTAAGCGTCGTATCTATCAAGAATATGATCCTCGAACAAGTGGATTATACGGCAGCCTATCTCAATGCAGCAATTGACAACCGAGCGATCTTCATGAAACAACCGACAGGCTTCGAAGAAGGAGACAAAGTCTGTATTCTTTTACAAGCCCTTTATGGCCTTCGACAAGCTGGTCATCTGTGGTACAAAACCATTGCCACAGCATTGAAAGAGATGGGATTCCAACCGCTTGAAGATGAGCCCTGCATTATGATCCACAAGGAGAGAAACGTCTGGATCTTGCTCTATGTTGACGACACATTGATCGCTGCATCTGACGAAGAAGGAATTGCTTGGTTCAAAAGCAAGATCCCATTCAAATACCGAGATCTCGGCAAGCCAGATCGCTTTCTGGGTAGTAGCCTCTCTCGTGGTAGACATGGCATATTCCTCAGCCAAAGTGCATATGCAGAAGAAATCATCGTCAAAGCTGGCTTGCAAACTGCAGCTGCCGTCTATCTCCCAATGAAGACGACATACAAATCACCAGCAATAACCAATTCGAAAAACGACAAGGATGTACGGAGAGATGACAACGATCTCCAGGAAGATCAACCTTCAATCTCAACTACAGAAGCAAAAGCATACGTTGAAGACATCGGCAAGCTAGGATGGTTGACAGATAAGTCTCGCCCAGATATCGCCCTCGCAGTCAATAAGCTTCAACGACGAGCATCAGCACCAAGACAGGAGGATGTCGAGGCATTAAAACAACTGAATCGTTATGTGAAAGGAACAATGCACCTTGGTATTTTACTAGGTGGAAAACCAGAGGAAGGCTTATATGGCTATGTCGATGCTTCATATCAAGATTGTGAAGACGGTAAGAGCACGGAGGCGTTTATCTTCTATTACGCTGGTGGCCCAATCAGCTGGTCATCTCGGAAAGAAGAGATTGTCGCGAGAAGCAGCACTGCCGCCGAGTACGTCGCTTTTGATGCCGCGATCAGGGAGTGTATGTGGTTGTTGAAAATCCTGCACCAAATGGGGATCGAACAAGAACTTCCGATCACACTGTACACCGACAGTGATAACGCGGTGTCGATCATGAAGAAAGATAACTACGCAAAGGGGACGAAATGGATTGACGCAAGATACCACTTTGTACGACATGCAGTCAGAGAAGGCATCGTTCGACTGGAACTAATCGCAAGCGCCAACAACATTGCGGATACCCTGACGAAACCACTCGCGAAGGAGCTCTTCGAACCAATGAGAGCAAGGATGATGGCGAAATCAGCCAATGACAACGACGTTGAACGATGAAATTGATGAAGGATGAATTCCAACATACATACAAATGAAAATGACAAAAACAAAGGGAATGAATTGAGAAGAAACCAGTGGAAAATGAGCTGGAAAAACCTACAAAAACATGTGATTTTTACTATGTAAACCGGAATGGTTGCATATGTTAGAGAGAGATTTCCTCGGGATTTGTGCCTGGGGGGGTGTGTTGTGGTGGCCTCAGGCCGCCAGTGATGCCTCAGGCATCAACCCCTCGTTGCTAGATAGATAGTCGGGCTGTTTGCTCCCAGTAGGAATCAACTCTCTCCCTCCTTCCCTTTGGCCCCTACATAGCGTAGCGCCCAAGAAAACCCTCGCCCCAACCCCCAAACCGCAACCGCACTGCGGTTTTTGATGGGTTCTGTTGGGGCCCCCAAAAAACCATTTAAAACCCATTTTTGCATAATTTTGCATAATTTTACATAAAATTCATTATAATTAATTACCGTATTGTAATCAAATAGTACCGATGATATTTTTATCACCTATGACCTTAAATTACTACTAAATTAATGATATATTTAGATTTATATATGTATAAGATTTACCAAAATTACTAGGCCTGTAATTAATAAACCACTTGGGGCCCCAAGAACCATTGCGGTTTGAAAGTAAAAACCCATAAACCATTGCGGTTTATAGACCTCGCCCCAAAACCTGCCCCAATTGCGGTTTGGGGTGGGGTGGTTTATGGGTTTTGCGGTTTATGGCGAAGTCTAGTCGAGGGCGTGGATGTGGAGGGAAACGGGCGCGGGGAGGTGTATGAAAAGAAGCATACGCAATTTGTAGAGTAGATCAATGCAGAAATCAATGAAATGTACGATTCTTTCTCATTAAAATGCATGTTTTTTTACTATGTAAACCAGAATTATATGGTGGTGGCAGAATATATGGCAGAAAACTTTACAGTGGCAGAGAAGTATGGCAAAATTCAGTATCGCACCCGATCGGGAAGGTGGTGACTGAATTTTCAGGCAGGGGAGGTGGTAGTTATGATCCGGGGGTGGTTGTAACAACACCGTATAGAAATTATAGGGGAGACTAAACTCACAGGGTTTCAATCTCGTGAAGAGGTCACGCTAAGAATAGAGGTCCGTTTTTAGATAACATAATTTACTGTTTAATACGGGTAAGGTCTCGACCGGTCGGCGACCATTCATGCCTCCTCCGTCAACCGCAACCACCCGCACGCAGGCTTCGTTCACACATGTATACAAACCACGTACCATGTCGGATGAATCATTGCCAGTACTACCACCTTGAAAATCTCCATTATCCAAAGAACGAGTCGCTTTGGAACTACGACGCGTGATACTGCGACGACTGGCGAGCTGGTGCAGGGACGAACACGTATTGGATCAAAGAAGCAAGCAGCTAAAATGCCGCCAGAGAGTAATGGAAGTTGATGCGGGGAAATACTGAAAGGGAGCAACGGAGGCAGCGGGATCCATTCATTACTGGCGTTTCATGACGGTTATTCGTGAGATTTTGGGCACTTTCTTTTGGCAAAACGCCGTTTTCCTTTGTATTGGTTACTTACTGCGATCTGGGCCGCGTTTTTCGGTTAGTTAGCCCTTGCTTCCCCATCCGAAGGAAGCGCCTACATAGCGCGGCGATTACTAGCTGGGCTGCACTAGGTTAATAGAGTTATCATCATCATCATCAAGGGCCTACGTTGCTGAAGAAATGAACGGTATCCGGTTTCAATCCGGAATATGGCGAGTCTAGACCGTGAAGCTGCGAGGATAAATAATGGCCTACATGATGTCAATCAAACCTGACCCATGGAAAACTTTCCGCCCGATAGATGTTATGGATGGTTAGAGATCCTCAGATAAGGCTCCATTGACATCATACAACATAATTTGCACGGCATAAAGTCTGAATAACGCTCATCTGCAGAACAGAAGTGACACCACAAACAATGGCTTCGAAAAATCAGTCCAACATATCGAAAGACTGGGAAGGTCCCTCAGCACTAGGCCAGTACTATAATACCTTTGAGCGGATTTCAAAACTGCTGGCAGCTGCTAGCCAAGATGATGTGCAAGCTGGGTCCATAGTGGCTCTTCGATCAGTGGGTGGGTTATGCATTGTGCATGACGACCTTTTGGGCAAAGGCGTTGATGCCCTCAACGGCAACGAGAGCGTTCGTTTGAGAGATACCAAGGTACTTTTGGGTTATCGGAAAGGTTTGACAGCTAAAGAGCTCAGAGATTCAACTGCTGCCACTAAGGGCTTTTTACTTGCAGCTGCACTGAAGCTCTGTGAGTATGATGAAAGTGCTGCTGGTGAGACCCTTTACTACATGGCTTCGTCGGAGGGGGGAAGGGAGAAAACAACTACACCCAAACAACTTTCGAAGTTGATATCTGGTAGGTGGTCAAATGGAAAGTCATACTCGCAAATCAAGCCCATGAAGTCTATATTCAAAGTTAGAGCCTTCCAGCTAATTATAAAATAGTACTTTCAGGGCACTGTCAAGATGTTTTAGCGGAGACTGAAACTGATACCACCAGCAATCTGCTCAATGCTCTCTATGATTTGGGATGTCTCAACTCATATTCCCAAGAAGCCGTCTGGTTTCGATATCAACCGAGTAAATTTGGTGAAATCATTTGCAAAGCCCTAAGCGCTTTGCGAGACGACGAAATCGCCTTCATGGAGATACGCGGTTCCATAAGTCTATACTGGATTACTCTTTGCCTTTCATGGCTCAACAAAGACTCCGTGAGCCTGTTCTCAAATGGCAAATGCTTTCTCGGGAATAGCATATCCAAACTCAGGATCATTATTACAGAAGAGGGTCAAGAAGCTGCTTTGGAACCAAATTCTATCAACAGTCAAACAGCTGACTGGGCGTTCCACACATGGAAACAGAAATCGATCGTGCCTGATATTGTGACAAACGCGGAATCTCTTGGGTTCATTGAATCCGCCAAGTTGATTCCAGCAAGTGCTACCCGAAACTATTATCTTAACATCTTGGGCTCCGATGAAGCAGTGGCAATACTTGGCTTGTGGCACATACTTATATGACTGTTGCTCTTGATCACTCGATGATCACAGAGAGTCATATCGAGCAACCTTTAAGAACCGTCATGCGCACCTATATCATCCAGAATCATTTAGCAAAGTGTTCGCTGACTTCTTACGGATGGAATTCTTCTGCAAGCCTGATTCTTAGTATACCTGATTCGGTTAAGGAAGACTTACAGAACTGCATACGAGGCAAGTGTCGGAGACATACCATGGGTAATAGCCAGGAGGACTTGAATTCATCGACTCGGCGCGTGGAAATCCACGTGCAAGAGATTTTGAGCAATCCTTCTCAAGGACAACCTATGGAAAATGCAGATGGATGGATGACAGTAATTGCCCACGCTCAAAATCACTTGACAAACGTTTTGAGACGCCTTCCGAGGCAACGAAGGACAACCTATTCTCCGGAAATTTACAAGATAATCAACTCTGCGTCCCTCGCAATAGCTGCACAGGCTTTATTGAATATGTTTTTACGGTCCTCAAGTACTGGACAGGGAGAATCCTCCAACAACCTCCCGCTACATTTCGACGTGGACAAAGATTTTTCATCTTTTTGGGATTCTACATTTGGCCTGCCATCCCGTCCAAACAGGAATATGCCGCTTAGCGTTGCTCTCTTGAGGGCTGCCATTCTTAATGCCGCGCTTGAATTTCCTCCTCAGCTACCAGGAGATGCATCCTCAATTGCTGCATGCACCAGGGGCGTGTTGCCCTAATGGCCCCTTTGATGAGCCCTTCAATGGAAAAGAAAGGCATTCTTGATGTCTATGTCCGTCCAGGGACAGTAAACTATGAGGGAGATACTTTCAGAGCTATCGTCGAAGAGGTTGACTATTATACAGGTGATCTACACACGACTATTGACAGTGTAGATTGCCTGCAAACAGTCTTTCGGGTCGATGGTGACACTCTCCGCATGAGGACAGCAATTACCTGCAGAGACCCAAAACAACCGGCCTTTACTGTCTCTTACACGAAGTCGATTTCACAACTCGCGAGTACCCCAAAAGTCAATAGGTTGTCGGAAGAAGAAATGCGTCGTTATAATTACGAGGACACTGAAGAGCACTCTGAAGTTATGGGCGTAGCAGAACGGTCAGATTTGTGGGAACTCGTCAGGCAGCATGTCCCACAATTCGACATTCCGCCTTCGCGACCAAATCAAAAATTACAATATTTTGAAGTTGATCCACGTCAAGAAGCCCCTGCCATCGTCTGCACTCCGGAATCTCTGAAGCTCGAAATCCAGTTCTTTATCTGCTTCCCAGGAACAACAAGGTTAAATGATAAATTTTACATACAAGGAAATATCTCCCTTACTGAATGTCAGACAGTCATTCTGCGGCGCATTTTTTTCGAAGCATTATCATTTGAGCAGATGCACCGCGCCCTTATTCTTCCATTGAGACGAGGGGGGGAACCGGGACGCGCTTATACAAAGTTTTGCGTCCACAATACTGCAATATCTGCCAACTTGGCGTATCATAGCTTCTGAGAACTGAGTGACAATAGCACACACTATATTGTTTACAGTACCATCGACGGGGTCTCCGTTGGGACGGGAAGTAAGCATGCTATAGGCGGTCACAGTTTATTTAGATTCTCCTGATCCTCAGCCGATAACTAGTCGTGAAATGATATAAGCCATAAAGCAGGCCCTGGAGCTCTGGGGGTACAAGAGTGGAGGCCCGAACGAAATGGCATAAAAGTGGGCATTGCACGGGCTGGTCCAGAAGAACATCTTCCGGGTGGACAGGGTGAAATATTTCTTGTATCAGAATTTGGGGGTGCCTGCGTATCAGGAGTTCCACAGAGGGTTCACTGGTGTTATCATTTTTTTGCGGCGATGATGCACGTTGATTTTGGACATTTCATTGCTTGCGTTTAGATTATTGGCTTGTTAGATTATTGAATCTGTACATGTTATGAAATGCCGTCTAATCTCCCCCGTTTTGGTTTAGCTTTTCAATAAAATATCGCTCTGGAAGCATGCCATTTTGTGTATGCAAGTGCGGAGAAGACATATGCTGCTCATGAGCAGGTGGTTCAGTATGTCATGGTCGCATCGTAAAGCGGACGCTAGTCACATCACTGTTTGCTACGAGCTCCCTTAGCTCCAAGGTAACGCCATCCACTCAACTTAGAAAACTTGTATGGAGAAGCCAAGTGGATACGGGCCAGATCTCGATATTATGCTTGTCGCTGGTATGATCTTAGAGACAGGGTAGGGCAAAGGAGAGCAAGGGCATGAACCTTCATTTGAGTTTGTTCAGTGGGGGCGGCGGCAGCGGCGATTGCACCTCTTCAGTAGGCGAACCCACCGAATGAACTAAGTCATCGATACAGGGCATCTTAGACTCACGCATATCCGCCTCGTACTTGGCTGTCACATGGCCAAGTTACATCCAGGTTCAGCATTGATTCCCACGTCCACACCTCGCGAAGGTCATCCTCTTTACCAGGGGCTGGTGCAAGCTTGCCTAAAGGTGTCTCCCATGCTGTGTTGAGCCGCAGTAGGTGGACCAAACCAGTTGCCAAGAAAACCACAGCCTTACCTCCAGCACACTAGCCTACGGCATGCTCCTGATCACCCCTTCATGACGCCTATCGTGGCATGTAGAGATTGGCTGTTGATGCAAGTACTAATCTCTTTTGGTCAGATGCGGCAATAGAGATAAAGCGGGGTATTCTTTGCTTTTTCAACCTTTCCAGGTAAGCAGCCGTGTATTCTCAAGATTGGTGGATTTTTTGCTTTGGTTCACAGATTGACCCCTGGAGTTTGCTGTCAATCAGCCTCACTAGACAATCCAGCCTCACTAGACAATCGGTGGGAACTGGGATGGACGAACAATGTGGAATGAGGCAATGCCCTACAGAGGATTGGGCTTAGCAGCGGCGGTTCAGCCCAAATTTTTAAGGATAATGTTCGAAAGTAGTAGCTTTCTCTTTGGCTCTACCATTTGTCTATCATATAGCCTGGTTGATTGACACACGTTGGTGAAATTGAACTTTTTTCACTTTATTTATGATTCCCAGCGACCTCTATGCCTCTCTGACCGTTCTAAAGACCGCGCAAGCACAAGCTGGCAAAAATGGCGGACGTTCTCGCAGTGGCGGGCCTTGCCTACCCTATTGCTAAAGACCTCTTCAAGCTTGTGAAAAAGTTAAAGAGGCTCTATGAGCAAATCCGCAATGCGAAAAACGATCTATTCAGTGTGATTAAAAGAACGATATCAGTGGCCCAAACGTACGACTTTTTCAGGGACACCATGAAAGTTGCGAGGAGAATTCAAGAGCTAGCGCCCATGTTCAACCGACACCAACAGCTCATGAGGAGTATTGATGAGGAATCAAAACGAACCATTGGAAGGCTGAAGCATATTACCGGCAAGTTTCGCTCTCTCATAGATAATGAACCTGTCAGTACGGTCGAAAGATGGATCGCACAGTTTGAATGGTCTAGAGAGAGCAAGAAAACTGTTCCCTCTCTTTCCAAGATATGGAGGTACTAGAGAGGTCTATGAGAACAATTGGAACCCTGGTGCACATCCAGTTGCTTTCCCAAACCCACCGAAGGAATGGATCGGATGTAGTCTTGGCACAATTGTAATTCTCAAATATACCCCCAATTGATAGATGACGTGGAGTTCTATACTGATTATTTGCTGGCAGTGAATCTTTCAAGAAAATGCTGGGTATCGAATTCAATAAGCTTCAGCAAGCTCAACGGGTCCAAAAGAAGCTCCTGATGCAGCAACAAATATCGCCGAGTCAACATCTCGAGGCCAAAGAATTTGCGCAAAAAATAATGCAGATTTTGGAAAAAGAGATTCCTCGACTAAAAAATCACCAGCCCACTGAGAGCCAGTCCACGTCTGAATCGCGGTCGCCACCAAGCTCACCCATATCAAACGAGCCTTCGCCCATTACAACCCCCTCACCCTCTCCCCCTAGCAAATCTGGGAGCCAGACATCTGTCATCAATCTGCAGCAGGACGAGGATGTCTCATCACCCGGGAGGCAGATTTCGCAGAAAAGAAGAACTCAGTCAGCCCCTTCAGTGAGTACAACAGTCCAGAAAAATTTCCCAGCCGCATACTAATGGTGTGAGTAGCGAATCCCTTCGAGATCGTTGCCCCCTTCGCTGCTTTCAAGTGACGGAGAATCTGACAACCATGATGGTCGAGGCGCTGAGCCAGAAATGCACAATCAAAACGCAGGTCAAGATCAGGGAGGCGCATATATGCAGATGCCACCTTTTGGACCACCAAAATTGGTTTCTCGCACGTCCGTTAGACGACCCTCTCCTGATCGTCCCGATTCATCCAGCGATGCATTTGACCAGCAACGGACAATGCATCGTGGTGGCTCACATCCAGCTCGAAGAAGGCGGAACAGAAGCAAAATATCTGAATATGGCGATGAAGGTGAGGTAACTGCTACTCATAGAACGGGCAATATTGGGCTGCCATGAGGGAGGTGGAAAGGAAAATCTAGACCGGATCAGTAAATAAATGTTGAGCCATGAAGTGGGGATAAGCTTCTGCGTCAAGTGTCTGCCCCATTTTCGATGAACTGGACTGGAGACCCAAAAGCAAAAGCCCCTTCATATACTTGGACACAAAGAATAAATAAAATAAAGGACACACAACAGCATGTCTAAGGTGTATATGCCTAAATGATTGGACTATCTTAATAACTCAATTATAGTGTCGAGACCACTATAAGTACCGTAGGACCCCTACCGATCGGGCTAAAGTTTAACTAAGTATCGTAATGCTCCTCAGGACATATCTTGTGGTAAAATTAGTCTACCTATGGTGACTATCCCCATTTATATGATGAATAACTAGAAACAGGCATTCACAAGCCATGGCATTCTGTTATCCGAATCTTCAAGCGTCACAACCGGCCCTTTCTTGGGATCAACGAAGAAAATATCATCTAAGGAATCTAAACAATGCTGGATATGTTTATAATCAATGTCTCGAGGGCAGACATGTCGACCAGTCTCTCTTGCAATCCAGTACCTCCTCAGAGCGAGGAGACAATGTGCAGGATGAAAGAGAGGATCGGTTAGAACCCTAACCGAATATGCATTTGACCAAAAGGACTCGTTGAGATAGTCTCCGTTAAGCTTGATATTCTCTATTTCCGGATACCGTTCGCGAAACCATCGCTGATACTTCAGCTCCGTATCATCAATCAGGTCAGGCGCTACCATCGATTGGTCATCAAGCCGGATAAACCATGGTTGACGGATTGTTTCCTCGTCAAAATATTCCACAAAACGAGCCCATGGCTTGGTGAATTGGAGTTGATGTTTGAGGCCGATGCTTTGGCTGGTGTTCCATGTGAGCCAAAAGTCAGCCTCACTATTGTCGGAGTGCGAGCCACCAGGTGTGATCCAAACGCTGGCCAAAATTCCAATGCCCATTAAGAGCACCATGACCAGAAGCGAAAGAGGAAAAAACCATGGAGAACCTTGACGCAGCTTTTTCATCACATGTGTACGAAGTACCTGTGGTGTAGCTAACCAGCCAATTGCTGGAGTGTAAGACCGGTCACAGGCTGAAATATTCAAGATGGAAAGTAGATAGACATCAGGCGGGGTAGAATGATTTCCTTCTCTAAGTCCAGTTGGAACGTGAAGCAGACCGATTGGGAGTCAGATTGTGAGATGAAGTCCGTTGTACGGTCAACCATGTTCTCAAACGTCAAGTTTGAGTCATCGGAAATTTGAGTGAGCCACAACTTGAACTGTTCGCCTTCATGGATAGAAAGCAAGAGACTGGAGTTATGGAGAGAACTCCGGTCGACCATGCTTCTCGCCCACTGGCTCAGAAGACTTTCGATTGTACCCGAAGAAAATACACTCGCCCCCTTCATCATTTCGCAGGGGCCGGATATAAGATGCAATCCAAGGTCGCCCTCTTCATTGTCGCCTTTTGCCCGGTGATACGACCACATTGCTCTCGACTGAAATTGTACATGTAGGATCAGCGCTCAAATTCCGAAGAAACGACTACCAAGCATAAACGATGAGAATAGTTTATAAATGAAACTTAAGGCGGGTAGAACTAATCTGCATGTCTCGAATGCAATGCAACATCAGGAAATTCTTATCTACTTGGGCAGCTAGCAGTTGGGGAAATGAGAATTCCTCATAACTTAACGTGACGCTCACGAAGAATACAAAACAAGAAGGTCCGAGCCACGGGAGATAGTCCCCGTTTTAGCGTGCTTTGCAGTGGCGCTCAGACCTAGTGCTTATCTTACAATATGATCTACAATCGGAACTCCGGTCAAAGCTTCACACCCCTGCATCAGCTTTCTCAATACACCCCTCTTTGTATAGCACATGTATTATGCAACATGTACGGCCTATACCGCAACTATTCTATGTTCGTATTCAGAGCCACCCCGATTTCGTCCCCGACCCTGGTGACAAGAAAATCTCTCCACAGTGCTTGATGTGATGCTCAGAATCAGACCTGGGCTCCACGATCTTGCCATTGGATCGTGTCCGGAACTGCTTTCGCCAATAAAAGATGCAATGGATGGTGTGCCACTGGACGCTCATATGGACCAAAACCTCAGGGCGATCTCCCAAGGCCGCCACCTCGTTAGGGTCAATCTGGATAGTACGTTCCCGATCGGCGTAGTATATCCAAGTTCCATTAGAACCGTCTCCCATTGTGTTGAATTCTTCTGCTAATTCATCGTCAAGACAATGCTCCGGAAGCCAGGCCATTGCGAGCCCGTCGAATCGGCAACCGCGGGATATTGCCTCTGCGACGGACTCTCCACAGTCGCATCCCCTTGGCTCAATGCTGGAGGAGATTCGGCTTTTAAAAGGAATTTCAATTGCCTGCAGTGGATTCGCAATGATTGTGAAGGCGCCCCAGATGGCCAGCGAGTAGAGAAGGCAAGACTTGGTAAAAGTGAGAGAGGTGGCTAGTAGCGTGCGCCTCGGCTGGGTGGATTTTGACCGCTGGTCAAGGCCGAGCGCCTGTCCATCGCCTCCTTCAAAGAAGTGCATGGAGGACATAGAAAGAAAAGACTGGATTTATTCCAAATGTGCCTTAGAGAATCTGTCCCAGGATCTGATTGTTTCTTCCAGACACACCGTGATTATTCGGAAAGACGGGGAAGGCCAGCTCAAGGACGGTATTTAGGAAGATATATACATTGATCCAGCGTACAACCCCTAGGTTCCTTGGTAACTGTAATTTTCGCCCCTTGAAATTACATATCCGAAGAACAGGGGGGTACTTCTGTTATCTAAAATCAATATACAATGAGACATTCAAAGCTAATTCCAAACCCACAACCAGCTGAAAATTCATGTGCGCCCACTTTTGACATTCTACCCAGTTTTTGAGATTATCTCTGCAATACTGTCGCTTTACAACCCAGCTTCTAACTCCACGGTCCCATGGCTTCAACAGAATACTCTGCCTTGGACTCCGAGAATGGACCAGAGACTGAAATCACGAAATTTCGTTCAAAGATCCGTTCCAACAGGCTTACCTATTTGGTATGTCTCTTAATTGGAATGGTCGTTGGGGCTGGAATTGCTAGCGTCTTCAATCCTACCGTCCAGCTGGTAGCCAACGCAATCGCCAACGCGACCTTAAGACCACCAGAGGTGGGTGTGGATGGCCACTTTGTCTTCGACGCCGAGACAGGAGAAGCCAAATGCGGTACCCACTGGACTGAGGCTAAACGTCTGGGCTGCCAGTTTGACGTCATGGCCTCGCGATGGTACTCCCCAAATTGTTTCAACGAGGGCGTCTTGGGCGAAATGCTCGAGGAGGTCAATTTCAAGTGGTACGCTGACCGGGAGCATACCAAGGAAGTCTCCCGGGACGCCGTCCTCGCTGGCGAGTTTGAAGCTGTCTATCCGGACAATGATTATCACATAATGCATTGCCTCTACTTGTGGCGACGATTGCATTCCGCTATCATTGAACATCGACACTTGGATGATGATGTGTACAGCTACGAGCATACATTACACTGCACCAGATTAATTATGAAATGGCCAAGGGGGATAAATTCCACCACCATCGCGACCTCTGGCATTCCGTATTGCAGGTTACAGCCCCTGTGAATTTGGTAGCCGGGAGATCTTTTGCCAGAGCAGGTCTTATGGGGGAGAGCAGGGGTGAATGGCTTGTTGATAACGCAAATTGATAGATAACCAAAATGGGCTATTGAATGGACCAGTCAAAGAGCGACACCCAAAATTTGTACAGATAATGCTCAATTACATTACCACGTCAATAAAAGCGGGGACAAGAAAGGTAGATTTGGACGGTTCGTTTGAGCTGATTCAAGGATTACTGTTTATCATGGATTGAATTTTTACAGAACACTCCCCCTCAAACATACTATACGTGGACCAATGTTCTTTGATATTGTTTGATATGCCTACCTTATCAGTGACTACATACTCAGTATCCTACTTAGGGTTACATCGGCTCTGGGAATATGCAGATGAGACTTGAAAAACCAAAAGTTCTTAATTAGGACGCTCCTTGTTATGATTTCTACGAGTCATTAGCTTCTCTATCAATGCACCACTTGCATTAGGGTCCAAAATGTAAAACTTCATGAAACTGTACCGTCTTGTACCCTTAGTCGAATTTTGCGTATCGGTATATGAAAACAGGAATACTATGTAAATCGTTGGTGATATAAAGTCTTTGTTTCCTACCTAGTCACGCATTGTTGCCATTACTGCATACAATTGACATTGCCCATCGCAGACATATCCTCAGCTCGCCCATACTCCCAATATGAAGTTCCTCACTACACTGATGTTGCTTTCAATTGGTGCGTCCCAGACAATGGGATTGTCGATACCTCGCGCCATGGCTGCCGGCCCCGTCGCCGAGGAGGCTGTGACTGACTACGGAAAGCGGGCGATGGCTGCTGGTTCTGTCGCCGAAAAGGCTGTGACTGATTACGAGCGCAAGTGATACGGTGAGTACCAGACTAAGTCACTATACTATGTCTTCAAACTTTCTGACCACCAAATAAACACATAGAATGTCACATTCGGGGAATAAGCTACGCATGTGGTCATGCACCTGGTGTGGGATTTAGAGACGGCCTCGGGTGTTATTAGATGCCTTTTCTCCATTCCTGTATTCATCCCGAGGACGAATAATTATGACTTGAACCAAATCGCAATGAACATGATGCCGCGTAAAGCCTATCACTCACTATTTGCCAACACTATGTGTAGCTAAGTAGGAAACAACATAGACTATCACATCATATAAACTAGGATTTTGGCTCGCGGTTTCATCTCGTCTTAATCGCTCTTTGAAAAGTTGAATATTTGCTTAGCATAAATTTCTATTGATTTTGCATTGTTGCGGGAAAGCCCAATTTCCTAAGTGTGACAAGCCAAACAAATTTATTGCTGATGGTTGTCAGCAGTACTAGGAACCTTGAGAGGATCAAAGCTGTCCGGTAGCAATCTCTCTGTAAGGTTCCAAATCGCGTGCTCATTGGCATACGCTGTCAAAGCATCCAAATCCACACAAGAGTGTGTCTGACCCCAGCCTGTACTTCTCGCCCACGCCCCAGTCTCACCTTCCAAAGTTGTATCTGCCGAACATAAAATGCTCTGCCGAAGATATTCCACGCAGTGAGCACGGTGCTCAAGCTTTTCCGTCTCAAGCATCGCCCATTCTTCCCGCGAGGTCCCCATAGCAGTCATAATAATAGACTTCGATCGTACGTCAGTGGGATATATAAGTTATCGCTCAGCGCAGACTCACCAAACAGTGTAGCTGGTGATAGACCGCCATAATGTGTCCTTCGTAGTGATCGCCTTCGTCGAACACATTATCCATCTTGAATGGGGGATGAAGGACATTAAACTCCTCATTTTCCGAAACAGTGATATAGCCGCGACCCGCTATGAGAAGGAAAAGAAAAAATATCAGTCGCGGAGTCGAGATACCCGTGCTCAACCTGAAAAAGCTTACGCGGGAATAGGCTGTGCCAGTTTCTATGAATCTCTCGCATACGTGTAGCATTCCGCAACATCTCAGGATCATCGTAATCGAGTTCCGGTCCAAGCCCCGCCGTATTACCAAAAAGGACGTCTCTCCGCGGTACTGTCGTAAAGATATTAGGGATCAACAGCTGAGCAGATACTTGATATCTAATCCAAGGGATACTTACGGGTCGGTCCGTACTTTCTTTATTTAGCTGCATTCGATTCCCCTGGACTGTGTGTAATAGACACCAAAGTGATAAATAAAGAAAACACCAGGAACCCTTCAAATATCAAGCGAAGGTCGATGTATTTCCGCAAGGAGGCCACTCGAGATTCAGAGGTAAGTTCATTCAACAAGCCAGTGGATGACGAAATGGAATCACCGTGCTTGTCATCATTCCTATCCCAGTCTTCTGAGGATCTCGACACCGCCGTCATAGCTGGTGTGTAAGTCTAGGATGCGCGGCGCTAGAGGCTGCTGGAGAGTAGATTATTTTCGGAGCATTGAGATCGGACTGAAACTGACATGGACTTTGCCGTTTTATCACAGGGCCTGCTGGTAGCCATATATTAGAAACCTATACATGCTAACTTGAAAGAGGGGTTGCTCATTAATACCGCTGGGTAATGTAAATGCAATTCGCGTTCGTGCATCATTTCACTATGTTCCCTAAAAGCCACTAGTTGCTTCGCTAATACATTATTTTCAACTCCCATCCCAGCCTAAGAACGCACGCTAATGCACATACGCCACCGGTAATAAAAATGGTATTTCTCCGAATGCATAAAACTAGTTAAATACAGACCAAGGCTATAAACTACATCCTGGTCAATAATAATAATTAGTGGTATTAGTATGATTAGCAGGCTACCCCCAACTAGATAGTATGTGCATGTGCATTAGCGTCCATTCTCGTCCGCGCGGGCATGGGAGGGTATATTGGGTAGGTGGGTTATCTGGCTTCTGATTGGGATACTTTGGGTTTCATTTAATTCGCACTAGGTATCGATGCCGTTTTAACCAGATAAGAATCTTCCCCAGAGTCAATGTGTATTTTCTTAAACAATTCAAGAACAATATATACGCCACTGGGCGGCACGAAACGACCACGACACAAGCCCCAAGATGCAGGGAAGTCAACTTTTATCAACTCGACAATCTCAACTAGATGAACCAGACGATGAGGGCAGATGGTCTCTTCTTCAGCTTGCCGCTGCGCAAGGGAATTTGTGCCGGGTACAGCGGCTCTTAGCCCAACCAATGGACATGGACCCTAATGAGCCTCCTAAAGGTTACTATGGGCAGACGGCCCTTCAGGCCTCTTCTTATAACGGGCATCTCGCCGTGGTTGAAATGCTATTGGTGGCAGGGGCAGACGTTAACGCGCCTGGGGGAAACAACGGTGGCAGATCAGCGGTAGTACTAGCCTCTGGAGCGGGGTATATGAATATCGTCAGCCGCTTAGTCTCTGCGGGTGCAGATATCAACTACCCACCCCATCCGTATGCGGGCCGAACTGCCCTACAAGCCGCCGCCGAGGGGGGCCATATCGAGCTACTACGATGGCTGCTTGAGCAAGGCGCAGATATTGATACGCCCCCCTCTAAGAATGGAGGTCGCACAGCACTTCAAGCTGCTGCATTAGAAGGGCATATCGATATCGTTGAAATTCTCTTATATCAAAATGCCTACGTGAATACCCCCGCCGCAAGGTATAAAGGCCTTACAGCCCTTCAAGGCGCAGCTTTTGGAGGCCACCGCCGGATAGTCCGTCAACTGTTAGATGCAGGAGCTGATGTGAATGCTAAAGGCTCATATTATAATGGGTATACGGCGCTTTCAGCAGCGGCAGAATGCGGCCATTGTGAGATTATCCGAATGTTGCTCGACGCTGGCGCAGATGTCTCCCTTACATCAGGAAATAAAAAGTGGACGGCGCCACAGATTGCGATCTTCCGAGGGCAAAAGGCTGTCACGCATATTTTCCAACAGATCAAGCAGATGGGGAAGATTGTCTAAGCTATTCCTCTACGCAGAAATTTTATTTGCCTCCGAACTTCGAAAGTCCGTAGATATATTGAAAGAAAACCTCGTAAAATTCGATACGACAGCTGTAACAGATTAAGGAAACCTAGAGCTCAAAGCTTCAGACTCTCAAGGGCCATTCACATCGGGTTTAATCGGTGGTTTTCACTCCCAACAGCCGGCTGCTAGCGTTCTGCACGGGACTTCGAACTTCACCACCGACGGACAGACCACTCATATCCAATTTACTGACCATGGTCCGTGTCTCAGAACCAACCGTGGTTTCATTAAAAAGGGTTAGCGATTATACGTCGTATCGATCTGTGGCAAGCTTAGAGAGATATATAGAGCAGTGACAGTGGATATTTCTAAACGGAGCAAGGACACCATGGCTGCCCCCTAACGCTCAGCCTTCTGGATCAGTAATTAATGCAAATACTCCTGCCCTAGGAAGCTTAGAGCAGGTCAGGTTTCTTTCATGCTGATAATCCCACAACGCCAGCGTGCCGGAAATGGCCCATTACACTTTCTTCTCGAGATCCGAAAGCCTCGATACACCACTCAAGGAAAGAGGCGAATCCTTGGTCAGGGCTTTGCTATCGCCGCCAATTCCGCCTTCAACTCAGATAAAAACTTCTAAATGGGATTCAAATCAGGTGAATAAGGTCAGCTGTATACGATATGAATAAAAATCAATAATGAAATTCCACACCTCCTTTTGGTCAAATTATTGAGCCCCGATGTTGAGCTTATGACTTATGTACTTACTACCTAACATGCATATATCGGCGTATATAACGGTTTAAACTGCCTGAACAAGGAAGATCATTCAATCCTAAATAGTAACTTAGTTACATACAGATATTATGACAAGAAGCTTCTCTGTTGGTACAAAGACATCCAGATCTGTATCGTTAGCTTCTGGGTAGCGAGAGCAGGCATGAGATGTCAACATGTCAGAGTATAGAAAGTATGTATATTCTAGCTGGCTACCCCGTACGCTCACGAAAATCCAGAAAACGAGAGAGTTGAAGCAAGCTCAAAGACACCTTCATCCTTCTTGGCGTGTTCCTTAACCAATTCCTCTCTCAGCTCGAGAGCCTCGCCCAGATCCATTCGTGTTGCAGACTCAGCGCCATCGCCTTTGGTCCAACCAGTCTGCTGGGGTGGAACGTTCCGCGTAGAGCAAAGTCGGTAGGTTGGATCGACAAGGGACACAGTGAGAAAACGGCAGTGACCGGGCTTAGTCTTGTCCTGAAGCTGTAATAGGCCCATTCGGCGCTGGAAGGCGTTGGGGAAGGAGATTAGCCGGCCCGGAGGCATTTTCACCTCCCCGAGCTGTTGCCAGGACGGACTATCCTGAATGTGCTCGAATCCGCAAAGCCTTCCTATATACTTCACGTCCCATAGGGCATAATTCAGGATTAGGTCATCGATCTCATCTGCAGCACGTTCCTCGTTATCTGAATCGTCGGCGCCGATTCGGTCGTAGACCCAGGTACGGCCCCCTAGTCTACACCTCTGCCGGAAGCTAATTTGCGGCTCGGACATGTTTTCCGAATCAAGCGCGTAGATGGCGTTGGCGACTATACGTTCGTTTGCATTTCCTTCGGTGTGCCACTCCTCACCGGGGAAGGATGGCGTCTCAGGATCTAGCTCGATGCTGTGGATCCGGACGACAGTCTGGAGACCCTGTTCTCGAAATTCATCCTGCAATGCAAGCGTGTAGAACTGGTGATCGTCAGGGTCCTCTTCCTTTGGCTTATACATCCATTCGTATGGTGTCAACCAAGGGTTTGCTTCAAAGAATTTAGACAGTTCATAATCCGGACTACAAACGTAATCGGGGTGCGCCGGGCCAACAATTGATTTCCCGGTCCTCCCTGCTTTCCAGTCCGAGTACGAATACGCGGTTCCTGGGTCCGAGTGCTCAAAGATGAATGTGCATGCATACTTGGTCAAAGCTGTGCGAAGCAACCCCCAGCGGGCCTTCCAATCCTCCGGGATCCTTTGCGTTCTGACCTGATCCCAGTATACCTTATCCTTGGATTCAGGTTCCTGAAGGTACGCCTCCACTTGAGCACACATAGCTTCGTATTCCTCCGCAGGAAGTTTACCCTCGTCTTCCTTATCGGGCAATCTTTTCGCCCATTCAGGGAACTGGGCTTTCCACTCGACTCCGTAAGTGCGGATTCGTATAGGCCCACGAGACCCGGAGACGCAATTCCCGTAGAAAAGGCCAATCGCTTTCCTCCACTTGTTACGAACCACAATCTCGTTCCATTGCTTGATGCTGCCGGAGATCACGGCCTCAATCGCGGAGTACATCTCACGGTTCGTCGGATGCAGATTGTTGACGTAAGACGAAATCCGAACATCTGTAGACCCAGGAGGACCAGTGAATTCCACTTCACATGGCAGCCACTGAAATTTCGAGGACCAAATATACCGACCGCTGTCCCATGTCCAGGATGAGCCCCCTTTTGCTAGTTGTGGGTGTTCCGAAACGATCGGGCACTCTTCACTACGTGACGACCAGGAATTCTCGTCCATTCCACACGATTGTCCGTTGACCAGAATTTTCGTTCTCCCATAGACAAGAGGAAACAAAGATGGGTCGACGAGATTTACCACAGCTGACTCTGACTTCTGCCGAATGGCTTGATGAGATAACAGGTCAACAGAATTCGAGAGCTGTGACTTCAAATCGGAAGAGATTGCCGAATCGGATTTACAGACACCGCTGCTCGTGTTGAAGACGACCAAGCGGCCGTCTCGGTCAAACTGTCGAGCCTTGTCTTGCAACTCTTGCAAGCACCAGTCCCACGTTTTGTCATTGATCAGCGACGACGATGCAACGGCGTTTTCTCGCCATTGAGCGATAACTTGCTTGTCAAAGATGGCGCGGTGCCAATCCGGTCGGTCGGTGATAGTGTTGATTAGATCTAGGATGGCCAGTTCTTTGGCCGTGAGAATGTGACCATACCAGTCATTTACCCCTGTGGCGAATTGATCGTGGGAGAGTAACACATTGATGGGAAGATCATGGAGACCGGGGACTTTGAGGGTTGTTTTATTGTCCAAGGGAGTCTCAATAATCTCGGTCATTGTTTCAGTGAAATGGTGAGATACGGGAATGAAGAAGACGGAAGAAAGCTCAGTAAGAATATAAGAAAGAATAAGATGATAGCCGTCTTACCATCAATCTCACCCTAGGGTGGGGTCTGGCCCACAATTATATTTGTACATAAATTAGCCAAACAGATCAATCTATAACAGTACCTAGGTAGTATCTATATACACCAATTTCCGTTTCCACTATCTCTTGCCGCTATATTCTGCGTTCCTGTCCAGGAGGTAGTAATTCTTATCGAAGAGGAGAATCCAATACCCTTGGAGATATACGAATTCCTTCGTCAGCCACACTCCAATTCCCGACAGAATTCGAAAATCCTCGCCCGAATGGTGTTTGGTTGTTTCACGGTTGGAGACTCTCACCAGGAAAGCGGAATCTGATACTTCTCCCAAAGATCAGACGTATCAGCATCCTTGAACTTCTCAATCCCCCCAGAAACCCCATTTTCATCCACCTCCCAATCGCCCATCTCAACTCTTTCCGCCCAATTCAATAGCACCTTATGAAGCTGGACACCATGAATTTCCAAAAACCCATTGGAACCACAGGCTTGATAAAGATCATGAGCATTGAACCTAATCTGTCTCCCGGTACTATCTCGGGCGTATCCTTTAGATCCAATGTCAAAGGGAAGAAGCAGCCTAGACATATTTCCAAAATCGTCTGCTCTGTTTTCATCGATTTCTTCAATGTATAAACCAGCGGGGATATCAATGTTGTCATATGGGGGCACCAAGGTGAGGGATTAAATCCATCTGCTCGGAAGAGGAGGAATGGAATTTGTTCAGCTTCGCCGTTTTCTTCATCTTCGCCGTCCGAGCTATTCTGCCTCATAACACTCAGGGCTGCAAAGGGTTGAGTTTTTAATTAGTCGAAATATTGTATCTGAAGTCCTGGAGCAATATAGCGGAATTGGATCTCACGAGAGGGAAGAGCGGAGAGAAATGACCTGACGAAAGACTTGTTGGGGGTGAAAGCTTCATCAAGTACAGATTGTGGATAGTTGATAGCTATTTTAGCCGATTGAACTGGCGGCCGATGGCGATGTTCAATTGCATTGAGCAGACGGTTGAATGCAGTGATTGAGTTCTCGATATCCCGTTGCGTATATTGATAATACTCCCATGGGAAAAATTGGGCAGCGGGAAATTTGTCTTCCGTAAATATCTCCACCTTCCCTTCATTAATCATCTCCAGGTAAGCCCCAAGTATCTGCTGGAGTGGCGCCGGGATTGCCGATGGCATCATGGATAAACTGCCAGTGGGGCATGTAGGTAGCTAGCTCTGTATCTTGATCGAATCTAGCGCGAGAGTTAGTACTTAGTCTAATTTTTTTTCAAAAAAAAAAAGAAACAAGGCTCACACTATGTCAACCTCCTCATCACATGTGTAACAACCCGTTGCTGGATATAGATACACGAAGCGGTCACCCTCGCAATGAAGCAAAGAGAACTGGAGCAAATGATCGCTGGATTGTAATCCCGATAAAAAATATAAAAGATTAAACCCAAGATCCCCACGTGTCCTTCCCCTTGAGGGAGTTGAACGAGCTGAACGAAGGAACTGAGCGAGTTTAGGAGTTAAGCGTGGCTCGACGTCAACTGGGGAATACTCTTCCCACCAAGTCGTGGATGGGAGAGAAGCAATATCATGACCGGCACCAGCCCATGCATGTTGCAAGATTTGATTGTGAAGCTCAGCGGATCGCTGAGGGTCGAAGGTCATCTCGGACATAGAAGGGTCTAGCTCGTTAAAAAAAGAAAGCAATTGCGGTTTTGTTAAGGGCAAAATAAACCAGAGATTTGGGTGGGCGCCCTAGGTGTCGGCCCCAGGGATCTAACCATCTCTAGTTAGAATTTTGGGGCTGAAAATGCTAGGATATGATGTAATAATAAGGGATCAGGCGATGAGGTAAAGATAATTTTGTTTTGTCTATATTCGTGCCATTTCCATCTGCTAGGACACTGCGAATGTAGGGACCAAAGGGTAGGAGGGGGAGAGAGTTATATTGGAACGGAGATAACGTATGGAGGGGTTGCTGCCTGAGGCACTACGTAGTGGCCTAAGGCATCAACTCAAAGTACTGAAGTTCTGAAGTAGCCATGGGAGATATGGTAGGTTTGGTGGCAATGAATTTCTAGAAAGGAAGCGTCCTCCCTAGTTCCCTCATCGTCTATATATATTATGTACAATGTACTTTGTAGCACACAGAAAGTACGTGGCAGTCCCGACACCGGACCGTGATACGGACCGTGAACCGGCATCGAAACACTACATCCTCTCCTGTTGGTCGACCTTATCATATCTAGCTAATTAAATTCAAGATTATCTTGATTACTTGGGATAACCGGTTATTTTACCGAATTTCTTTCCAATTGTTCAAATCAAGTGTCTGAATCCAGGCATTAGACTTCATGTGATCGGCTCAATCGGAGCCCCCGCCCGATACAAGACGGACCGTCTGTGACGGACCGTCCATTGGAATTAAGATGACTCTCGAGTCATACATAAATAAGCCTTGAGATTCGCAGAGATAATAATAAGTTATAATTTCAATAGCACATTTGTCAATCACTTTTCGAAATGACCTCAAGCAACCCCTCATACCTTATTATTGGCGCGGGTGTCTTTGGTGTATCAACCGCCTACCACCTCATCCAGAAGTATCCCAATGCATCGGTAACTCTGGTTGATCGTGATGCATACGATGCTGAGTCGCGTGTGGCTGCATCATGGGATTGGAACAAGGTTATTCGCGCCGATTACGACGACAAGGTCTACTGTAGACTTGCTCTTGAGGCTCAAGAGATTTTCAAATCCGACCCTCTTTGGCAGCCACACTTTCATCAGACTGGCGTTTACTGGACGTGCCGCAGCGACTACGCGCAAAATGTCATCACAAATCACAAGGAACTTGGTCGCAATGATGATATAATTGCTCTCCCTGTTGCTGAAGCTAGAAAGCTTTATGGAGGAGTCTTTGATAATGCTGACTACACCGGTGTTAAGGAGGTTCTCGTGAACAGAGCTAGTGGCTGGGCTGCGGCGGGAGACGCTCTTCGAGCAGTAACGAAAAGGTGCTTAGAATTGGGCGTCTCATACGTCACTGCATCCGTTACTAACCTTGAGTTCGATGGCCGTGGCTCTTGCACCGGTGCGAAGACACGATCTGGAGAGACATTGTCGGCCGCGCATGTTGTCGTCGCTGCTGGGGCTTTCACGCCGACATTGCTAGAGTGGAGTGCTGCGAAGAGCGGCAACGCTGGGCTACGAGCTGGAGAGCGAATTGTTGCGGCTGGTATTACGACCGGGATGGCACAACTCAACGAGGAGCAATATAAAAAATTCAAAGACATGCCTGTTGGCTTCCAGGGTTACACGCCGGATGAAGGTACGCTTTCTGGTATATTCGCATGAATGCCACTAATCATTCCCAGGGAAACCCTTCATTGGCACCCTTCCCCCTACTAAAGACCGAGAGCTCAAGTGGTGGGGATCTAAGATTTTCACAAACACTCGAGAGGTATTGCCTGGGCACCACATCTCTTCTCCTTCACCCACGCATGACTACAACCAGTGGAAGGTTCCAGGACCTCTCAAGCAGGATATCGTAGAGTCCAGGAATCTGTGGTATGGGCCCGAAAGTGCAACATGGGAGATGACGAAACACCGCATTTGCTGGTTAGTGCCCCCTGACAACGCAACGATAGATTCCTTTTAACACTCGAAAGGGACGCTTTCACCACCACCTCGGACTTTATCATTTCGCCTCACTCTGCCTCCAAAGGACTATATATTGCCACTTGCGGTTCGTTCCATGGATACAAGTTTTTCCCCGTGCTTGGCAAGTACATCACGCAAATGCTTGAGGGAGAATTGGCGCCCGAATTGATAGAAAAGTGGGCATGGGATCGACAGCGACCTGACTCGTCCCAAAATGTGGAGTACCCAAACTCTGAGATGAAGCATTTACTGGAACCTACAGCGAAGTTGTAGGGGAAATTGGATAGTCTCTTCAAGCCAAATCAAGCACCACCAGCGTACTTTCTGGAAATCATCAATACTCCATTTCGAAGCGCTTGATAAGACACAGTGTGATTTAAATTGACGTTGTAAATGATTACTTATACACAATGACTGTTTGGCATTAAATTTGCCCAAAATCTCTTGAGGTGCCTCTTCCATAACATCCGTTAATGGCAATTCAGATATTAGTCCATGAAGCTGTATGTGTGTTGTCGGCTTGAGGACTTACCTCACGGACACTTGATGGATTATACAGACCAGTACTACAATGAAAATGCTCTATGTTTCATAGAAGTATTCCTTGCGGAAGAAGGGTCCGTTTCTACATGAAAGGAGACAGAAGCTACGTGTATAAGGTCTCTCAATATCACCACGATACCTTCTCATGGGTCATGACACGTGATGGGCTTGTTCGACTCGCCGGGGCAAGCTCCTCAACGCGGACACATGCCTTTCATTATCTTGGAAACACTCCAAATAAAGCAGACGTTAATCAATGTCTTGACAATTTTTCAATCGAGAGATGCCCTCAGATAGAGTCCACCTGGTGTGAATATCTTCTTTAGTAAAATGATCCGCAACCCACTTGAGAGTTCCCGCAAAGGGGCGGTCGGCGTTTGACACAATCTCCGTCAAAAGCTTTCCGTAGGCCCAAATGTCATTCAGTCGACGTGTTTGGAATGGAAGCTTAATGCGTGATATTTCATCCCGTATCTCTGGTGAACGCCAATCGTGCGTTACTCCACCGATGCCGCTAATATCAATGAGGACCGCATTGCCATCATCGTCCAGAACAATATTTGAAGGCTTTATATCTATAAAAGTCTTGTTTGCGCGGTGAAGAATGCCTAAAGCATTCCCAATTTGGACACCCTATCGCTCCTAGTAGAATTCCCTAACACGCTGTTCATTTAGAACACGTTGTAAGGAGCCACCGCTATAGTACTCTAATAGAATACCGCTAACAACCATTTGTTCGACACCATTTTGGGAGGTCGCGTACGGGCCGGCGAACACTATAATACTAGCTGGCTGAACGATCCTTATCACGCCTTTAAATCTTTCAAGATTCTCTAGTTCTTATATAACATCCGAATCGTGTGGTTGGTAAAGGGGGCGATTGACTACCTTGAGAATATATGGTATTCTATCGCTGCGATATAAAACGCGGAACACTCTATCGGTGATTTCATCCTCTTCTATTAACTCGGCGATATCGATGGCTCGAAAAGACGGAAATTGGAGGTATAGCGGATAAGTCAGTCTCGATAGGTCCTCCCGAATAGAGAATCGTAGGATGAGCTTTACAAACGGATTCGTATCCTCTGGTTCGCGATACAGCTTGACAGGTTCAGCTGTTTTCGGATCTTCGTTCAAGATCACTTCAGTCACAGTGTTATCCAGCAGGGCTAATGATTGGAAATCGATTAGCCTAGCAAAGTCTTGGAATTCTTTTCGTCGTTCGCGTTTCGATTTGGTTTGCTCTGGCTCGGCATCGTGGGGCAAACAGGAAATCGCGCCCTCGAAAGGTACTTTGATCCACCATTTTTTGTCTTGACAATGGTAGATCAAAGTCTGCGAGCGACTATTAGGCTCGGGCTTCCCTTCGGCTTGAAAGTCCCTATCTTCACAGTATGACTTTATTTCAAGGTCAGGAGTGGTAAAAAGCGAAACAGGAGCTGTTGCGGCTGGCATTTTGACTTGTAAAGTACGATCGATACTACGGAGTAGACAAGGTAAATTCTGTTTTTTTTGTTTAGATTGAAAACATGCGGGAAAGGCTGTAGTTGTAGGAGGAGGCTAACCGTGCCAAGCGCCCAACACACCGCCGCTAATAGACAGTACATTATGAAATTTTACATGTTCCATTAATATAGTACAACTGACTTCATGAAATGCAAAGTCTGTCCAGGCCCCTGCTGTCTAACTCGAGGGCAGCATTCTTGGCCCAGCCCATATACCGTATATCCATCTGCCACCCCATTCTAACCGTGGTTGTTGCATTGATATTTATAGTCGATAGTGACTAGACAACCGCCCCCCCTGTGATATGATCCACAGTTGCCACAACCGCCGATGTTGCGAATATTCTGGTAGGCATTCCACATGTCGTTGCCACTGATACTGCAGCCCTCACCCTGAACAAAGACCTGGCAACCCCGAGTCTGATCGCCCCAACAGTTTCCATTGAGGCCGCCACTAAATAGATAATATTAGTAAACCCATCGAGTGTAAGAGAGCCAGATCTTTGTGTGCCAATGGCGCAAGAGACCGACAAAAGGGCCACTGGGAAGAACATACCTAGACTGGTAAAAAGGGTCATCATCTCGATGTAGGACATTAACGGCATGATCGCACCACTTCAAAAATCCCGGAGTTGAGCACATAGTCGAGCCCTCGCAGTCATAGTCGTCCGCACGTGGCTCCACGTAGCTTTCCGCTACATTGTAACCTTGTGTCTGCACGACAAACTTGCTTGTGTCAGCGGAATTAGTTCCAATGGGTAATGTCCACGTGTATGTGTAGCCCGTGATATCGACATCGACGGTCCCGATGGCTGTCCACGACCAAGGTGGAGCTGTAGAGCCTTTAGGCATCGTGCCAGTGTATTTGTACAAAGTGGTATCTTCGACCATGTAGTGAGTGCAGACGTATTTGTCGACTTTGAAGTTGACACTCCATCCAGGATTGGTGTCGAAGTCGCATCCTACCCGGGACCAGATGTATAGGCGGACGAAAGCGTAAGGAACAAGAATTTCAGCCTTGATTGTAGTGGATCCCTCTTTCGGAGTGGATTTCCAATTGGCGACGGTCTTCCCGCCTGGCAAAGCATCCGTGTTGACTGTGACTGGATCGGAAGCGGGCCCCATATTGCCAGCCCCTCCTAAGGCACGTACATGAAAGGCATATCCACTTCCCGGTGTGAGGCCACCAAGTGTGATTTGAGTCATTGAGCTTGGGACACTTGCAAGGACCTTGTCGCCCGAATACACAGAATACGCAAGAGCATTCGCAGCTTTGTCCCAGGAAATTTTGGCAGACGTATACTCCGAGTCAACGAGTTTCAGCGCGAAAACCTGTCCCGCAGCGCTTCCAGATGCCCAGGATGATGCACCGTTGTTCAAAAGAGAACCACCATCAACTGCAGCCATCATTTTTGTCATATAAGAGTCGGCGGGCAGGTTGTCGTATGGGTTGGGTAGAAGGTCATCCGTGAGTTGGACAAAACCAGCCCCGCGCTTTTTAGATAATGTGATTACCTCGCCAATCTTGTCTTCCGGCACGTTATAGATGATGTGCCACAGTTTCCGCGGGTCCTTTGGAGTCCAATTGTTAGGTGTGTATTTGTTCACGTATGCATTGTAATCCAGCTCAAAAGTCAGAAGTGTGTCCATGGTATCCTCGAAACAAGACGCCATAGGTGACCCAGGATTCAGGATTGTGTATGCTCCGGGATGGTTTCGCTTGGTATAGTCGTTAATGTGCTTGTAGAGGTCGACGTATTGATTATTGTCACCACATTCGGGCCAACCCTCGTCGAAAAAGATACCGCCAATGCTGCTACCATAAAGAGTGTACCACATATCGATGTCTTCCTCGATTTGGGCTGTCCAATCTGCCAAGTCGCCTGAGCCAAGTCGCGTTACGAATTTCTGCGTGCTCACGCCAAGGTATCCCGTTCGCACATAGCCTAGGACCGTTTTACCAGAAGCTGAACCTTGGTCTATAACTTTAGTCCAGCTGTTGTCGACGGTAGAGTCCGGACCATTGACGACGTTGGCAACCAGGATGGGTATCTTGCCATGATCATATTTGACCAGGCGATCCCAGGCGGCCGGGTCTCCTAGTGGATTGATATATGACGCCACTGCGATTTGTTCTAAACGCAAGTATGTCACATTAGTCATGAATTGTTTACCTCATATTGTCGGTGATACGTACGGCCGTCAGCGGTGTTCGAGTCTGATGAGTTCGATGAAGAAGGATTTGGACAGGAGTCAAAAGAGACCTGCTCGGGGATTGTTGGATAGCCATTATCCAGCTCATTCTTGTTGGTCATTTCGTATATGACCAGCGAGGCAATGATGTGGTGAAGCAAGGGTTGGGGGTGGAACACACGCCCATATCTATTTATCACTAATGTGTCAGAGAAACCTCGTCGTTGGTCGAAACATGCGGGAGAATCTTCCTACCCGTCTGGAAGAAGATTTGGAACCTCGAAGGAAAAGTCGGCAACTTTGACCGACATCAAACTGGCGGTGGTGACAGAATCGGTGGTAGCGTCGGACACCAAATTTTGCTGTGAGAACTTGGCGTCTGGGTCTAACAAGAGTGTAATCTGCGCAAACGCGTTCATTTTACCCTCAAAGGATTCTTCTGGGGAGTTTTCCACGCTTCGTTTCCATGGATTTCTGCCCAAGACGTCCTGTGAATTGAGCTCAAAGAACATGAGACCGGCTCTGTCACAGATGTTAATATAGTACATGAGTGGGATTTGAGTACTCACCTTCCGTTGCTTTCTGTCGTTGATTCATCAACGCCAGCTTCACAAAAGCGGCCATTAAAATAACCGACGTAATGGTCGTAGTCTACAAACTTGACTTGGTCACCGGCTCTTTTTACCGCAGCCGACTGCGGTGCAATTGAAGTTAGTGACTGTTTTACTAGATGAAAGGAGGATTATCAAAACGAACAATCTGAGAGTTGACATCATCGACAAGATCATTCATTGCCTTTCGATTATCCTTCGTCAGTCGCTCTAGGTCCTGGAATCTGCTGATGGTTTTCTGGGTGACGATTAGTACCGTGCTGAACGTCGCTGGCATGCTACTCACATGATTCCAGGTTGCCCAGGTCACTTGATCACACGCGGATGTTAGATCTTCGGCAAAAAATTTGGCATAGCTTGATATCAACTGTTAATGATGCCAAAAAGATGAAGGGTTTGTCACATACCCAGTGTAGTAGATCATTCCACTATATTCGGTCAGCATTCAGACATGAACAAGAAAGAAGTGCTACTCACTCTGGGGCTAGCTTTAGTTTGGCCGCCGAGATAACAGAGTCAAGGCTCTTGCTGAAGGCATCTCCAGCAACGAACGTTTTCGTGTGCGCCAATTGTCCATCGCACCCAATGCTCAATCCTTCCAAATCAATAAGATCCTTCCATGCAAATTCAGACTTATCAAGAGCTGTATTTGCCAATGCTACTTGACTGGGGGTCAACGCGGACCATTGGAAGATACACTGGTTCAGGATGTTTGAAAGCTCAGCATCATTGCCGCCTGGTACCTCACTGATGTTAGTTGTGTTCGTAGGAAGGTGCATGAGTATATATATACCGGCTGATAGCAAGATGACCTGCTGGCCCCCATCGATTCTCGGAATCTGTTTCTTGACAACGTCAGATATAACTGCGCCAGAACATGACTCGAACTGAAACGTGCGTGCCGATGAGTCGCCTAGCCGGTCATCGTTGTTGATAATATTAGGGTACGATTCATCATAGCGACTGCAATACCAAGCTTTCAGCCCAGGAAAAATAATGATTAGTCAACGTGTTTCGGCCTTGAGTCAGGGAGGGAGAGAGTTACCACCCAGATCTGATAGAGATCCAAGCTTATTGCCAGCACCAATTCCAGCCGAGTAGGAGTCGCCGACGGCGGCCATCTTTGTGATAAAGGAAAGATCTGACGGGTCGAATTCTGCATCATCTCTTCCCATCAACCGCTGGGTGTTCAAGCTTGCATTTCCTAGCGCGCTCCAATACCCAAGAGGATTCGCAAGACCGTAGCTCCCAAGGGTAGCAATGGCCACCAGGCCATGCCATTGTTGTCCGCGCATAGCGGTATGGGGAAGCAGAGAACACAGGAAGACGATGAGAGAGATGAGGATGTGAAAACAGAACCTTGCGGAGATTCAAGGACTTCTTATAATTGTCTTCGCCAACTAGCATTAGGGCTGTATAGTCTGTCCGTTCAATTTCGCCCCTCCCCGATCCCTGAATACGATATACTAGTTCTTTTCTTCCTGCTATTCTTCCATCCCGTAAGTTCCGGCGAAAACCGAACATGAACTCGGTATCCGCCCGTTGTGGTAGTCCAAGGGGCGCTTTTTTGATAGCAGATTTCGGTAAATGATTGCGGTATTTTCAGCCACCAGATTCTCTACTTCGCATTACGACAGGTTTTAGGTAGCATCACGCCAACGGGGTTACTCCGCTGTCCTTTTTGTCACCACCATACCGCCTAGTCTCATGGGGCCAAAGTAGTATGTGAGTCGCTAAACTATCTGATTCGAATTTTATCTATTAGAGATAGAAATTAACTAAGCACATACCTCTTCATTACGTTACTCTCGTTTGTAGCTGCCTGTCTTTCTCTGAGCCTCATTGATACGTTCCCTAATCTCTACATGAGGAGACTTGGATATACGCTAGTATTGGACCCTTTTAGGGGGCCATCATATACGCAACGGGGGCCAGATTAGCAATGTTTCATACAGCCTCTGTGCTACCACTAGCGGCGAATCCTACAAGTTAGTGTGCAGAATTTTCCAACCGATCCTTTAGCCTCATTCCAGAAGACCCTAGCTATGATCCTGCGCCATACAGGGTTATAACTCCGTGGCAGGCTACTATAATACAAGATATCTTGGCACTTTCTTGTCATCCGGTGGCGGCATTAGTGGAAATCGCAAATCTCCGAACAACTACTAGTACAAGTATTAAATCCTGTCGCCTCACCAGGCCGTTGCTTCCGTCTCTAGGTAATGTAAAGTCTGATTATATTAGTACCTTTTAGCGTAATTGAAAGGCATCATGACTCAAAATTACCACCTCGGACATCAAATCTCTGTATCGCTACTCAGAGTAGCACGACACCGTGTGGTGGATTTCCTTTCATTCACGCAAGATCAAGACCCTTCCACTGGGTCAAGAAGGAGATTGTGCCTCATTCAGGAGTAGTATCGTGTGTTAGCTTGAATTCGGGCTATATCCAAGTTGGAAAGGACTTTATAGGCTATAGAACAAAAATTCAAATTTAACTCTTAGAGACATTTCCTCCTTTGGCCCCAGAATCTAGTATATCGGCGTATGCCTAGTGCTATTCTGCCCGTATTGTCTGGTGTGACGGGCCTTTCCACATCGAGAGGTAAGAGACTGGCAAGTGTAGCAGAGCCTACAGCGGCGATGCTTTAAAATGGCGCTGGGTGCCAGACTCATGGGTATCAGCGACACTGTACATTCAAATTTACTCTACCACCTCTGACTTGGTACAAAACTTCCCTCCTTGGTGTACAACATTCGCGGTTATTTATTGACTAATGATTGTTAACATAGTGATACAAGAGAACATTCTACATCATGATTGTTCTGGGACTTTTTCGAGTCATATTTGTGATCTGGTGCGCATTGAGCACCGTGAGCAATGCGTGGAATCTTGACAAGGAGCAGCCGCCTCCTAAAAATTCTCTGGGTGTGAGGCTCGATTTCTACCTCGCGAATGCTTGGCCGATACCACTGTTAAAGAAGGGCAAGCAAATTAGCCGGACTTTCCTATGGAGTAGCCATCTCAAATTCGACAGCGAGGTCAGCAAACTTACGGACGCTCAACTCTGGCAAATGGCACATGATGGATACTGGGAGATGTTCGAGAATATGAAGCTGTACGACATCACCAATAAAAGAGACAGTCCCAGAGCCTTTACTGTTCTCGCTGTTGGCAATGAGATATTTCTCTCTTCTTCAATGAAGGGTGGAGGTAATTTTGCATCTGCTTACCCCCGAACAAGGGTTTCCAAGTCTCTTGACCTCTGTCAAATTACTTTCAATACCCGTGGGGGCGAAGGTACAAATGGGCACAAAAATTCAGGAAATTGTGGCGAGGTGATGAGTGCTCAAATGTACTACACTACAGACGACAATGAAAACACTCCCTTAAAAACGAAGGATGCAAGAGTTTGCACAGTGGTTTTAAACCACGCTGATATACCTCAAAACACCGATCCTTGTTCAGACAAAGTGAGTGATAGTGAATACCCTCGAATCTGCAGATTATCGTGACAGGACTAAAATTTTCGCAAGAGAACATGGGGATGCAACTTGTTTGTCGATGAGGAGGGTATGCAAAAGCTGGACGTGAAAATCACCCCAGAGTCCTATGATTTGAACAAGATCATGGGCAAACCGGTCATTAGCCAGATCCCGTTATGCGCTTCGGCTAACACGGGCTTGGTCAGCGAGTAGGTGGTTTGAGATACGTTGAGCCATTTGGCTACGTGGAAGTGACTGATAACTAGTTATGTGACAATACATACATGTTGATTATATTTCATCTGTGAAGATTACGTCAAATGGAACTCCAGCTTGAGCACCTAGCTCTGTGAGCTGGTGTCTCATACTAGGGTCCCATTCCTCATCGCGAATCTCATTTCTAGCTAGTCCCAGAGAAATGCCACGAAGATTCGGCGTGAATGCTTTTCGATCCTTTAGCCATGATTTCAGCAAGCCTAAAACGGCGTGATCCTCCCACTCAAATTCAGGCCAGTCTGGTTCCATTTGCTCATCATTTTGTAGACATAAGTCGTACGTTATGGTGAGATGTTCAAGATATCTTGGGAGCACATCCTGCAAACGTTTCGTTGTGTCTTGAGCAAATCCGACGAGGAATGCCAATGGGACTTGAAGTGTCCTGAGATTTTCCATATTAACCATCGCACTCAGTGAGCCCACCGTTTTGATGGCAGGGAGATTTATATCATTGCCTCCGAGTTGAATTTCAGCTAGGATTTTGAGGTCGGTTAAAGTACCTCTAAGACAAGATATCGCATCACCGATCTGATCAAGATCTACAATAGGCATATTGACTTCATCGTCGATACCAAAATCGTAAAACCATCCCCAGCGAAGTGATTTCAGATGAGGTGTGACTGAGAGCAGATCACCGAGATAATTCTCCCGGGCAGAGGTCAAAACCAGCGATGTCAGGGTTGATGGGACAGTCAATTGTGGTGTAGGCCACGTTATCGCGAGCGGGCTCTCGATCGAGACTGAAATGCGTTGGACATTTGGCAGGTAGAAGAAGGGCAAGACATCCGCGGTGTTTTTGACATTTTTATCACGCGCTCGGTCATGGTAAATCATGAGGAGGTATGTCACATCTCGGAGATACTGAAAGTCGGGTAGCCCGTAATCTACAGGCTCAAAGATGGCTGAACGGAGAACCATACCGATGATTTCACTTCGCTGGGTGAAAGCAGGGCTCAGGTACAGACATCTCAGATTTGGAAGCTGTGCTAGAAGAAGGGCGACAAAAGCATTGATTGTACCTTGCTGTAATTCCTGTATCCAAAGGTCGCCATACGGGACTCCAGTCTTCCGAATGAATGCAATGGGTTCGTCCAGTTCGGTGCTGGAGACGGGGATTGTACGTATGTCCCATACGAGTGAAGCCAGAGTGGGGGTTTTGCCGGCGAGATGAAGGGTTTTGATGTAAGCAGCCAGATGAGGCCTGGATATCAAAGTTCGTAAAAGTTGAGTGACTGGAGGAGGATCATAAGGATGCTGCCAAGTCAATTGAATTTTCTCGTAGAGAAATTTCTCAGCGATTCCGCGAAATTTCTTATTGACAAGACATAGTACATGAAGTTCAGCGGGTGATAGTAACTCGAATACCGAGTATAAGATGTCCGCCGGGCAGCTGGTAAAGCCGAATGGCCCTTGATGTTTCTAATAGAATTAACAATAATCTTGAAAGTGTCGGAATTGATCACATACAGGTCTCATTGTCAGTGACATGATCGAAAGTTCACAATTCTCTGGATTTGACCAGAAAACTTGGGTGGTTGGGACTCAATAAGAGTTGAAAAACAAGAAAGCTAGAACCCAGCTAATTAGATTTAAGTAGAGATTCCCTTAGCTCTTCAGACCATACCGTGTACAGTGGTATCGCCACTCTGCTGAGCGCTCCCACCGGTCATCAAATCGCGCTTTTTAGATTAGGAAAGCCAATAAAATTACATTTCCAATATTATTAAATAACACAGATGTGGGCCATATTTTAGCCCCCGATTTCTGGGTTCAAGTACCAAGACCCTCAAAGACCCACTAAAGGATGAAGCTACTGCTACTAGAACTAAGCGGTCTTTCAATTTGTGCAAGTTCTGCCACATGCACAACATTATACTCGGCCCAACGCACGGCTCAACTCCCACCGGGGGAGTTGGGTAGTCGTATCCTTCGAGCTCTGATAAGTCCGCAGTGGGTGCAGGAGTGAATAGGACTTCGCGGAGGATTTCTGCCCTCACATATACATCGGATTTTAGACCGCGGGAGATGGCTTTCCCTTTCCGTTTTAGTGCTCACCCTTGCCGCTATTTGATCACTAAAAAATGAGCACCCGTGGACACCCTGGGTATTACATACTCATTACTACTCGCCCACCGAACATCACGTGATCACTATATATGCCAAATGACTCGCTCACTAAGCGTCACTTAAGCAACCCGGGCACTCTGATTTACTCATTAAGTAGGCGTCGCTGTTGTCTCCCAAATAATTGTTTGTCTCCCAAGCTGGAACCGACGGTGGACCAAAGGCAGATAGATCCACGCACCTGTGGTTTCCCACAATCACCGAAGCAACGGTAACCCCCCGCTCAGTAAAGAACTTCGAAATGTCGATCGTGCCTGGCAAGGGAAGGAACCCACGCCATAGAGACAATATCATCACCACCACACGTTTAAACCCCGAGTTTCTGGCCTCTGGAGACAATAGGACAATAGTGGGTGGACCACCATAAGGAGCTGCGACAAGCTAGCTCATCGACGACACTAATCAAAGCGCCATCATCAAATCTACGAATTCGGACCTTCTAGAGGTCAGCCACGACCAACTCACGCTCGAAAATAGCAACGATGAGTTAGAAAAGAAGCGCAAGCGCTTCGGGCGCAGATCGACGGACTAACCACGGTTCCCCAACGCGATCATGGGCCGCTGTGGTAGTCCGTTCTGCGAGCCTCGGTCCTACGATGAGCCACCAGTGATCTGAAAACGACCGGAACCGCGTTCGAATTAGTTCCCAAAGCTCTTTCATCGATCCCCGTGACAGTGAATATAGCAATGAAAAAGTATGGCCGGGGCCATGCCACAATTCATAACATCGACCTTAGGGTCAAGGAATGAATTTGAGCTGATCCAAGGTCCAATGCTGCCGATTCTTCTCTTCACGGAATGCGTACACCTCGTCATCAAGATGAGCCAACAGGGTCTCTGAAAACACGTTCACGATTTTCTCCATGTCTGCCTGGTTTAGTGCCTCTTCCTCATTGTGACAATCTAGCAGGTACTGCTTAGAAACGGGCAGCCCGACGTGAATCTTCTTGTGCTGGTCCACCAGGAGTGACTGGGGTCCGAACTCTGGCATCCATGCGGGCAGTTTGGGAAAGAGATAGGTCTCCTCGCGATCGTGATGCACTTCCAACTCGTCGAAAAAGGTCAGTCCGAGCTCTATGAGCAGTTGCCTTGCAGACGCATCGATGGGATTATGCATTCTAGCGCAATAAGATTGTAGTCCCAGCCACAGATTTGATGCCAAAGATCACAGTGATTAAAATATGTCCAGCTTGTGAGGGCGACCCATTATAGAGAGTTGGGGGAAACCCCATAATATACCCTCCATGCTAAAAGCTAATCCATTATACTTTCTATATTCCTGTGCGGAGCGTTAATGTGAAGATTTCCTGTCAGTATATGGCTTAGTGGGTCGGGTTCAGTAGGCGTTGAGACCGTGGAGCTGTGTCGCGACATCAGAATGGCGGGACGAATAAGCGGATAAGGCGAAGAAGTGACCGACCTTCAAATACAAGCGGACGACGACGTGCGTACCAAAAAATCTGACAATAAAGGACGGGTAGGCCACTTAGGCCGGAAGTGCGTTTAGCTAAATTATCTGAATTTTCTCACTCACATTATTCTGTTTCAATGCATCATGTGGCTTTCCCTAATATCCGGCCGATAAAAAGGGAGGGTTCTAGGCGCTTATAGAAGCGAATATTTCAGCGCGAATTGATAGGGAACACCCCCAACTTTACTCGTCCTATATAGATTTGACACAATATAGAGTACGGTGGGCCCACGGCCAGATATCAAGCCCATACATAGTCAACCGCGGATCCCGAGTGAGAAAGCGAATTATAACCAAGAACGCCAGATTCCCAGAACCGCTGTCCGTATGTAACATATCAGATGATGTCCGGCCCACTATATCATTGGGTGCCAGTCGCAACCTGTAAATATATAATAGGATATATAAATACGTAAAATCGCAACGATTGGAAGTAAAAGGTGAAAAATATCTAACTACTCACATATTCGAATGTGAAAAATGTCATCATCAATCAATAATTTCCAAACACTCCTTGATCAACAGGTCGGGAGACTACCACAACGATCATGGCCTGCAAGCAGTGGTATGCAAATATCTCCTGGCAATAATCCCAGCACGGTCACGTTATGCAGTTCAGCTAAGTGGAAAAACGGAAAGGTCCATCAAAGAAGCGGAGAAATATACCGATCAACTCCTTGCGCTTCCAGGGAGCTGCCTGGGTTACTGCGGGTGGTGGTATGTATGCGACACTGCACGGAGCCTACAAGATCTTTCGGAATTTCCGTGGATTCAAATATATCTGACAGTATCGCCATTCCTGACCACCCATGACCGTAATATGTTGCACCTCAACCAACCGTCATCCAAATTATATAATCCAAGTCATAATTGAACCCCTAGCGACGACCAGTTGGGTTATAGTTTGCAATCGCAGATCGGTGGTCAACCACAAGATCATTCACTTGTGAGAATGATGGATGTTGGTTATTTTGCCGAAAAGTCTTTTTTATCCCGAAGAGGGTCTTCGACTTGACGCAAGCACTAGTGTGAATCAAACGAACTGCTTTACTAGCTGCCGATATGTTCCTGAAAATCAACGGCTATTACCTTCAGATGTACCATTAGCGGAGGATATTCACAACAAGGGAGTAGCAAATTCCCACGTTGCCGAGTGCAGTACCAACCCCTGGATCAATCAAAACAAAAGATTCTCCTGAGTTGCCAATGACAACTGGAACCTTCCTGGCGACCAAATTTCCTCTCGCATCATGGGAAATGAAACCCGTTGTGAGCCGATGAAAGTATCGCGCGGTAGGAGCACTTCTAGTGTCGTACAAGGAAGGGCCGAAAAGCGCTACAAAACATATTAGGTCGAACTAATTGAAGACTCAAGTCAGTGAATGGGCAGGCATTTTGTTGACACTTCGTTCGCATTTGAGCCTTAGCTATATATGTTGCAGAATATATATACATCTTAAGAGGTCTATGACAGATTCGGCTGGGATCGGTGCTCTTAAATACCCATCTTAAGCAGCTTTGTCTCGGAACGGAAAGGTATATCAGCGGACCGGACTGAATCTTCAGTCAAGACATGGAAATCATATAAGCTAGCATTTGCGTAAGTTATTAGTGAGAGATGGTCGCTTTGCTTCGTTTATGAAAACACGCTGGAAATTTTTTCCACTATAGCGGCATCCGCTAAGCAATAGTTCCTCGGTGGCGCGACGGACCCGATCAACGTCATCACAATGTTTTGACTTGTGCCAATCATTTTCATTTCTTGAATCGCACTTCTCGAGTGATCTGCTGATACTTCGTGTTCGGCGGCAAGTGTATTAGGGCTGACATCACCATGATCTAATCCCAGAATACATTTTAGCTCGCTTAAGCTTAAAAGCCGTCGGTCAGATTTTAAAATTTTGAAAATAATTGCTAAGACCATATATTTTTCAACCACTAGTAAATGAACCAATATGGAACGATATATCGTGAGGTCTTCAGCCTCCATCGTCCCTAGACTAACTCGAGCCTTCGCACAAAAGGCCCAGTCTAAAAATAATGGTGATCAGAAATGTGCGACCAGCATCTCTATTGAGACAGTCTCGAAACCAGCTGATACAATTTGGTCCCAGTTAACGTCGGTGCGGCATTCCCAGATGACTTTGAGGACTCGCCATTGAAGTCTGAGATTCTTGAGAAGCGAAACCGGAATCAGGGGATTGAGGACTCTTATCACCCCGTTCGTACATTATCAGACGTTTCACATATCGTGACCACTGACAAATCGATCATCAGACAATGGACGAGATTTACGAAAGTATCCGAGGAAAACCGCCCCCCGAGAGTGCGAAGACCGCCAAGTCCGGTCAGAAGAAGGAGAAGAAGCGGGAGCCTGCTGAAGAGGAGCGAGAGCCTGAGATTGATGAAATGTAATGTTTTTCCACTATCAATAATTTGAATATCAAATTTATCATATATGAGCAACTCAAGGTCTCATGTGTTTTTGTATCAAACAAGGCCGGACCATGCTTTGATCTCGCGACGTATGCCGCTGATAGACATACGTACTGAATAATGTAAATGTGGGTAGAGTGCAAATCCGCTTGATTCTTATATACTATATTACAGAAACGCTTCTCCCAAACCCATGATGAATGTGACAGAAAGTGCAACAGTTAGATCTATTGTTTTCTGCAAAAGCGTCGCCGGTAATCGAAGAATTATCTAGTAGGCGATGAACCGTAGTGGACTAATTACTCATGTCTTTTGCCAGATTTCAGCGTCGTTTACGGTCTTGAAGCTATTCCTACCATATAAATGCGTATTATAAGGGAGAAGATGAATAATCTCGCCTTTATAAGGGTTGAAAGATTAATTCGTGAAGCACTTGGTATAAATTAGGCATTCCACCCCTGACCGCTATACACCATCGCAGTTGTGCCCACAGCTATTCCCCCGCATGATGAAAAACGAGAAAGGGTTGCATTTGAAAGTTCGATGCTCGCTGGTATCATTCGAGAGGCAAACGAGTCGCTCACCGAACTGAGGAAAAAGTGTCCTTAGCTTGGTCTAGAATTTCCAGCGGCCTTCTCTCGCTACCCAGAAGTCAACGATACAGACCTGGATGTCTTTGGACCAACAGAGAACCTTCTGGTCATAGTATCTCTATGTAACTAAGTTACTATTTGGGATTGAATGATCATCCTTGTTCAGGCGGTTTAACACCCATACATGAGCTGGCATTCTTGAATAATGCCAGTAAGTACTATCATCCTCTTCAGCAATTACAGTGACTGCAAATAGTAATATAGAAGAATAAGAAGAATCAAAGCTGGTCGGTCGTGATGTAACTAGCCAATAATGATTGAGGAGGGTGATATTTCACCCGACGGACGTCAGTCTGCGTCTCCTCTCCATCTTCCTACATTCCATCACCACCACTCAAAATGGAAACCCCCGAGATCGACTCCCTAACAGCCCACTTCCCCCAAGAAAGCCAATTCATCGGGAGCGAAGAATCCCCCCCCCCCCCCCCACCCTGGCCACACAGCCGCCCTAGCCTCATTAGCAGTCTTTAAATGGAGATATCTCAACCAAACAAAATAGCTTCCAGCAGAACGTGTCTAATGTATTGTTATCGAATTGCTGGTTAGAGATTGAATTCAAGATTCGTGCGTATCTAACTAAATCAAAAGCATGAATGAAGAACAACTCGCTGTTCTATGCCATTAGAGTCTACTTTTTTATCTACATTGATCAAATGTGGCCCACTTATCCGCGTGATGTCAGTCGCATAGCTCAAGATCGTGGTCCGTGCCGATCCCGTCGATCCTGGTTTTCGTTAATACATCTATACGAGAAACACATAGAAGATGGGTTCTTTCATTGTATGGGTCTACAAAATAGCAAGATATTGCAAAGTGGAACTGGGATTTCTAGGCCTACTCTCGTGTCCTCACTCCAAAAAGGGATTTTATAACAGAGAATAATCACTGAAGGCGACTTTGTCCCATAGTATTCCATTTGACACTTGGCCGTAGCTCCTCAAAGGGGGATCAGACATATGAAAGGTTTTCCTCCATGATTTTGATTTTGATTTCTTATCCCACTTGGAACACTGGTTCGTTAGAGAGTCAATCTATGCATATGTCAATACGGGTATTAAATAATGTTACTCGATTTGAGACTGACAAACCTTTCTAGTTGTGTAATAAAATTCTCTCCTGCATCCTCCCTTGATTGGGAACAGTGTCCAGCTTTACACCCCTCACAAAGTTCACTGTTGTGAGGACCTCTGCTGTTGTCGGACTTCGAAGGCGTCTCTACCGGGACTCCGTTCCATTTTTTTATCCGGTAGACAATTCTCTCAGCGTATGACTGGTCCAGCACTGGTCGACTGACCCAACTGCAAACTTTACAGCGTTGGTGGTATACCCTCGCATTGTATTTTTGCCCTGGGTATAGGCGAATTGTGACGGCGATCATCTTGCTTGACCATCCGCTGGATTTGCATCCTCGGTTATGGCATACAAAGCGGCCCATGATGTTTGTATCATGCGCTCTGGTGTGGCTTGTGTCATTATCATCCTCTTGGAATTCGAAATGAAGATCTTCCTCGACCAACAATGTTGATACCTCATCGTGAAGAGCTTGATACATAGACCATTTGGCTATGGGCTTCTTTCTTTTAGCTGGAACCATCTTTTGTGGCATATAGAGCGGCTGGAATAATGAACAATCAAGATATTTGTTAGACCTTGATGAAGGTAACAGATTCCAGGATGCGTGTTAAAGAAAGTCAAAAGATCGGAAGGAAGCTCGTAGTGATAGTTTGAAGAGTGCGGTAGCTGGCTTTTATCGTCACAAATCTAGTATTTTCACAAAATTATGACGGAGACAACTTCGCTATGAGGGTGGGGAAAAAAGAGAAAAATGGAAGAGAGAGGGATAGAGAGTAGATATAGACCACCGAAAAAAGCAAACAACGTTCTGGAGGCTTGCCATCATGGTGCCTCCAATAGTAAAGCTTCCCCCCTAGGCTAGCGTCAACTGGGTTCAACTAGCGCGTACTTGATTGCTGCCACCTGTCTGGCCAATATCGAAATACCACGTAGAATATAGGCAAGGATTCTTGCATTTTTGGGCACCAATAAGCTGGGCATTGCATACACCGAGATGAGAAAAGTACAAACCCTGGCATCTAGGAGCCAGTCTTCGGCCATGGTCCGCTGAACAGAGGGCAAAATCCACACAAGATAAATCTGTACTTTGTCAGCCGGTTCTCGTTGTCTGAGTATTTTATTGAATCCAGCGATTCTTTGGAGTCGGAGTATCCGAATTAGAACTCTTGTATAGTTCAAGTAAGGCAGTATCTAGCTCCCATCAAACAAAACCCCGCTCCATCTGCCGTCGACCTTTGATATCTGGGTACCAATCACCCATGGTGTATGACGGCTCTTATTGCTTTGTCACACGCATGCGCCGAAGAATGCAAGTATGCGTTGGCGCAAAACTTGCACTAATGACTAGGATTTTAGTCTCTGTAGAAGGATGCCTCCTGCATGCATTGGATTCTCACATCGACGCGGAACACGGTTTTTGGTATTTGATGGTAAGAGAACACAAACTTGGCAGCCAATAGAGAGGGATAATATGCGCTTTTTTAACAATAAAAGCATCGAAAACCCCGCCAATCTTGCGCATGTGAAATTCGCACGGTGTAATAGGGGGTTCAACAAAGTCAATAATATGTAATTTCCAACCACTAAATGCTTTCAGTCCAGCCGTCACACCCAATCATATATTCACTTGGATATCTAAGATAACTTCTGGTTTTATAGTATCAGCAGTCCCCAGTGAGGTCACTGGTAAGCAGTCCTTGTCAAGCTACAATATCCGCATACGGGTATTTGAAGCGTAAAGACGACCTGAAGCTTCATAGAACACTTCGTTTAAAAAGATTTACAAGTTAAAGGATATGATTACAAGAATTAAATATTAGGCCTGATTCCAAATATTGAATACTTGAACCCAAATCTCAGAGAAAAGAAGCAGGTTTTCTCTTCGGACTCTATGCAGCCAAATGGACTCTGGTGCTAACAGGAAAACCAGCACAGGTCAAACGTCGAGTGATAGGCGAATCTTCAGGTTGCTAATTTTCCTCTATCAAGACAATAATACCTTGTGAGAATCGACCCAGATATGTCTCTCCGCCGTCGATATTGGAGATTTCGGTACTAGAAGAAAACATCAATCAAGGCATCTACCAATCCATTCTCTATACATTTGATACATATCGCAAAATTATCTTTATTCTTTGTTAAAATATCTTTTCTCACAACCCTGCCACAGATATCGGCGTAAGTGTAGATTGTGAAGTATAAGCTAAATTGATCTCCGTCCCAATTTGTCCTTTCCACCTCTCCATGGGGTTGAAGAGGAAGCTCTAGGACGAAGAGAAGCCAGTCTTTCTTCCCGAGCCTGAGATTCTGGGACCAATTCGGGAAATAAAGGTTGACTAAGCTCTCTTAGTCGCTCCATTTCTCTGGCTTTTAGCTCCCATTTTTCTTCACCTCCCGTTCCTCGTTTCTCATACGGTTCCGTTCCCATCCAAGCCATCCACTTCTGCACAACAGCTATCGCTCTTTCATCTGGGATTTTAAACCACTCAATGTGGTTCCGAGAGCAGCCTGGGCATTTCTCTTCGATTTTTCTGTGCTCCAACAATTCTAGGTGAACCAGAGCCTCGACACGACAAATATGGGCAACCTCTTTCAAAGCTCGCTGGCCATCGCTTGTCTCTGGCGCGAAGTCTGGAAAGTGAATTCCCATATCCTTCTTACATTGATTAGACCATTCCTTGAAACGGCGACGAACATCTCCCGAGCGTCCAATCTTCAGGTATCCAAAATTGCCTTGCTGCCAAAATATATACATCGAACCCTTAAACTTCAAATCGCTTGTCGAGAGAGGCTTCGTAAGAAGTTCCCTAAGACTCTCAGGTAGGTTTCGGGTGATGATCTTTGACGTGTAGGGTTTGAATTTTTGGATTGGATTGACCTCGTTCAAACCCAAACCCGCTTGCTTCTCCCGATCACCAGACCGTGTAATTTCACCAATGGGCAGAGTTGTTGAAATGCGTGGTTCCGCGATAGCGTCCAAAACAGACTTTTGGGTAGTTGAAACTTTCTTAGATGGAAAACTCTTCTTAGCGGGCCTGGAAGTAGCATGTATCAAAGCCTGTGGTCTAAGAAGTACCATTCCTGGACGGGAGAAGTCCATTGTTATCTCGTGTGGGTTTTTCGGCAGCCAGAATTCGATCTTCTCTCGACAGAACCGCTTACTCGTGGTTGGTTCGAGAATGAATGAGAAGGAGCTGACATCTTCTGGCGACAGAACCTCGAAGTATTCATCCATATCACGCATATCAGTGTCGTTGGAGGACAACTGGTTACTCTTTCTGCGTCGGTTTAGTTTTGGTGCTAGTTTCGTCTTCAACGCTTGACGCTTCTGGTTGTTTTCTTCAGCTGGTTCCTCTCCTTGAGCGACGAGAATTTGCGAAGTGATCTCTAGTTTTGCAATGAGGTGACTCCTGCCCTTCACCTCTACCTTGCTTTCAGTTGAGTGCTTGGTTGGATACAGTAGCTTCGTTGCAACGGCTTCATCGCACAGGCTATTGGGGTGACTTTTGTCAGGGATAGCAAGGTAGCGTGCATTGTGACTGGGAAAAGGCCCTATGAGCGGTTGGGACCCGCATAAATCGTGAGGTCGACATTGCAGAGACTTTTCAAAGATTAATGAAAACATCAGTGGATATTGCCAGTACTCTGAATTTGTGTAATATATGCCCTGTTGTTTACAAAGGTTAGGAAGCTATATATATCTTTAAATCAGAGGGAAATGGTATTTCGGGGCACAGAACTAATATGCGATGTAACCACACTAATGTCGGGCCAGTTTCACGTGCGGCGCTGGTGTTTATCATACATTGATTGTTGCTCAGGCCGTTCCTCTCTAGCGACCTACGAAAATGAAGATTTAGACATTGTGAGTAGCAGCTCATGTTTGTTGATCCGTTGTCCATCTCCTTATGGATAGCAATAGATGATGCGTTAGCATTCTTGATTGAGAAAGCACGACTGGCGTACTTTCCAGTCCCATCAATGGTCAGATGTCGACCTCATTGGCGGGTTATTTCAAGCTAAGACCAGCGCATAATCTTGCGCCACTGGAATGATCTTAAGCTACTGGCGCTGCCAAGTTCTGTGGCCGACCGGGTCTATGTCGCAATAATGCGAAAGAATCATCGGCTCTGGAGTGCATGGTTGGTATGTGGGCCCCTCTCCCTCAGCCGCCCCCCAAGGGTTCGTGCTCTCACTAGCCTCATATGGTCAGCCGCCAGAGGAGGATCCGCGGCGACGGGGGCTGAGTTCGATATTTCGATGGTCACAGAGAGAATCCTACGTTTTGGCTCGAAAGGTTCAACGACAGAAAATAGTCCTTGCACCCCAGACTGCAAAAATATTCCTGTTATATACCCAGAGTTAGGATTATCACAAGTTTCTGTCTTTAAACTACCCCACTTGTCGCCGAGGTATTCCCATATCTTTCGGCTAAGAACAAGGGTGCTACTGGATCGTGTACTTGACATAATAAATTGGAATTTTATTATCTTATTTTATTTTATTTTATTTATTCTCGTTTTATTTTTAGATCGGGACCAAAGATAGACAGAGGAAAACCAATTGTTTGTGATATTTCTCACCTGTAGCGCCGTTGGTGATGGTTTTGATTAGCTATGCTTAGCTACCCTGCTAGTTAGCACATTGATACAGATTTCACACGAGAGTTTTGACTTATAAGACGTGATGCAGCTCTCCGTATAGGAGGCATCGGCAATATGTTGCACTTAAGGGCACACTACCTTCTGGCTTAAAGGTGATGATCAAGATGAGGATTCGGCTCTTGATTTCGACTCGCTTCACAGGAACAGACCTAAGCCACGGCGCAGAAAGAACCACTTGCTGATCACCCAGTGCGATAAGTCTAGCTCAAGCGATCTAAGGGTTACATGGGTTGGTCAATACAGCCCCGGGCCTAGTCCGCGTATAGTGGTTAAAATATGTTTTCGGGCCCCGTCGCACTTAGCGGCGGGTTCGGGTATGATCAGAGCGACACTGTACAAACTACAAAACGTAGTCAGTATTGTCGCGTGATATGGATATCAAAGTGAGTGGAGACTTAGGTAAGAAGACTGAGAGTGTGAGACATTTTGAAGAAGCTTTCTACGAGCATAAAGGGTTGGTGGAGGAAAAGAACCATCCATGATTCCAAAGAAGTCTCGGGGCCAATGAGTACTCAGTCTACTCTTGGATAGCTTATCTAGCACGTAGTTTCTTCTAGCTAGAGCTTCACGTAGAGAATGAATTAGATTATTTTCCCCGAAACTCAAATCCCGCAGTTCGGCCCCGTGGCGATCGCTACCTAGATGAACGGCCCAGAGCTGCCCGCTGATCCCGACTCTCGCTACCCTCCATCGCGTGCTCCTATCGCGTGGAAGGGCATGTCAAAAACAATATGAAAAAAACGCGAGAATGACTTATGTTTTCCTGTCCTCCTTTTTCTTCCTTTTTTTCTCACAAACCTCCGGCATCAGTTTTGGATACCGTAATTATTAATGGGACACCGACTAACTAGGGTAGGTATGCCTAGTTCGCCGCCGAGTTGCCTTCTTGCCTGTTAGGCTTCCCTCCTAACATTCTCGCCCTTGCGCCATAGAATCGCTAAGGGGCCTTCAGACCCTATCATTCTCTATAGAAGTATCTAGGCGGCTACTTTGTTCGCTCTAGCGTATTTATGTGTCGATGATCCATTGGTGAAAGTGGATGCACGTGGATGCAAGACACCAGCGCCCTGTGTATTTTCCCAATTGCACAAGGCAAGCACAGCCACCTCCTCTCATTTTAGTCTTGACCAGACTCCAAGGCGTTGGACTGGCTGCGACTCGAAGAGCGCCTACGCTGTGGGGCAGCTATAACAGTAATGTTAGTTCATTACCTCCTAGAAACTAGGATTAGGGGCCGCGAACATGAAGTTTCGCCTGCGAGTTTCCACGTATGTCAGGGCTGGACTATCTATAGTATATATCTAGATAACTATCGGAATGCCTATAGCTATACCTACTCTTTCATGACTCTAGACCACACTGCTCAAGTCTCAGACCTACACTTTACCCATGCTATTCACAGCCAAAGAACGGAAGAAGGTTGAAAGTCTCCGACAGAAATACAGAATTGAATTCCGCGGAGAGGTGCCAAGCCATAAATGGCCCGATAGCCATCGTCGGATTTTTATCGCGGTTGATAAGCTAGGAAAGCGGCAATTCGACACCTATGCGGCTTATACGATAGCTATTGAAGATGCACTATAGACAGTAGAAATAAAGAAACATGCCGATGAACTCTCTAAACGCGCTAAGCGCTATATGAGGCGAATGAATCGACCTGGCGGTTTGCGTGCGAACCCTACATATTGGCTCGACTTACTTTAGAGGTCGTATGGGAGGAATTCTAGTTCTAACGATCTTAATAAAATAGCTTATATTAGACCCTAGTAAGTTTTGTCGGCCAGCCTAACTTCCTTCGTGTCTCGTGGCCACTATAGCGTACCGTCAGAGTGTATGTGTATCTTTGTGCTTCCCCAGCGTTGGGCTGGGCTAAGGTGAAGCCTCAAGAGCCTCGATCATGTAAATCCGAGTCCCTATTGGATGTTCATGTGTCTCTCATGATATATAACCGATCCATTAAACACTTATTGATTGGGTGGTTAGAGTCCATGAGCATGACTAGCGCCTCTTGGTAGGTGTAAAACACAGCCCCCTCGCGCTACACAGCGAGGGAGGTCTACGCCTCACTGGAAGGGCAAAAGAGGGAAAATAAGTACGCCCCCACGATTTCCCAGTTCTAGGGGGAGGATCTATTCCGCTAGATCATCAAAGCCACATTCTTATTAACAATTTCCACGCACTTTTCGTCCTTTTAGCTTCGATCCGGTGTGTCGACATATCATTTGGTTTCTCAATCGGAGACATTATTCTCTACACCCAGATAGCATAATCTAAGATATCAGGTACAATAATGATGTTTGGCTTGTTTGCATACGGATCCTCAATATTTCGGAGATGATCGACCTTCCCGGTGTAGGTAAGCGTAAGTATCTTTTTCTTTGAGGGCACCTTACAATAGCTTATCAGCTTGCGATAACAGCTTATATGGACGATCTCCCGAGGTCCATGCAAGCTTCAACATCCTTCCAACGTCTCCCCAGAACGAATTACCTTGCCTCAGTAATCCCTCGCTATGGCCAAGGAAATAACCACAAGGACATTACATGCCCAGCCTGAGAAAAGCCACGACCACCCCAATGACGGAGAGAATGACAACAAACAACATGTATCATTCCATCCGCGCCATATCACCCTCGAGACCTTCCACAACCTGCTATCTCACTACCCTTCAACGATAGAGCGAGTGCATCGCCGCAAGCTGATGCTGAAGCTGCAGTCGAAGACGGGGAAGGGACCAAAGCGCAAGGCTGAAACGAAGACCAGTGCAGCGCCGACCACGAAGGCAGAGCTCGATCCGTCCGAGGATAAGCACATTCTCGAAGAGACGGATAAGTTCCTCCAGCTTGACCGGTGGCGGTATGAAGTTCTGCCGAAGATGATCGCGGAACGGGCGAATGAGAGTGGCCAGAGAGGAAACGCGCCAGAGGGAGCGCACTTGCTCAAGGAGGAGTTAGTTGATATCATGGAATGGAAGACGTGAGTAACAATTTGCTTTATTCATGTTGCAGTTCAGGTTTTTTTCTAACTTGGTTTCAGAAAACATGGAGTCTCCCGTCCCATGCTCATGGGAATGGTGAAAAGCAACCAAGTCGCGACGATCACCAAGTCTACATCTACGGCTTTCGCCGCCCTCCCAGATGTGGATCCTGTTGTTGCGCCGAACGACTCGTTCCCTAAAGCCAGTCTGGACGCCCTTACTGCGCCTATTCGTGGCGTCGGCCCGGCTACTGCATCTTTGATTTTGTCTATTGCCACGGTCTTCGGTGATGCCAAGAAACAAGTCCCCTTTTACAGCGATGATGTGTATCTTTGGCTGTGTCTGACGGATTTCCCAGAGGGTCCGGATTCCAAAGAGCAGAAGCCTTCTAAACATAAGAAGCCCGATGGGGAGTTGATTGCCAAGTACAATATGAACGAGTATCGAGATCTGTGGAATGCTTCACAGGAGCTGCGGGCACGACTGAACAATGGCGCTGGGGAGAAGTCTGGGGGTGGGCCTGTCTCTTTTATCGATATTGAGAGGGCTGCTTATGTGCTCCGCAATATCGCTGTCTCGGATTACTTCGCTAATCAAGATCCCGGGGCTGGTTTGAATATTGTGAAGAATATGGAGTCGGCGAATAACCAGCTACCAAAGGAATCAAAGAAAGATTCCGGTGAGGTTGGCACGAGGCGTAGTAAGAGGATAAAGCAAGAGGCTATGTGATGACAGCTGTATATTATTGAGGATTGTGCTTTTCATGCTGCGACTACTTATTTTCATGTCTCTAGCTGTAAAATGAGAAGACAAAGAGACATTTCAAGATCCCAAGAAGATATGCAAGAGGACATTGCAGTATTATCCAAGATATGACGTCTCTGATATCATAGTCAAATCTATTATTGAACTAAAAGACAGCTTGATATAGAGGTGTCATTGCTTTGTTTTCCCTTACTGTTCGAATTACATTCAGATTAACTATTTTATCTTGCTGCTTTTGATTGCCTTTGCGAGGATCAATGGATTAACTCGACGCTTGGCCATTCCCCGTTAGATATGAATCCAGTATCTTTCTTTATTTCAGCTACTGAATTAATCAGTCGCAAATTGGCTATGTATATCTGTAATGGCCTCGAGGAAGTTCTGGCAAGTCTTACGGGCATAAAAACACAACTATCAACAACCCAATATATGTTTGTATCCCCAATCCCTCGTAGGCTCCCCAAAAATCGGCTCCCAGTCCCCAACCCTAAAAGCCAAATACGGCGCTCCCTATGCAAATAATGCACCATCTTAACCTCATTCATAACCGTGGCATTCTCAACCGGAACCCTATAAAACCTCCTCCTAAGACTCCTCCTCGCCACCTTCAGCACATAAACCAGAAAGACGAAGGACTGTTTATAGGCGGTCTTGAAATCGTATCTGTGGTTGTTGATCTCGATTGCTGCATACGCGTTGTCGCGACTGCATTTCCACTACTAGCAGGTTTACCTTGTTTTGCGTTGTCCAGTGCGAGAGGAAGAGGTTTATCGTCGTCGTTATGGAGGTTATGGGGTTCGACCAGTTAGATGTAGGGGAATGTCGACTATTATGCGGATTGTGGGGGTTTCTGTTATAGCGTTTTGGAAAATTGAAGTTTTTGTTGAGATCTAATTCTATACTACACGCCTATGACTACTTGAGGATAGTTCAGATATACATATGCATGTTCTTATCAAGTACACCGTTGTAGATGACACAAGATCTGCCACCATGCTACGCTGGTTACGATTAATACGGAGTACACATTTCGTCTACGTATTCAGAACCACATCTATGCCAAACCAGTCGCATTTTTTGGAAACTCATCACTATGTACAAATTCACGGCCGTCAAGTCTTGATTAAAAGCAGATATCAGATACAGGAGAGACGCATGCATCACAAGAATAAAAAGGGGGGTAGGGGGAAAGACACAAGAAAGTCGTCAGATCATGCAATCCATGCATCACGGGCCATCGTCAAGATGGCCGGTTTTTCCAGTGAATTGTGTTTCGACATGACGGAGAGGGGTAGGGAGAAGTAGAAGTAATGGCGAATGGTGGAAAAATAGGTAGGAGGCGGGAGGAGACGGAATATCTGCCGTTGAAGGGAGAACCGGGGAATGAGAAGAGATGAGAGAGGTCGGAACGGTAACAGCACTGCGTAAGCAGTCGCAGTACAGATCGGATCGAGGCGCGTGAATTGATAGCAGGGTGTTCTACCCCGGGTTTTTTTAATAGGTTTTGTCATGTAAAGAATAGTGCTCGCGATATTACCGCTTGGACGGATTGGGCTTGCGCTCGGCAGCACGCTTGGCCTTGGCGGCATTTTCTGCGGAAGCGGAATAGGGATAGCCCACATGCTGATCGTCATTGTCACTGAACGGGACAATGGACGAGATCTTCTTGGAGCGACTACGCTTCAATGGCTGGGACAGAGGTGGCCCAGATTGCGGCGCAGGACTCGCGAGGGAGGGTCCCGGCTTGGCTTCGGCGGTAGCTGACGGGGCAGCGGCGCGCTCGTCGTCCTCGACGTGGATGTGGCGGAACTCCTGCTCCTGCTCATCTGCTTCGGACGGTGCAGGGCTGTCGGAGTCGGAGGCTGCCTCGTAATCATCTTCATCATCACTGACCAAACTGGGGGCTTGGTTGGATTCGATGGCGTGAGGGCTGAGGGTTTGATGATGCATGCTGTCCGATTCCCGAGACTGCAATGAATGGGACTTGCCAGCGAGCGAAATGTCCAAAAAGGACTGTGGGCGCGACGGGGTTGCTTGCTCGGTAGGCGGGCTGTGTGCGCGATCCAGGGCCTTTCGGCTCTCAGACTCTCCGGCGGTTTGACCAACAGGCATACGCATCAGCTGGCGACCGGCGCGAGCACCAAGGGAGGTATGCCTGGCTCCCGCCGACAGTCGAGAGTCATCTGTTTCCGAGTCATCGTCGAAAAGACCAAGATCGACAGGCTTTCGGGATTCTTCCACCAACTTGTCCATGTCTAGACCAGCACCACGGGATTTCATGAGAGCGGACAGATGAGGAGTTGCAGGAGAAGCCAAAAACTGGGGGTTCGGAGGCTGTCGGATAGGCTCGGAGCGTCGTCGGTAGGTCGGTTCAGCAGTCGAGGGAGGAGTGGCAACGGATGTGGTAGCCGGATTCGGTTTGCGAGGGGTGACAAGGTCCTTAGCGGGTGTATGAAGAGATTTCCAAGGGGTCGTAGCAACGTGGGTAGAGCGGATCAGAGGATGCACGTAGCCTGGGGTTGTTGGGTTAGCAGTGGGCTCAGCAGAGCCACCGACCACAATCCCGGCGTCGTCGACCTGAACAGATTGGCCACACGCCATGGCAGCAGCGTCGTGGCTGGCAAAGTTGCGGTTGTGCGCGATGCGACAGTGGTTTATAAATCCTTGAGTGCTGGAGAAGTTATCGCGCCGGCAGTCCAGACAGACCAGCTTGACCAGGACACCATCCGACTTGCGCCGGATGAGCATCGGCCCGGACTTCTCCTTGACCACAGGGTAACCAGTCGACAGTGCGGTATGCTTGGTGGCAGTTGAGCCTCGCTGGGGACGATTCTTGCCGGCCAGCATGCCCATCTCACCGGGGTTCCCACGCGTCGATCGACCCTCAACCAGCGAATTTGCCACCATCCCAGAGTCGCCTTCACCACCGTCAAAGCGAGGGTCAGGAAGCAACCACCGGGCGTAGTGGCGGGCGTACGGGCCTTCGGTTACTCCCCATGGAGCAGGCGACATCGGTGCCGGACCATTTCCAGGTGCCAGCACTGACGCGCCCGTTCCCGAGCTCACATCCGGCGAGACACCCGCAACACGGGATCCGGGATAGGGGATTTCGCCACAGCGTCGCAGCTGTTCCAGAGCGACTTGACACTTGGCAATCTCCTGGTCGATAAGACGAAGTTCGTTGTGCTTGAGCAACACCTCCAAGCTCAGCTGGGCGGTGATGGTTTCCCGAAGTCGGGTCACACTAGGTCCGGCGACGACGGCGTCCTGCGCCGGCGGGCACGCGGACGCGACCGATGAGTTTGACGAAGTTGGTGGAGTAGAAGGGTTGGAAGTGATCGAGTCAGCGATCACGGTCGGAGTTGGGTGCGAAGAAATGGAATCCGCGCAGACTTTCGTCGGGGCGGGCGCATCGGTCGCGTCGGAGTCGGAGTCTGAACGTTTGCGCTTGAGCTGGGGCAGCGACAGTGTGTTGATATCAGTGCAGTTTGGAGCCAGCATTTTGACATCCTCCATCACCTTATTCCCTCCTATAGTAGAGGGCCAGGGAAGCAGTCGAAACATGCCATGTGAGTGCATAGAGATGGTTTTGGATTAGGTGGCAGATGGTCCATGCGTTCCAAGTTTATTACGGAAAAGGAATGGACGTCGACTGCGCGACCGGAGGTTGATTACGGAAGGCAGCAAAAAATCTATTAATAAGAGGGAGGAGAGTACAAGAAAGAGAAAAGGAGGAGAATGGGGGAAAGAATAATGGGAGAATAGGAAAAGAAGAAAGGGAAAGGGGAAGAAAGGGGGATTGAGAGAGGACAGAATAAGAGAATAAGAGAGAATAATGGGAATGGGACCTGGGAGAGACAGAGTTGGGAAAGGAAAGGGGAGTGGAGTTATGATGTGATACTTGTTGTTCCCATACTAATTATATGGGCAGATCATGTACCATTGGTTAATGGGGGAATTATTGGATCAGTCTCAAATATCTGCGACACGTCATACATTTCTATTTATTTATTTATTCTATCTATGAATGTATGTATCTATTATATTATAAATGATAACATTCTATATCTATACACATTGTCCTATTTACTATTCACCTATTGACTATTATCTATTATCTATTCACCTATTCTTGGACTCATTCACTCGGATGTCTACGGCTGATACCCAATATACCCAAGCAACTCTGACCCGATCCCATTGCATGCCAAGCCTGCAACGGCCTGGGCCTTGCCCTGTTTCTGCCTAAGCCAGTTGTATCTACGATCTGTGAGTTCCCCAGCAAATCAGATCCCACAACTATAAATCTTGCCGGGGGGCGAACCGGATATAAACAGGTTCTAACTGCGCCTCGATTGCATGTGCGAAACACAAAAGTACAAATCATATTTCACTATGGCATATCCATGGGATAGGTCAGATGTGGCTGAGAAAGCAAATGGAAAGTTGTGGAACATCATCGAACCGAGAGAACAGGGGCAATTATTCTATTCTTCCCCAGGTTCTTGGGAACTATGGAACTATATATACCAGCGGAGCCACTCTATACATATATTACCCCTATTTATAGCGTAAATTACTATTTCATCCGGAGTACTCCGTATCTTGTATACTCTAGCCATTTCAAGTTATATCTTCATATCTGACGTCGGGCTTCCCATCACTCTGATAACTCGGGCCAACCCGTCAATTTGGGAACTCACTCCGAGCCCGAGTCACAACTCTACTGATCACAGTAACCCCAACTAGCATCTCTTCTCTTCCCCATATTTTCAATCTCCATCCACTCATACACTCATACACTTTCGCTCCATTTACCGATATACACTTACTCCACTCATCCCTGACCATCACTATCCTGACTATTGTGGGGTCTGCCCAATGCTTTACGTGTAACCCAGCGCACAAGTACCAAAATGTACATCGTCAACTTTGGAATGACAGGGCTGCAGAAGTGGCCGACTAAATATATATAACGTGTTGTATTCCTAATGCAGAGAACATTACGAACAAATGCACCTCTATCTCCCTCCAACATTTCCGAGATGACTCACTATAGAGTAGAAAATATACCATGCTACCAGTGATATTCGAATCTCCCACATTTCCCAGTCCTGCACTCCGCATTATGGGGATGCGATTTAGACTTCGGATCCCGAATTCTAGCCTGCAGAGTCGCTTGGGCTACATGTATGCACGAGTTGGAGATTCGGCTGTTCATGTTGTAATCCATCAACGTATTACCGAGATATTGTCTACACATATATATGTAGGCATACAAAAACCCCTTGAACTAGACCGTTACCCCTCAAGTTTAACATTCCGATCAAAACAATACCCCCCTACTTCTACAAACCCCAAAGCAAATCGCTTATCGTAAACTCTCTCTCTTTTCCTTGGAAGCTGATAACCGCTCTAATGCGCGCCATTCTCTCAACACTCGCTACGCTCCAAACACCAACACTCCTTAGCGCCATACACACTACAATATATACCAACAACAGCCTCATCAATTCTGACCAACCAACACCAAAACAAATGTTGACCAACGAACTTTGTCAAGTCATGATGTACATGTGTAAACTTAATCCAGGTGGCTTGGATAAGAACCAATCTTCGACGCAGTCTGGTGGTTAGGGTTTTCGGGCGGTGGAGGAATATTGCATTTGATGCGGATTATCATTACTTTAAGTGTACAAGTGCTGAGGCGACTATTTGTGCTGATACGAGGGGGTCGAAGGGGAATGGATGGGAAGGTTCCTACTTTTGTTGTTTAGTGGGCTATTGACCTCGGAAGGCTGGTAATAACAATCAATGTGCTTGCGCTCCGAGGGGTTTAGCAGCAGTTTGCTCAGGGTAGTGCGTTCCGGACGGCATATTTTTGCAGTGATGCTACTCATGCTGGTAAAGAGTTAAGATTATTGGAACGGTTGAGTTTATCCAAGGATATGTTGATAGGTTGTTAAGGATGATTGCCCGTGAGATCGAGGGTGTATAGACAGATGATGCGATTCAATTCAATTCGAGTCCAATCGGTCATTCTTTTTTGCTTGTCAGACAAGCACAATCGCCAAAAACGCCCGTTGCAATAAAAAGACAGACGCTCGACTCGAGCATATGAACATGGAAGGCATTCTGGCCTCATAAACATAAAGCAGACCAACATACGCCAAGTGAATACATAAATCAGACAATGCTGTCAAAATCAACAATGAAACGAACGAGAATGAGCCAACGTAATCAATGGTATAGTATTCAGGTGGCCAAACGGGAGAAATCGAATCTCCAATCCAACATCGCGATCAAAAAAAGAACAATCGTATTCACCGTCCAGAATCAACCTAGTTCATCTGCCCATCCTTAATCCGCAAGATGAAGTTGACAACGACAGCGGCGAGCAGGGAAATGGCGAGGATTGTAGGACCGAATCGATCATCAATACCACTCTGCCCGCGCCGACGGATACTCTGCGCGCGCCAGTGGAATGTCACTAGGGCGTAGATCATTGCGCCCATAGCGATGACGGTAAAGAGGCCAGCGGAGATGCGACCGATGCGATCGCCGAAGTTGAGGAGGCCGACGGCTAGGCCGCCGAGGATGACAGTGAAGTTCAGCCATGAGAGGAAGGTGCGCTCGTTTGCGAAGAAGACTTTGGGCTCGACTCGGGTTGGGAGGGCAATTCGCTTGCCTGGTGGATGTTAGCTGGGTTCGGGGTGGAGATTGGAGGGTTCGAAGGTGGTTGTGGTGTGGGTTGGGATGGGGAGTGCGACCGTTCTGCTTCTCTTGGGGTGTTGATGTCACCGCGGTGTGAATTGGTGTCCACAGCCCAAGAGAAGCAAAATGATGGTCCGCTAACTAGCACCGCGGTGAGGGGAGAGAGTCTAGGTGGAATTGTCTCTCGTGCTGAGCTGTTGAGCTGCTGAGATTGGAGGTGTTGTCGTACTTACCGGGAGCGGTTTGGAGGAGAGGTTGGCTGGACATTGTCGGATGTGAAGAGGTGAGGTTGAAGATTGGAAGAGTTCGGAAGAAAAGAAGTGTCAGAAGAAAAATCCAAACTCAATTCGGAGAGATTGGCGAAGAGAAAAGCAAACTAAAGAAGCGAGAGGCTTCAAGAGTCAAGATCTCTTCCCCCCCAATGTCTTGTTCCGGCTTGGGACTAGCGGGATAGAGCTCTGTCGCACGTGCTCCCACGATTTGATGAGAGGCAGGTGACTAAGTATACGGTGGGTTCGTTCTTAGGTTTGATCTTATTTAGTATTCTACAAGTTTATATAAATATATTATATTGTTCATATATAAAGCTTGGATAAATCTTTATTAACAGAAAGTGTCTGGAAATCCGACGGAGACTATATTGCTCTTCATCGATACTTGCATACAACCTTGGACTCCGAAAAAAGGCCCGAGGACCAAGAAAAAAAAAAAAAAAAACTAGACATGTACAAGTGTTTCACCTCTCTCTCTTCTGTCTTTCCCCTATACGGTAAAGGTCAATGCGCCGAGAAATGGGGCACGCCGTTTCAAGCTTTAGACCTATAACTATTAACCGACGAATTGCCATTAGCGCATCTGCATATCATCCGAATATCCTCCGAGTTAGTGAAATTGACAGGTAAAATGTACATACAATTTAACATTGCATCTATACTCGGATCGTTGTGTCTCATAACATATCTTTTCCCGGTATCGCCCTGAGAAAAATGGATCGGAACGGAGACTAAAAAAGAACCCCGAAGCGATTTCCACTAGGCCCAAGAACTAAGGTCTAGAATAACTAGGCCCACTTTAGGCTTATAGGTGAGCATCTGAGCTGTTGTTGACTTGCGCATACTACCTGTGGGAAATATAAACTTTTCGTGTTCATACTGCTCATGTCTAAGGCATATCTATCTAGAGTAGGGTATACTGGGGGCATATATAACGAGGTAGCGAAGACAGTCGAACAACCAGGGAAATATAAGACCAACCATATAAACTCACAAAAATACCTAGAGATCCTTATAACCTCACAGGTTCTTGTTGATACTAAACCCTAATAAAGCATCTCATACAGTAATTGCTAGTCCAAATCCGGAGCTATCGAGTTATGGAGTTATGGAAAGAGACTATCCTCCTGCATAGCTGTTGCAATGATAAGACTGCGAGATATTTATCTTCCTAAATGCACAATCGAAGGGAATCTTTCACATCCCTCAAAGATAAATGACCTACGTTGATCTTCATATTCATAGTCAGCTTATAGTCCTAGTATAGGCTAAATACCAGAAAGAGCCTAAATGAACTCGTGAATGATATTTGCTTGTTCCGGTTCTCCCACAAAAGTACTCAAATGATTCCACCCCCTGTCCCCAATATACCAAATCCCAAACTTTATCATATACTAGAAACCGCCCCAATCCCCCAAGTGCACTAGCTCCAACAGCGCTAAGCCCACTTCCCCAAGCGCTAAATCCATCAAACGTTGATCTCCCATCGTATCCGCCCAATCTGCAAAATAAGCCTCAGAACCCCCCACAACTTGCATACACCATGTCCCAATTAGTCTCATTACCAACCGAACTCCTTCTCACAGTCGCCGAATCCCTCCCCAACCAAAAAGACCTCAGCGCCTTCGTCCAAACCACAAAAAGAACATACACAGTCCTCCAACCCTACCTATACAAAAACAACATCCAAAACCACGGCACCAGCGCCCTCCTCTGGGCCGCCAAGCATGGCCACACAACCCTGACCAAAAGAATGCTCGACGCAGGCGCCATCATAAGCGCCCTCAACACCAACCACACCAACCCCGCCAGCAGAACCCGGATAGCGGGGAATGCGCTCTCCCTCGCAGCCCGCGGCCCACACATAGAAACACTCACCTGTCTACTATCCGAAACAAGACCTGGCCGAGCATGCGACCCCGGCCAGCTGCGCGAAGCACTCCACGACGGCGCGATCCCGGCGCATAGTACCGAGGCGGTAAAGTTGCTGCTTCAGTATAAGGCATCGCTCGAGCCCGCAGACAGCGTCCCGCCGTATTCGTCCGCGCTTGGTGCGGCTGTTGCTGCATGCTGGCCTGATATCATACCTTTCTTATTAGAGGCTGGTGCTCGTCCCGGAGAGAATGAGATACCGACCCCGCTTGAGAGCGCGATTTGCACGAACCAGCCGGAGGTCGTGGAGATGTTATTTGGGGCTGGGATGAGGCTTGCGGATGATGGGGGGTTGTGTATTGTTGCAGAGCAGAACAACCAGACGCTGTTGAAGATGTTTGTTGAAGCGGGGTTGGAGGTTGGGATGTGTTGGCAGGGGGCGTTATTTGCGGCTGTTATGCATGGACAGACTGAGATGGTGGCTGGGTTGATTGAGAAGGGGGTGAATCCGCATTTAACGCATGATGTGTTTATGTTGAGTTTTGAGTGTCCGCGGTATAGTACTATTGGGTTTGCGGTTAGGTTCGGGCATTTGGGTGTTTTGAAGCTGTTGCTTCAGAAGGGGGTTCGTGCTGAGCGGAGTGATCTTGATTTGGCGATGGACGAGAGGTTCGAGGAGGCGGTGGCTCTTTTGGAAGGGTGTGACTTTGAGGATGTGCCGAGGAAGGAGAATGTGCGTGATTTTATTGAGAAGAAGGTTCGGGAGAGACGGGTTACGGAGCCTGGGTATGAAGATCTTAAGATGCAGGATTCGCTTTGTGATCCTGCTATGCGGCTGCAGGTGGAGGATTCGCAGCATACTCGCTATTTGTGGGCGAATGATGGTACAGAGGGGTACAGTATGTTTATTTCTTAGTGTATTTTTACTTTGGAGGGATTAATCACTCTGCTGTTGGTCCAAGAGGGTCGACAGAATCAATCTCATTCAACTGTAAAACACGAAACCTTGAAACAGTCCCCGAACAAGTCCTACGCTATACCTAGGTAGTCTGCTTCAGAACACCAAAATCCCAATCCTCGCGAATCAAATCCGCCGCCCTTTCCGCAACAGCGTAAACACTACTAACAATATTGCCCGAAACATTATTCGGGAACACTGACGCATCCGCAACACGCAATCCCTCAACGCCCTTCACCCTCAATCTACTATCCAACGCAGCGCCCATAGCAACAGACCCGCAGATATGGTACTCACCCGCAATGAGGTCGTGCACTGCTTCTCGGGCCGCATCCATGTCCTGCAAGTTCACACTGGGCTCCGGGCACGCGCGCCGCAGGATTGAAGACTTCATATGCTTTGATTCCGTGACTTTATCGCTCCAGCGCAGGAACGCCGCTAGGAGGGAGATGTCTGCTGGGTGGCCACCGTAGTTGGGGTTGATCATAGGGGGTTTGGTTGGGTCTGGATTTATTAGTATATGAGTTGATTGGACATGGAATGGATTTGTGTTTGGTTGTAACTCACCTGCACTCTCAATATGGATAGACCCTCTGGACACGGGGTACTGCAGACAAAGGGCCAAAGTCAAACCAGCAGGCTGATCAGCCGAGCGCGGCATAATTATCTTGCCCTGATGACCGATGGCATCCGTGTTCATAGAGGCTGGCACGGTAACAATCTGCATATTGGCAGAGTGGTCGCTCTCGAGGTGCACGATGGTTTGTTCGAGCTGTTTCGCGTGGAACGCGCTGTTCGGTTTGATATCGCGAATACTCTGGATGATATCTGCCAGTTCTGTCTCGGAGAGGATTTTCTTTGCCGGGAAAAATCCCTGCATGTTGCAGACGGAGCTGAGTGGCCCGCTGCTGTCCTCGGCATACTGCTTACCGGCAGCTTCCATTGCCCCGGGCACTTGGTATAGGGTGTCTAGTGTGACGATGCCGGGCTGCACCTCTAACACGTTAAGGGTGATAGAGTGGTCTAAGACGTTTGCGCCAACGCCGGGGTTGGCGACCTTGCACTCGACACCGGCGGCTTTGAGGACCTCTGGATCGCCAATTCCCGATAGCTCGAGAATCTGGGGGCTTTTGATTGTCCCGCCGCTGACGATTACTTCGCGCCGTGCGGAGACTTGGTACTCGACTCCGCCGTGTGTGAGGCTTGCGCCGGTGGCTTTGTTGCCGTCTAGTATGACGCGGTTGACGAGGGCCTCGCAGAGAACCTTGAGGTTTGGACGAGTGGCGCGGTTCTCTTCATAGTATCCTCGTGCGGCGTAGCTACGCTTGCCCTTGTTTGGGCCTGTTCGAACGACTGTGCCGAGTGTGTGGTAGAAGCCGATGTGGTCACCACTCCATGGGTCGGTGGGCTTGTTTGGGATGCCGGTCACCTCCTCGCAGGCTTTGATGATATCATTCTCTACTGGCAGGATTGAATCATTGAAACTGGTGCGGACTGGCCCGCTAGTGCCGTGGAACTCGCCTACAAGTGGCATTGTGGAGCGATCAGTGATGGATGGGTCGATTGGCTCGAGGGTCTGTCCATTTCGTCAGTTTTTCGACTGGAAAACACAATATTGCAGGATGCAAATGCTGAGATCGTACCTGATGCTTTCGCATATATTGCTGCATATTCTCCCCAGACCACCCATCGTCCTCTGTCAGCTCCGCCCAGTCATCGTAATCCGCAGTGGATCCTCGCACGTACATCATATAGTTGATGCCGCTGGATCCACCGAGGAGCTTTCCGCGGGGGATATGGTGGGACAGGCCACGATTGCCTTCCTATAACCCCAGGAAATAAGTTGGCGAATCGAAAGCAGATGGATCTAATAGAGAATAAACATACCTGCGGCACCGTATACATACACCAATCATACTCGGGATCCTCGAACATCTGCACGAACGCCGCAGGAGTATCAACCAGCGGATCTCCAATGCGATACTTGCCCGCCTCAATAACGCCGATGGTTACATCTGGGTTTTCGCTGAGGCGCACTGCGATAGCAAGTCCTGCAGTTCCGCCGCCACAGATGACATAGTCGAATGTGGTGCGGGTGAACTCCTCGACTGTGCAAGTTGGATTTTCGGCCATTGTATGATTGTTTAGATTGGTTTAGATTGGAGGAGTGGAACTGGGGGATTTACAAGTTAAATAGACACAAGAGGGGTAATGAGATATTAAACTCAGGTTAGACAAGCTGCAGGGGTTAGTTCTTATACCAAGAGAGTCTAAAACATACTAACGCATACTAATGCATACTAATATATACTAAAACGAACTATAAGGCGTCCATCCAGTGAGACCTAGTGAGGCCTAGACGCAGACCTCGGTACAGATTGCGGGGAAGAGCCCTATATTGTACCTATATTGTACTCTGTACCTACAGTGTACGTACAGTGTACCTATATTCGATAATACTTAGGAATGCTATCCTCAAATAACAATTTGAAATCTCTTCGCCAAATGCCAGATAAACAAAGCTCATCCTAAAACCCCCGAATAGCTCCTTTTCCCACAAGCGTGGCTCCTGAAACGCCCACTAAACCCCTCCGGTATAAGACACATCACATGGATATGTAACTAGTTAGTGAAGTACATACATGTATGTATTCACTCTCCCCCGGATTTGAGGATACTCAAACCACTCCACGATTCCCATCAGCTTCCTCAAGCTACTACTTTTGCTCCTGATGGAATTGGCCAAGCGTTCTTTTCAACATCCACCACAGCTGAGAAGATAGAAGATTGGCTGAACTTGCTAAATCCTGTTGTCAGCCGCATATCACAGCTGCACGAAGATGCCCGCTAATGCCTACTAACGCCCGCTAGAGCCCTTTTCGCTTCACCGTCCATATCTTATAGGATTAGCGGCGACCGTGTGACCCGCAACACTGCAGATTGTCCCGCGTGTGAAGCCTCGGGCTTTCTGGATTGCGTCGTTGAATAAAGCAGAACATATCACTGGCCGTGAGGCGCACTTCTATATATGTGACAAGTCGCCGACAAACTGCCCCGTATACCGTTGGTAAAATGCACTTGGCGCTACGGCTGACTGACGGAACTTTGAAAATTTCGACCGTGCAGTGCTGTCTGTAGCCTAGTTGGCTCGGCGAGTTACTCCGCAATCTTGACCTACGTCTTGCTCCAGTTTATTAGCCACACGGTCTAGCCGTGTAAGTCGACATAGAGATCCGGTTCGGCGGAAATCATCTTCCTCATCTGGATGGGGTTGGCCCTTGGCAAGGATCTCCACTGTTGATGTCCACGTCCGTTGGCGGCAATTGTCAGTCTTGACTGTTCGAGCGGAAAGAAATGGTGTATTTGTGTAAATCGCTTCAAAAATGCTATATGTACAATGTGTTAGCCTCACGTAACTCGACTGACCCGACCACGGGTCATGCAAGCGACTATGTTCCAGATATCTGGATGACCCCTAGTCACCACTCCAATGTTCAAAGCCCCATCTTCCGCTCCACCCAAGCAAGAGCACTCTTCCACCTCGGATCCCCTGACCTCAAAGCATCAAACAACTCCGAAACCAGCGCTCTACCCGAATCCCGCGCCCACCACCGCTTCTCATCAAGATCCTTCAACAACACCCCCCAATACATAAGAATCAGCAAGGAAAATGGCTGCCGACACCGGAGACTATCAACAAAATCTTTCTCAACAGCCGCAAGCCAAGCAAGAACGGGCGCCGGATCCGCCGAGCGCGCAAACTTGGCATAACAATGCCTCAAATGCGCAATAACATCCTTATTAATGCGATGCTGCTCCGAGTAAATCCCAATCATAACCTGATCATTCAGCGCCGACAGATGCGTCAGGGCCTCCTCTGTATCCGGATCGAGTTCGGTAGGAGTGTCCTTCCAATACTCGCCCTGCGAGAATAACTCCAGCTTGATCCACGACTTGCTGACTTGTAGGATCTTCTTCACGCCCTGCAGCAGCTCGAACAGCATCACGATGTTCTCTGTGATACTGGCGCACTCGTCTTTCGTGACGGTTAGTCGGGGTGACGCGATGCTGATCGCGATCATGACGATCGAGTGCGCGAATACCGCGTCGCAGTTCTGCGGCGTGATAGTATCGATCGCATTGCGGAATGGCGTCAGGCTGCGGTTGTAGTACTGTAGACCTGTCTCGTAGTACATGTGTGCTAGTTCTGGTGGCTCGCAGGTTGTTGCGATGTGCATTGAGGCTAGCGCCAAGATCCCGCTCATCAGATAGTCATGTTTGAAGGCGAGTGTTGGGACGGTTATTTGCCAGATATTTATTTCTGAGTCACTGAGACAGAGGCTTTCGTATGTCTCTGTTGCGAACTTGTGCATTAATTCTAGGTTGTCGATGCCGAATGAGTTTGTTTGGGTTGGTGCCGGGACTGGGATTGTTGTGGCAACGGCTGGGCCGGGAATCGCTGCTACGGGCGAACCGTGGCCATCTAAAGACCGGGGTACGTCGGATGTTGAACTGGGTGGGGTAAGATGTGTTGTAGCGCGACGGGCGGCGGCGACTTTCAGATATGTGCATTTTAACTCGCGCGTTGTGCAGTTTGAGCATGGTGGACCCTGCTCGTCACATTTGACCCGCCTGCTTCTGCATTGATCGCACCCGTTGCGGGATTTGGTGTGCGCGCGAAGAGGGGGCATGTTCAAAGTTAATTGACATGCTGTGGAGACCAATCAAGATGGCTGGGAATAAAAGGAAGAAATTATCTGAGACATTGACATATTTCCCCGTATCATGTGACTCGGGTCTAGGACAATTTCGGAAGTATATCTGTCGAGTTGACATCGCCTTTGTAGATATGTATGATGTGTACAGCATTCTCGGTAATATCAGGGGAAATTGGCATTGCATTATCTGCATACTGCATGTGTTCATAGAAGTAACTTTGGAATATATATATCCAAAAGCTCAAACGTTTACTATTATTACTAGAACTGAACATATAATCAACATCGACATCGCCGCCCAGATAATTTGACTAGAAGTTCAACAAGCCAACTGCACTCAGATCAGAGCCACAGCAGCAAAAAGACCAGCAGCAACAACACCAGCAGCGCTACCGGACATTTTCTGAGCAGCGCCAGTAAACATAGGAGAAGCAGAAGCAGACGCAGTAGCAGAGGAGCTGCTCCAGGATCCAGCCATAGACTTAGAAGGAGTAGGCATAGTCATGTTCTTCTTGCCACCCATACCCATAGCAGCCATACCGCTCGGGGTACCCATAGCAGTCTTCTTTCCAATCTATCAATACAAGCAACATCAGCCCTGCGAAAAAGGGGGCGAGGAAGCGCCCAACAGAAAGAAACCCAAACGCAAAGGTAATCTAATTTACCTCAACGATAGCAGGACCAGCAACAATATTGTCATCAGTCGCCTGCTTATTGCCCTTAGTGAGGACGACGTAGCTCTGTCCAGCGACGCCCTTGGGAACAGTGACGGTGAACTTTCCATCACCCATGGGCTTGAGAGGAGCCCAGACCGGACCGGTGACGGTAATGAAGGCGGCGTTGACGTCGGTAGTGCTGGTGTTGAAGCCGCTGCCGGCCATCAGCTCCACCTGTGAGCCTGTCATGACGGCGTCCATCGAGCTCATCGTGAGCGCGGGGAAAGCCTTTACGGGCAGCGCGCCGTTGCTGGAGGGGCATGAGGCGATGAAGGGGGAGGCGACGGTGTACACCTCGTTGAAGCTGAGGGGGTTGTCGAAGGCCTGGGCGAAGGGTACTTCACCGAGCGAGGCGCGCAGGTACGCGCTGTGTCGGGCTTCTGTGGTGAGGATGCTGCCGGCAGCTGTCAAGTAGGTGTCGCTCATAATGGAGGCCGCGGCTCCGAGGTAAGCGCTGACTCCAACACCTGGAGAGGGTATTAGTGGTGGTTGTTGGTATGATTGGATATCTTCTTACCTTCAAGAACACTGGCAAGGGCCAGGAAGCCGCTGACGTCGGTGGATGGGAAGTTGTAGGTGCAGCGGGCAACGGGAGAGGCACCGGCAGCTAGAAAGTATCAAAATGTTGTTCTTTAGTTTGCGGTTTGAATGACGGGGACATACCCTTGAGCGCGGAGGTCAAGAAATTCACGTGGTCCTTCTCATCGGAAGCCACCTCCTTCAGGTTGGCATAGAAAGGGTCCTTCATGCCAGCATTGACGAAGTCCTCCTGAGTGTAGTTCTTGAGACCCTCCTCGTAGAAAGAGGCCTCAAGATGCTCAAGCGTAAGAGCATAGTTGAGGACGTCGGCTAAAGAAAAGAATTAGATGTCAATCAATTGGTTGGGAAGAAGGTTACATACCATCGCTGACAGCACGCTTCGAGACCGGACTTGCGTTAGCAAGACCGATGGCGGCACCGGTGAGGGCAAGATTAGTGAACCTCATTATGTGGAATAGTAGGGCTTTGATTATCTCTTGGATTGGAAGTCTGGCTGTAAATAAAGAATGACCAATCTACTTCCCAAGTAGAGGGACATGTCTTTTATAGATGCCTTGCCGGCAATTTGGGGATCCGATGGGTGAACCCTTGCTTTGAGCTCAGGCATTAGAATTGCCTGGCCGAGGAGAAACTAGTCATTCTTTTCCTTGTTTTTTAGCTTTCCTACGTTAATTGTTGACGTCTCGGGCGCAAGACTGAGATCGGCGGTAGGGGTTCCAGATCGAGAGATAAGTGTTAACAGAAGACTCGGATAGATATCAGAAATACCTCCGACAGGGACGACAGGAAGACCTAGGCTTCACGAAATATCATCTGCAGGGACCACTGTGGGTCAAGCCGAGGTAGCTAGAGAACTATACCCAGGTTGATTATGCCCGAAGGGGAATATAATGTCATAGCTTTGCATGATGGAGAAGTTTATTGAGTTCTCGGGCTTTTAGGTAGCTGCAGGAACTGATAGCTGAGTCTGGGGTCGAGAGCGAGACCGAGAGCGAGATCGTGAGAGAGACAAGGGCTAGAGGGGAACAGCGGGAACGAGAGCGAAGACGGGAGCGAAACCGAGGGGCTCAACTTGAGGAACTATACTTCTCTAACAACAGGTCTTAGTTGACATCCTCTTATTCCACCAATTTTCAGATATCTCCTTTTCTTTTGAACTTCAACTTGAAATGTTTTGCGCATGATTAAAAGATATGTCCAAGGCTCCCTCCCTTATAGACCAAACGTGGTCCTCGTCAATGCCGGAACAAATGATTGTAGACTTCAGGTTGACATCCTCAACGCTGGTGCACGCATGCGAGCCATGACTGAAGGCATTTGGAATTATGATTGTATAGAAATTGTCACCATCATTCTGCCAACTCTCATTCCATCCGCCCAACCGCAGACTATTGCCAATACGCCTGCAGTTAATGAGCAATACCGACATTTGGTGACCGCAACGGGGGAGGAGGACGTGTCAATTGTCTTAACAGGCATGAACCCGCCTTCACCTATTCCCACATACAACTTGCTTTCATGGGCTCATGATGTTGGGGGGTGGGACCGAGTACCATGCAAACCCGGTATTATTTACTGCACAGAGAAACGTGGAATTGGGCTTTTCGATACTTCTGTCCGTTCTGTGGATGTTCTAGGGAACGGTAGAGCAGATTAATTCTGTGTTAACAATAAGGCCGTACTTGGGGGAGGGTCAGTCCGAAGATGGCACTTGGGGAGTACAGTAACCAGTTCGTCATACTATGTACGTTGGCGCTGTTGAGCACCTATTTTTACAATCGTGTCCTGCCATTCACCTACATACTAACATGCACATATGTATCTTATACATTGATGTGCCCATGTACGTAGGTCCATAGACGTACATCGATGCATACATCAATGTACTATATAGGTTAGACCCGTATCCAAATTGCAACAATACAATACAAGCGGGGTTTTCCGTCCTCCACCCTCTCCAGGGGGTGGACATCTTGATTACCCTTGGTTTGAAACCGGCAATTTAGCACGAACTTCCTCATTCCAAGAAGATGGCCCTTTCGGAATTCCCAATATGGTTTCGGGGGTACACGCTCTCTGATATGGTCCCCATACTAGATATCCGCTAACTTGAATAGGATATTGTTGATCCTGACCGTCGTTTCATTTATTCCCCAAATTCTTCGCATCTGGACCAAGAAGAACATCAAAGGGATCTCTTCGTTCTATATCTTGTTCAACTTGATAAGCGCTACTGAGCAACTCACCATCTATATCTATCTACTTTTTAACGAATATGATCCTAAGGGTGGCACCATCTTCCTACACACACCTCCTAGCGCAGGGGACTGGTTTAGTCTGTGTCACTGTGCCATCGTCTCGATCCTTTCTTTTGCCTTGTGAGAGCATCCCCCTGTTCCCCTCTATTGAAGTATTTCCGAATTTATATTAATTTTCTTCTAGATTTGTGCTAGTCCTCTACTACAGCGAGTATAGGTTCTGCCTAAGCGCTGGGTACACTGGCTTTCTCTTAGTCTCAATTATCCCGCTTGTAATCGACGCTATCTTTGATTTCGATGATGAGGGTCGGAGATGGCTTTCAGCCGTTTATTTCGCCCTGCATTTCTTCTTACTTTACCAGATCATCACAATCCTCGGCGTTCTAGCTATCTGGCGTCAAGCTCGTGAGATACGTGCAGTGCCGTTTCCCAATGCATTAAGTTTGCAAAGCTTGTGTTCTCAAGCAGTCGTGTTCACACTTCTGACGGCAGCGTGGATCTGGAGCCTTCCATTCCCATATGATAAGCTACAGGGACATTGGAACTGGAATACATTTTCCATATGGTATGGCGCTATCGGTTGGGTCATCGTGGATAACTTTATTTTCGCCGTGGGCCAGGCGGCGCTCTTTGTAATGGCCATGCGCTGCTCATCCGCAGGTAACGACATACGGCGTGGACGCGAAACAGAGCCGCTTTTAGGGTGACAAGGCGGAGGAAGTGAACGTCTCGTCTTTATCACTCCGGGCTCATATTTGCACAAGAGTCTCAATCAGCCACTACAATTCTGATAGCGACATGCAGTGAAGCCAAACCCAATGAAACCAGGCATAAATACAGCTGCATCGGCCTCATTTGCTTCTACACAAAGAATGCGAAGTTTTCAAATTTCTGCATCTAGGAATTCGAATGTGCAATCGTACGATTATCCAAAGTCGTACAGAAAAGTCGTCTGCACGTTTTAATTCTTTTTCTGCCGTCTACCTATAAATCTTGAGAAAGGAGAAGATATCTATTTAATATAGCCGAACCCCTTCCCGAAAAAGAAATAAAAAGTTGATATCATGTGATGTCGTAACGGTCCGCTTCCCGCTCCAACCAATGGCCTCGTATTCGCCTGAAAATTGTCTAGACCTGCCATTATCTTTCCTTGGCATGTGTGACCACAAATAATTTCGGAACTGCCAATAAACAACTGTCAATCACCCAAAATAGTGGAGAATTCCATGCACAGCAGGTTTTAGAGGATTTGGCACTTCACGTGCAACCCACCCGCCCGTGGGGAATTTGAGTCTCGGGTTTAGCAACTCTCTTTCTTTAAAAGTTGCTGCTTAGTGACTAGTAGTCAGTTATGAGCCAATGACTACTATGAATTCTGCAGGCGTACGCGCTTTTCATCTAACCCCGGAGGAAGATCCGGAGCGCGAGCGGATCCGCGATTTGTCGAGGTTTGTGGCGCTCGGCCAATATCCCTGTCCCACTGATCACCACTGATCATTGCCATAACAGATATTACTGCACAGTAACTCAAGCATTCCAAGCACCTGACGCGACGACTCTTGAGGAGGAAAAGACGCCCGCAGCACCGACGGGAGATGAACAGCCCATAGGTTGCGAGCTAGCAAAGGACATTACCCTCAACGCACTTGCTCAGCTTGGCGTCCTCCGCTTCAATGCCAATCGCTGCTTTGTGTCCATAATTGACGGCGAAACCCAGCATATCATTGCCGAAACGACAGGCTCAGTGTCACTACGAGATAAGAACCGTCACAAACCAGGAGATGGTATCTATCTCGGAGCACGGTCGCTGGACCTGGTCTGGGGCGTATGTCCCCACACCGTTCAGTTGTTCACGGGCCGCGCGACGGACGACGTCGATACCAGCAATGTGACCGCCAATCGCACGCGCTATATTATCCGAGATTTTACACTGGAGGATTGCTTCAAGGACCGACCTTATGTTCGAGAGTGGCCACACATGCGCTTCTACGCAGAGGTGCCTCTATTCAGCGCATCTGGATACGTTCTGGGCTCTTATTGCATCGTCGACGACAAACCATGGACGGAGTTCGGAGACGACCAGGTCAATGACCTCCAGGAAGTGGCGGATGCCATCGGACTGCATCTGGAGAACGTGCGAATGAGCCAGGCCCATATTCGGACTGAAAAATTGGTCAAGGGTTTGACTGATTTTGTTAAAACCCATGCAGACTTTGATCCTAAAGAGGTCTCTAATCATGGCCGTCTACAGTCGAGTGTCAATGCAGCGAATCTCCTACCACATGAAATTGCCGCCACCACTGCAAATGCCGACGACCCTGACACCACCCCGGTTGCTGATGTGCCATTGGGTCACGCTGTTCAATCTGTTTCTCCCAAATCCAGACGATCGTCTTCCTCGACCGTTGCGGGAGAAGAATCTGTGTTCTTCTTGCAGGATCAACACTTCACGACCGAGCCTTCATCTTTGAACTCGGGTTTCTCTGATCGACCAGTGGTGCTGAGCCCCAGCGAAGAAAAGTCGATGGGCGAAGTATTGAAGTCAGGAGACAACGGTGCCCCTCAGGGTATTGATCAAGGCTTTTCGCAGTTATCATTGACCGAGAGCACACCCATATATGAACGCATCGCTTCTATCTATTCCCGTGCAAGTGCCTTGCTCCGGGATTCCATGGATCTGGACGGAGTTGCATTTCTCGATGCCTGTCCCACTGATTTTGCCTTGTGAGTACGTAGCTCTTGCTATCGAATGGTATTCACTAACATTCCTTTCGTTAGTGTACCCCAAGAACCAGAAATTTGGGAGCCATTGCCGGCTGGAGATCCCGGGTTCCCGTCTGCACCGCTGCCTAATCCTCTCGGGCTAGCCCGGGCTGTGTCGCATGAATTTGACCTTCCATGCGATACTTTAAGTTGTGCGCTAAAGTTGCCACCCCAAGGCAATGCTGGTCCAAATAAACAACCTAGTATACCACAGGGATTGCTCCATCAAATGCTCAAGTCTTTCCCCCAAGGTCAGATCCTGATTCTAGACGAGGACGTTGACGGGGATGATTGTCTTCTAAATGATAGCACTGATCTAAACACCCACACTTGTGCAAAACATCTTGCACGGTGTCTTCCCGGTGCTAAATCCGCCCTGTTCCTTCCTTTATGGGATTGGAATAAGTCTCGTTGGCTTTCTGGGGTGCTGGTGTGGACGACAAGCAGTTTCCGAGCACTCGGGCTAGAGGAGTTACACTATTTCAAGGTTTTTGGTGATTCTTTGATTTCTGAAGTTTCTCGGATTCATTGGGCCACTACCGAGAGATCAAAATTCGATTTTATAACCTCTGTCAGCCACGAGCTTCGTTCACCACTGCATGGAATACTTGCAAGTGCTGAATTATTACATTCCAGCTCTCTTAGCCCATCACAAGAAGAGATGGTGACGATGATCGAAAAGTCTGGATTGACCTTACTGGATACAACGAATCACATGTGAGTTCACCCGAGTAGACTTTCTTAGATCTAAAAATTATGCTAATACGTTATAGGTTGGAATTCTGTAAGGTCAACAACCTGAGGCATACGGACAAACTAAATGAAATAATGGAGAATGACACGGCCAATCTTGTGTCTGACTTTAACATTAGCCATTTGGTGGAAGAGGTTGCAGACATATTGTACACTGGTCAGCGAGCACCTGAGCAGGTGAGCCAGCTCGCTAAAAGGATGTCATCCAACAAGGAGGCAGGCGATTCAATCACCAAGGATCTCAGGGCACAAAACCAATTGTCCGTTGTCATACGAGTCGACCAAACGGACACTTGGATGATTAGGTCCCTTGCAGGTGCCTGGAGAAGAATCGTGATGAACCTTCTCGGCAATGCGATGAAGTGGACCACAGCCGGCTTCATCGAAATAGCGTTATCAAAGGCCAGGGACCGATCGGAGTCCCAGTCACCCCTTGTTCACCTCTCCATCACTGATACCGGCCGTGGAATCGCGCCCGATTTCATCAAACATAAGCTGTTTGCCCCATTCTCTCAAGAAGACCCGTTGTCTGAGGGCGTCGGGCTGGGCCTGAGCATGGTACAACAATTGGTGATGTCACTTGGGGGGCATGTGAACGTGAGGAGCGAGTTAGGCATTGGGACTCAGGCTGATGTCTATATTCCGGTTCAATATCTACCGGCGAGTCTTGATCCAGAGGATAGCCCGGCTCCGACAACCACTCAGCCAGGAGCCACCCTGCATGCATGTCTGGTAGGCTTCAATGGTTATCCTGACCTCACAGAGGCGCCCACTGGGATTCTCACCGTCGAAGGCAAACGAAATCTTTCCATTCAGAGTGCACTGGCAAACATCTTCATGACAAAGATGAAGTGGAACATTTCTCTGGCTGCTTCCATCGAGAAGGCTCGTGGCCAGGTTGTTGTCATTGAGGAAGAACTCCTCAGACGAACTATGGATGAAAATGATCAACTTGTGTCCGAAATGGCGGCTCAGAATGGCTTTGACTTCTTCATCGTGCTGAGCGGCAATGTCCCAATCATACTGGACAGCCTCTCTGTCAACATTATCCGCGTTGCCCAACCGTAGGTTACAATTTATCAAAAGAGTTGTTGCTATGAAAACTAACGCTTTTTGCAGATTCGGACCACAGAAGATTTACAAAGCCGTTGAAAAGATCATGAAGTGGCGCGAGATCCAAATACAACCTGCGTCCCCTGTGCTCGACGCTGCTTTCTCGCTAATATCTTCGCAGATACAAACAGAAAGGAATTCAGACTCAGGCTCGGATCTCTATGATAGAGGGACGCCCGGGTATTCAAATGAAGCGATGAGCTCACCGGGAGAATCAACCGCCTCCACACCCCGACGATCCAGCAAGCAAGCACTGGCCCATGTGCTCATTGTGGACGATAATGAAATTAATGTCAAGGTACTGTCCCACGCCGCTTCCCATTCCGAGCATCACTAACACAAATGTCAGATTATGGCCACCTTCATGCGCAAAATAAACTGCAGCTACGACACAGCCCACAACGGCCTCGTCGCACTGGATAAATACAAATCGTCGAACTTTCACTACGATTTTGTCCTGATGGACATCTCAATGCCCGTGATGGACGGCCTCGTCTCAACGAGCAAAATTCGCGAATTCGAACGCGAACATAACATCAGACCCTCTTGCATCATGGCTGTCACTGGAGTTTCCACCGCTGGATTCCAACACCAGGCTACTACGGCTGGTATCGATAACTACCTCATCAAACCCCTCTCCCTTCGCGCGCTCAGAACTCTTATGAACATTGCATGATACCATCTTTTTGAATTTAGATTGGCTGGTCTTTGACCTCCACTGCACAGCGTGGTGTTGGTTGGTTTTTCTTTGGTCTTTCGTGTGTATATAAAATGAATAGACCATGGAAATTTCATTTTGGCTCTTGATTCCAGTGTATACTTTGACGGCATTCTTCTCTAGTTGCCTCGGGCCCCCAGGAACCGCGTAAATGTATACCGTAAGTTTGATGAATGTGAGATATGCCAAGGATTCCCGATCCCCGGATTTTCGCAACTACGATGATCCCTGTAGTGTTGAGTGCGAATCATCTGCCGCGGAGATTTCTGCTCCGTCTTGGCCTTACCCCGCGCCCCTAGTTGATCATGCATGTTCCGTATGTTGTACATTATTGAGAAAAGCTCAAAATGAACTACATAGCTGCTGTTTCAACAGCGGATTCAATAAGTCGGATGCATATGAGAAAGCGGATGCATAAAGTGAAATATAAACAAATTCCGTCGAAAATTCCCCCGAATATCACGATATTTTGTCTCATTTAGTCTGTCAGGATTTATTAATTTAAGAATGTTCTAAAAATGACAAGCTGCTTCCACGTAACTAAAGTCGAGTTCATCTGGAGCCTATTGCAGTGTTGCAGTGTTGCATTGGGGTTGGGGTGTTGAAATCCCATCTTTGTATGTCGCATTGGAGGAGTTGAGGACCAATCAATTTGTGTTGCAAGGGCTGTGAGTCGCTGGGGCTTTGCGTCGTGATTGGCAATGGTTTCGTTCAGTCGCGGTTGATCTTCTCTAGAATGAGCAACACTGCCTTGTCGCCGTGTCCCTTTACATAGTCTATAAGCTCGTCGGTCAAGACCTTCACCACGCCCTCAGCCACCAGCTTCTCGACCTCAGCCTTGAAGCCTCCGGGCACCCAGATCTCTTCCAGGATCGTTGAGACAACGACACCCTTATTCTTAGCGACACGCACAAGTTCTCGCAAAGCAGGGTCTGGCCCAACATGGCCAAGAGTGAAAGTTCCCACGCAGGACACGAGATCGTATGTTCCGTCCGCCTTGTCAATCGGCCGGTTCATGTCTGCGACTGTGAGATCCCGATAGATGCCTGTTTTTCTAGCGATAGAAAGCATGGCGGGAGATAGATCGATGCCATCGATTGCTTTGGCCTTGGCCATTGAAAGAGCCACTCCCACCAGCCCGGTCCCGCAACCGGCATCTAGTATCACACTGTTTGTGGCGCCGTTTGAGAGCCCGTATTTGATGGCAGCTTGAGCGACAAGCACGGGAGCAACGTAGTCTTGAGCACTGTCTCCAACCTCATCGTCATATGAGGCTGCCCATTTCTCGTATAGAGCCATGCAATCCTCGGTGCTGCCGCTGGCGCGGGCTTGACTGAGGTATAGTTCTCTAGCTGAGCTTGAGGCCTTTGCCTGGATTGGAGTTGGGGCCAACATTGTGTGGGTTTGGGGTTGATTGCTGAAGAAGGGGGCTTTATTAAATGGTCTAGAAGGTTGGGATATTGCGTTTTGTTGCGAAGGGTTCTTGGTGACTTTTGGCCTAGGAGATTAGAATCAAGTGAGTAGTAGTCAGTTTCCAACCCTGTGCGGACGCCCTTCTTATAGTAAGTAATTTTGAGCTGCAGGTCATTACCGATATAGCCTGGACATAGCCGGAATTAATGGCGTGATGATGCGGGGTTATTGATGAATGGACCCAAAAAGGGTGAAGATTGGTCGATCGATGATGTCGGTGGAACATACTTTCAGTTGCGCTGAGCCTGGGCCTGAGCATGATGCATGTTCCTGCGCTAAGTATGTACCCCTCCAGGCTGTTGCCTGGCTGCCGAGGTAATGGAAACACCTGTGTTTTATTCAATTCATCCGTAGATTGAAGATATAAATCAGGATTGAAGAAGCGATCATCGCCGTCGACTTGCGCCTCTGGTTTCAGTCGTATGGAAAGACTGGAGAACCAATTGAGTGAATTAAATGGCTCACGGACCATGTTTTCTGCACATTTTCCCGCCAGTGAGCCCATGCCAAGGCGGTTTGTGCTTGGCCAATGATCAGATCTGGTCTGAACATGCAACCTGGTCTCATCCAGATATTCCCCATCAATCAAGATTAGATTGACGTGGAGGGGCCCCACCAGGTTTACCACTAACGTGCCGATCTATTTCCTAGGTAGGGTTGGCTCCATCTTCGTCTCAGTTTATTCCAAGGAAGGTCGAGTATGGAGAAATGGGGCACTTAGCTGTAGAATGATCAACCTTCATTTTCTTGTCCGTGCTCTTTGCGTGCACCGATGCATTTTTGCCTAGTGGTGATTGGATATTGCTTTTTCCAGTAGGTTTCGAGGCTAGCGTTACACAACGTTCAATCCAATAGAAAGAATCCCAGATGCGAAGTGCGAGTGAAAATAATAATTTGCCGCGGTAGCCAGCGAGGATACATCTGCGCATGTACTGATGATTAGTGACAAAATTCCATTCTGTCGGACTCCGTAGGCCCTATTTGTGCATGTGCAGATCACGTGGGTGCCACCTTCCCTGTCGGGAACCTTGCTCTCTTTTATCTGCAGATGAAAACCTTGAAGGAGCTGGGGCCTAGAGAATATTGACTATCTAGACTACGTGAATGCGCATATGCTATATATTGAACAGAGCTGGTTGGCAACCAGCAGCCTTTCAAGCTGGAAAGCACACAACAATGAATAGATGATGGGTAAATGGGGGTGGTAGGCATCGTCACTACAAAATAAGTCTGAGATATTGCAATTCAACGGTGCCTTACGCGTCAGGCCACCCGGGAAGTAGGATAACTAACTAACTAGCTTGCTCTTTCCACAAATAATTCTTTTCCCCGATCAACACCTCGAGTTCCTCAAATTCTTTGCCCATGAGACGCTGTCTCATCGCAAGACACCCCAAAACTACATCGATCGAGGACGAATCTATGCCGAACGCCGTGGGAATTGCATTTCTCTAGGCCATTCGTTCCATTTTATCGAGTTCTTATGAAATTCGAAGCCAACAGGCCTACATCCTTTTACAAGGCCTAGATACTGCGGCTTCGCCTCTACGTCCGAGTGGATCGGCTAATCCATCAGCAAGACAACCTTGGAATCTCTCATCTCCTCCGCAAGACAATCTCTTATCTCCTCCGCGCCGCGGATTCCTTCAATCGCCTCCGCCCCTTTTGACTTCGATCCTCAAGAACATTTTGAAGATGAGGTTTAACTTCTTCTCTTGTGCGAAATACCTCTAAAGTTTTTTCTTTGGTTTTTCCGTTTCATATAACAGCATCTGAAGGTATGGCTGCTTGTCTGCCCTGTCATCGGTATCATATCTAACCTCTTCTTTAGGGGAATTTTCAACACATCTTTCTCATGGAATTTTTGATGTTGTCATAAACCGACGGACAACAATGAGGATTTGATGGATCTAAGCAACTCGAGCTACGATCACACTAGGAAGACGAAAAACCCGGAGAGGACCGTCCGATCACTCGAATTCTACGTTCACTACGGCGACTATATGGGGCGAGTTTGGAAACGCCTCGGACCTTCTTGCCGCCGTGTCTCAAATCCTTAGCCGTCTCCGATCACCGTTATTGCTGTGTTAATATCTACTTCCATTGCATGACTGGAAAATGCAGTTGGCAACCGACAAAAGTCGAGCCAGTTTACCTTCTGTACAAGATTTCCGAGATTGTGGCAGGTTCTCACTAAGAGATGACACCAAGGTTTGGAAACTGAGTTTATCAACCACTCAATCCAGGTACAACTTTTTTCACTCGAACTTTTGGTGCGCACGGGCTCGAATTGCGCTCCTAGAGACATCAAGCCGTCTTGGAGATGGAACCCAACTATGGCTGCGCATCCGGTTCCGCCAAACCCTCATTGTTCGAGCAAAGAAAGAACCACATTTTCGTATCAAAGAACTGGAGATCAAGTTTGGCTTGGACCTATAGTCCAATATTCTGCATATCAGAAGACAGTACACTTCTACGACAACTCCTCCCTCGAGCAGTTAAGGAAATCATAGCTCCCACTCCCAGATAGACCAAAACTATGCTGTCAACTGCCTCCTAATCATATCCCAATTCCGAGTAGCATCACGGGTGAGCGATTGGCGATCACTTTTTGAATTTCGTGACCATTCTTGTCACACCTCCCCTATAAGCAATGACCACCTACGCTAAGTGGGAATTCAGTCGTGCAGACTGGTGAAGTAAGAGCCATTGACCAGCTATTAACTAGATGGATATAAGTTGAGTGCAAAGTCTCATTCTGGTTTGAGAAGAGATTTTTCAGTCAACCATCACCGACGAAAACGTCATTCACATGGTACATATCTATAAACAAGGCTGATCAAGTTTGGATCGGAGGGACTGAGGACCTGCCGTGAAGCTCGTTATGCGTGACATCACAACGACCCTTGGCTATATCTAGTATGCACGATATGTTGTAAAACTCGCCAGATTAGGACCGCGGAAAGACTTTAGTGGGGACCCGAAGAGGATTCCATAAGAAATGAGAGGCGAAGACCCATGGGTAGGGCGAGCTGTGTTACAAGTTTTGGAAGATAATCATGATTCTTCAATATTTTCTGTAAAGAGTGTGTGAGAACTATGGAGAACGTGTTCTTAATAGCTGCATAGAGGATAGGGTTAAATATACTTTATTCCCAGATAAGCTAAGGCGTTACAATGTTGAATGCAGGGTTTGGCACAGTGACCAGGGACGTGATATCGGTCCAAGCGTCCACGTTCCCGGAAATTATGAGCTTGTCGAGATTCGGGGTCTTGCTAGCAGCTGCAGCTCCGATGAGGGCCACGAGTTCCTGGTGCTTGAGCCAGACAGTCAGAGTAATTTCGGCGTTTCGAGGGTTCGGAGATGCCGTATATGGAACGGCATGCCCCGTCAGGGCAGCATTGCTGAGTCTCAGGTGCCATCCCGCACCTGGCTTTTCGAGTTGTTCCATGTCCTCGACCATAAAATCAATGGTGATTTCCTTTTCAAGATATTTCGTGGGTTGCTTGAACGCCTCTGGTCCATTGATACGGATAGCGATGATATCGAATAGCTGGTCAAAGCCTAGAGCCATCATCGACTGAGGTGTCATTGCGTTGATCGCCGCCTGGGGCCCGTTTTGCAGCTCGAAGGCCCCGGTGAGGAAGAAATTGCGCCACGTTCCATTTTCCGTGCTGTATCCCAGCTCGGTATACACAGCCGCCAGTTCCTCCTTTGCCTCTTTGGCAACCTCGCTATTCTTTTCGTCAGGACTGCTTTGGGTTGCAAAAACAAGCTTGTCCAACAATGTAGCGGCGAATCGCAAATTCTTGTTAGTGTGATAAACCTGGGCCATTTCAAGAACAGCTTTGCTGCCACCCATACATTTTACAAGTTCAGTTGCTTCATCAACGGGAGTGAGTGGCCACAGATAAGCAGGGTTTCCATTGAACCAACCCATGTAGTGGTCATAGACTCCTTTGACATTGTGACTGATTGAGCCATAGTAGCCACGGAGGTTTGTCCGCGCACTCAGAGTTGGAGGCATCTCAATCTCTTCCGCAATTTCGACGGGGGTCTTGCCGTCATTAAGCTGCCGAAGTGTCTCATTGTGCAGGTAGGCGTAATAATCCCGTTGTTCGGATAGAAAGTTGACCACCAGCTTTCCATCATGGTTCCAGGTGGGCCAGTGGTGGCTAGAGAACACCACATCACTTTTGTCACCGAATAGGGTAATCGATTCATCCATATATCGTGACCAGAGTCGTGCGTCACGTACTGGAGCACCTCGCAGCGTTTGGATATTGTGCAAGGTGTGGGTCGCATTCTCCGCCATACACAGCGCTCTATAGTCAGGGAAGTAAAAGTTTACTTCTGCAGGGGCTTCGGTTCCCGGAGTCAATTGGCAGATAATCTGCAGACCCTCAATGCCTGGGGCGAGAACCCCACTCTTGGTGATATTCTGTAGGGGCGCCACAAGCGAGCTGGTTCCAGTCGACAAAGCTTGCCCGAGTCCGCAGCCGATCTGCCCGACAGGAGATTTTTCCAAGGCCTCTCCGTACATGTAGATAGATCGGCGAGCCATTGCCGGTCCGGCATACACGTTCTCACTGACAGCGTGTTCCAGGAAGCCGTCAGGACCTATGATTTGAAGAGCAGTTCCGGCTTTTGTTGCGATGTCGATAATGGCCTGAGCGCCACCAAAATGGTCTGCATGGCAATGTGTATAGAAGAGGGCCTTGATTTCCGCGTCTTGGCCATGCCTATCTCTATGTTCAACCTGGTAGAGCTGAATAGCTCTACGTGCGGTCTCAACCGAGGTCAAGCAATCGATGATGATAATTCCGTTCGAGTTTGGAATTTTGACAATGCTCATGTTTGCAAGATCAAGCCCACGGATTTGATAAACACCTTCGGTGACGTGATAGAGGCCCGCGGTCACACTGCAGAGCTGCCCTTGCCTCCATAACGACGCATTTGCAGTCTCTGGGGCCTCTTCCTGGAGGAATGCATAAGCCTCGGTATCCCAGACAATTTGATTGGTGGTGTCTGACAAAATGTAAGAATCCCGGTCGGTTCGCAGAAGTCCTCGGTTCGCAAATTCAAAGTCATGGTTGCTGTCTTCGATACGGGGCTGTGTGATAGCCATGATGAGCAATGAAAGTGGGGGTACTAGTTGATAAAGTGATGTAAAGCTAACGGGGCAGTATGTGCTTGTATTTTCTATTTTCGAAATTTGAATATCTGGGGATTGGCCTCAGTTATATAGCATTCCAACATACGCCTTTCCTTCCCGGCCGCCTGTGCTCGTACCCTCAATTGCACAATGCAACTACACAATGCACCTTGACAAATAATCACCCTTTCCCCTCCCAAATTGTGGATTTATCCTTGCAGCTGTATGTCTCAGGTAGCCATTGCTTTTCTAATCTATCACACGACATGATAATAGTGTAGTCGCTAAGGTTGGAAGTCCGTATGTAATTGTATTTTACATTTTAATTGAGTGATTACGCAACCGCTATGCCTGCCAAGATGATCTAACTATCAATTTGAATTATCTAATTGCAGCACAATGATCAAATCAGGCGGAAAGGGTAAGTATACATCAATCTCCATATTTCTGTACTGGGGACACAATCCATTGCAAGCCGAGTCTCGCATTTATTTGAATACGGAAATGAGTCGGCCAAATACGCGTTAGGCCGAGAGCTCCACTCATTAGTAATTCCTGTGCATACGTAGCTACCACCAAGCGCTGGCTGAGCTGAAGGCAATGATCCAAAATACGACGTGATCGTTCACTGTGTCGCTAGTCCCATAGATCAAAATAATGATTGGTCTGTAAAATAGTATCGGTCTTCCGAAAACTCCGAATTTGCATTATCTTGGCATTTTGAGACTAATGTTTGCACTATATATTTGTTCCAGCGCTACATGGTACAGGCATACAGTCACCAGTCAGTTGTGGGGATGCAACTTACCGATGGGCCACCGAGAGCAAACCAACCTATTAGTCAGCAATAGATCAACACATGTAGATGCGAGGCATGCATATACCCCACAAACTTGCGGGAATCGAATGAACGACCGTCCCGTCCCGTCCCATGTGAGCGTTGCCTAGAGATCGATCGCCCGAAAGTCTAGGCAATATCCCGAAACCACCCAAGTTGGAGCTGTGCGCAACTCTGTCCGCCGCATAATTATTATTTATCTCGAATTCCTCAAGATTATCTGGCTATCTTCGTCCGGTTTTATAAAATGATGTTTGGTCATTGACACCGGACTGTGTGATAGTCATGATGAGCAATGAGTGGGGTTGCCAGTCGACAAGGTGACGTAATGTTACTGAGGGTGGTGTGTTTGAAATTTCGCGTCCAAATGCCTAGTGATAGGCCCAAATTATAAAGCATTTCAACATACGCATTTCTTCCCAAATGCCCATACTCTCCATTACACAATGTAACCTGACAAATAATCACACCTTCTCCTGCCAGAATATAGATCGATGCATGTAGCTGTATGTCTCAGGTAGGTATTGTTTTTCGAAGCCATCACACGGACTGTTCCTAGGACATTCGCTATGGCTGTTCTAATATTTGAGGAAATCCCTACAGGCTAGTACTAGGCATGTCCAATAGAGAGTATGGTTGATTGATATCTGGTTCGAGAAGTAAGGTTGAGTTACCTGTGAGGAACATACAAGTAGGCGGTAGATCGAGTAACCACCAGGCCTAGAATCTTAATAAGATTGGTTCTCAGCACCTTCCAGAGTCCACACGGAGACTTGGTTCCTAGCTTATTCCAGTGCTTTCGCACGCATATTGCCCTGAGAAATGCCTGGAAGTACACCTCTCCAAGCGGCATTTATCGTGCGCCGGTCCTCATTCTCTTTCTCTTGTTCAGCACCAGCGCGCACTCGAATACGTCGATTTCCACCACCTGAAGAGACAGGGCCCCTTATCTTAATATTTCTTTGAGGTTTATCGACTTTCGAAGCGGTTTGGTGACCTACGACGTGCAAAGTCATCGCTATTTTCAAGGAGCTGCGCATGAAGCCGAATACCACTAGAAAGACTCCATTTCAATTTCTCTGCCTTGGCTTCCCCAAGCTCTTTCTTGATTTCCCCCACGAATCGTTCGAATTACCTTGCGATTTTCTCTTGCTTTTGAACGGTATTTAGCGGAGAATCGTATTGTTCAAGTATTGGGCATGGAGGAAGGGCATCTATCAGAGATTTAATTGGACAGATGAATTAAATGCCAAATTCAGGTCTTTCTGAACACGGGTTTCATCGTTCACTGTGCGTAAAAGTCTTGTTTCTGAGCTCGATGATCCAGCGGAAGAAGTTTTGGATGTACGAAACCAGACATTTACCCAAATAACTATCCGGCCAATTTTAGATATCGGGGAATTTATCTTGTGAAACCGGAGCTTATCCTTGAACCTTTGAAAGCCTACATAATTGAACGAAGAAAGCGGTGAGCTTCGGATCTTTGATACGCCTTTCCATCACCCCCCGGGAGAAACTTTTGCATTAGACTAGCATTTGGCTTAGCACGGCTACAAATTAGGTGCGTTCTCAATATCAAGGACATCCGATATTCGGAGTGGTAATTCGACCTGTATTCCGCAGATGGATCCACCCTTTATCCCAACAATATATAGTGAGAACTGCAGATCTTTTGCGCGAATTCTTTTAGCGCAGTAATAAATGAATATACTTGCTCCCTTCCCCCATGCTGACAAACCTAGCAGTAGTGTCAATATATTCAGCTAGTCTAAGAACGCCAAGATATTGCAAATGCCCTTAATCTCGACAAATTTCGGATATATCACAAACTGCCATCGCCATGAAGACCTCAATTAACATATTGCAGTGACCGGAAAATTTTGAATACTTCAAAAGTTAAATAGACGAACAGAAAGTCCTTTCTTCCGCATCGTGTTACCAACGTGCATGCATATGCACATCTGTGACAGAAAGCTGCAGGAACTTACATAACGCCACAATCATAACAGTCCAAGAGTGGAGGGTATCGGGTTTGTCGGAAGTCCGATGCCATTTTACAGGCTGATAATTATTTTGTTCACTAGGGGACTGGACGTTGCAGTAGATGATCCCTGATTCCTCCGCTGTTTGAGCTGTCTGGGGCGAGTGAGAAATTTATAAAGGGAGAAAAGGTTTGCGGTGGTCAATATAACAAGAAGTTAAGCTCATTCCTTGGGTTAATTTCATGATGCGCTTGTCAGTTGTGGCTACCCTTGGCTTGGCTATTTTGGCATCAGCCAGTTATATAGCACAGTCAGATCCCCAGCAAGAACAAGCAACTCAATTTGCTTTATTGGTAAGTAAATTTACAGCCCAAAGCTCCCGGGGTTAAGAGTGATCGCTTCGTGAGACTAAGCAGATGGCGAGTAAGTATGGTTACCCCCTGATTCCGTATGCGCAACTTGCACTGCCTTGTTTATATGGGTGACAGACCCTCGCTTGCGAGGGTCCGTATTTTTGGTAAAAAAAAGAGGGGCCGGTTAACTCCCCACTAGATATAATTAAGCGGGTGAATAAGCTTAATATTAAGCTTCTTTATAATCTAGAAAAAATTGAGCACCTATCTAAAAGCGTATATAGGCGTATTCAACGAAGTATAGATATAAATACGCTTTTATTTTAACAGCTTAATCTAGTTAAGGAGAGTTTAAAGAAGTCTTAATCCTATAAAGCAGAAGCTACTAAGGCAAGAAATAGCAAATCGCTTCTTAGAACTGAGGGCTTAGTGCTCTCACCTATCTGCGCAAATAGGATAATAGTGAAAAGATAGGATGCTGATTCTAAGAAGTTGAAGCGCTTACAGACGAAGTATACTAAGGAATTGGAAGCTCAGCGGCGAGCTTAGGAAGCAAGGGATTTAGTAGAAGCTGAGAATGAAGCTTCAATGGCGGCAAGAGATAGTATAGGTGGAAATTGGTATATAGATAGTTTTGGTGGTTACCTGTAAATAGTATTTTCATAGGTTGACAAAAATGAAAATTTGACGTTCGGTGAAAAAATGACTTTTGGTGGGGCGCACCAACCCCCAGTATGGGTGGTTGGGCGCTTGGCACGGTTACAGCTCTGCCCAAAGGCACTATAGAGTTTTCATAGCCAACGTCGAGAAAAACAGTACCTTTGATTATCACTTTTCCCCCTCCCCCCTAACCTTTCGCCCGATGGCCAGTTCGGCCCGGTCCCCGTAGTGCGGCCTCCTCTTCGTTAGCCCAACCATGTCATCTCTTTACGCGCCCGGATCCAGTTTCTAATTTACTCCGAACGTACATGTCACATCGTTTAAGTGCTACGACTCCTGTCTTCATTCGTTTTAGTGGAAAAAAAATCTCTAACCACAGATGCAGCCTGCGAATCTCCTGCTCACTCAGTCAAACAAGACTGAAACACAATAAGCAAACATCCAACGATGGATCTTTATGAAGCTGCGAGGCAAGGCAACATTGATGATATAGAGTCTGCGGTTGAGAAAGGGTGTGACGTCAATGCCCTTGACAAATACGGGAATCCCCCTCTCTGGTTCGCCGTACAGAGCGGCCAGTTAGATGCTTGCAGGATTCTGATTGCCCGAGGAGCTCGCGTGGAAGGGCAAAGTACCAGCATTCTCGAGCGCGCAGTCCAAGGAGAGTATATCGAGATTGTGGAACTGCTGTGGCCATACTGCAAAGTGGAAAGTCAACATCGCTGCTTAGAAACCGCGATCTCACTGGGATTTCATGGAATCGCAGATTTCTTGATCGGAACTCAAGTATTCGAGTATCAGCAATCCCAAGCTAGGGATATAGAAATTCTCACAAGAGACGGATTTTCAAGTCGAGCAATTACAGCTTTTCAGCAATGGGAGAGATTTATCTTTGTTCGGCGCTCGGAGAAGCTCAATTTGCATCGTATTTTTTTTGACCACGCCCTCCTTCTCGCAACAAAGGCCGATCGCAACGCGGGCCTTCGACTAGTGAATTTGTTGCTTGGGGGAGAGAAACCTTTGGCCGACGCAAATTGCATGATCAACATCGATAAGGAAATTGAGACACCTTTGACGAATGCGGCTGAGAAAGGCAACTTGGAAATACTGGCTACTTTGATTGAGCGCCCTTACACAAGGTTGACAATTTGTGGCGAATATAATTGGCCTGCTTTTCTCCATCTGCTGGCGAATTCCGAGTCCATCGCCTCTGAAAAGGGCCGGGCCATAGCGGGGAAGTTGTCCATGGAGAGTCTGCCCGATTCATTTCTGATTGATAGCAAAGGGTCTCTTCTGGAAACTGTATTTAAAAACGTCCTTCGGCTGGGTGATGATGCTCTTATGAAGCAGGTGATCGACCTTGTTCACGGCGCTGCAGGAATTTATATTCTGCCGCTGTTAGTCAGAGTGAATGAGACCAATGGTCTGAGATGGATTTTGAATAGAGACATTGCTCACGCATCCAAACCGCCACCAATACTTTGGGTGTTGCTTTGCAACTTTTTCAAAAGTGATCCAAGCTCCGAGGCTTTGAAAACCTTTATTCGAGTGGCGGAATTCCTGATAGAAAAGGCGATTTGGGACAGGATGGTACTAGTTTGCCTCAATTCTCGCAACTTTGGCTTTGTCAAGCAATTCTTCTACCCTCTCAACGAGATCCTACCGAGGGAAGTGGCGGAAGAAACATTGGCGGGATTCTCTCAGGCGTCCACAGATCAATCCCTCGTACGGGAGTGGGCTGAAAAGGGCTTTGCTAACGCCGCACTGTGGAGCGCCATTCGATCCGGGATATGGAAGAGTCCAGCATTTGAAAGCCTCCTTTCATGCTCTAATATTGACCCGAACGAGCCATTTCCACGTGAAAAGAGCTCAGACACAGCAGAGTCTAATATACTTTTACCTCCTTTGTCCGGCAATTCAACGGGTGAAAAACGAAAATTCCCTTTCAGACCACCTACAGGGATTTCCTTAAGATCGCCTCTCGACCCCGGTATGCCGCAGAATCATGCGCTCCAAGACTATCAAATGGAGCTCATGTTACTGGAGCAAAAGAACAAGAGGCGATTGATGATGGCCCGAAACGAGCAAGTGGAAATGACAGCTGGAAAAGGCATTCTGGCTTGGACAGGGGGGAAAAGCCCTCTGGCGTGGGCTGCGGCAGTTGGTAATGTTGAGCTTGTGGAGGCTCTTCTGCGCAGTTCGCGCGTCAATGTCAACTTCCAGGATGCCCAGAAACGAACCCCTCTCATGCACGCTATTGCCGTAAATGATTGGCAGATTGTGGAGGATTTGTTGAAAATTGGAGATATTGATCTCAATTTGCGGGACAGTGAAGGTAGAACCGCAGTTTTTCACGCCGCACAAGGGGGAGACTTGCATATCATACAATTCTCACCCAGACCCAAAAGGTGGACTTTTCCATTTGTGATTGCAACGGCGAAAGTGTCCAGGATATTGCGAAAAAGAAAGGAAAACAAGATGTCGTGGCTGCACTTGCGACTTGAGGGCCCACAGGCGTACTCGAAGTCATTAATGTGACATTTTGTATCACTTCAGTTGCCGTCTCGCACAAACCAAATTTATGCCTGTAGGTCTTCAAATTCTTCAGGCCACTTGGAATGCTCTATTCTGCTGAAAATTAATTGATACCCGCACTTTCCCATATAGATAGCTTGTATAACGTTTTATAGACCAGATAGATAAAGAAGCATCTGCTTGCCACTTGACAGCGAAACAGGGTACTTCCTTGTGAGAGAAACTAGGAGAACACAACCATGGATCGTGTTTTAGCCTACGATTCTGTCTCCAAGTCTGTGTGTGGAATTCTAAATACCTGACCTGCCTCGACCGTACCTCAACCGTACCTCAACCGTACCTTTTAAGCAACAAAGACCTGTTCCATCGGACACTGACGGCCGTCAAGTTTGGGCTTGTGGATCGTGTCTGGACCTTTGCAAATCCATCCAATTTCATCTTCGGGCCATAAATAGAATTCCCTTGATCCACTGTCCCGTGGGTCGTCGCTGGAATCTGCATCGCAGAACCGTACCTGCATCTGTCTAAATTCACGCGTGGTGTTTTATTGGTCCAGCTGGTTCTATTTGTGTCCAGTGTCTCATCGGAGTTTGATAGTGGTGTTATAATCTCGCGAGGTGGGTGGCGATCACGAGAACCTAGCTCGTGAGCCTTGGTAGTTGCAATAGTTTATATAGTTGTCTGGAAACTATGCTCGGTTTCCTATAGAAGGCTTTCTAACAAGGTCTGGACTTTTGGTTATACTCTCCTAAAGAAAGACAATCTTCATCCTAGGTTTGAGAGTATGTCTATATCTGTACCGCCAGGGAGCAGAGATTCTAGTAAAGGCAATATTAGTTGGCTGCGAGTACATAGGAAAGAAACAACATTCAGCAGCGCGGAGCTAGGGATAGAAAGAGTTGATTCTAGCGAGACTAAAGGGTACTTAGCATAATAAGCCAACCGTAGGTACAATCGAGCGTGACTATCGGCTATAAAGTTTCTAACCTAATATTTCGGCGTCTATTATGTTACGCACTGCCAACTGGTCACAGTTAGGTTAGAAGGGTTCCAGGTTATACTTGCCTTAAGCTTCTCAGTCTTCTAACGTTAACGAACTGTTCTCTCAACCGTACTATTGCCTAAAAGGCCTTACTACAGAATAGGTCCTTTTGAGGTATCGAGGAAGGATACTAGGTAGAGCGCCGAGTAAATCTATACCGAAGTATTAGTCTGCTCGTGGGTGTTATTAAGTTATAATCAAGTAAAGAGTTATAGTAATCTAAAGGGTAAACATAAGTAATAATATAGATTTAAAAAAATTATAACGCTTAGCATATTTAGCATATTTCCTATCCACTAGATATCCTCAAATATCCAGAGGATATTAGGTGGCATACCATATCCTCAAGTAGCGGAGAGGATATGTGGATATCCATGGATATTGAGGATGTTGCCGCAGCCTAGGCTCTACTTTCCTTAACCTTTCGAACATTTTTTTAAGGCTTAAGTATATAACTCTTTATCTTATATAAACACTAAGAAATCGTTAAGATAAATAATATCGATAAGTTCCCTAAGTATAGCTAGCTAGAGCAGCTAACATGTATGACCAAGTTGGTTCATCGCCAGCCTTTGATTCTCCGCTGCTTGATGATCTGGACTAGCTGCTCCACCGAAGTCACTCCTTCGATACTGAAACACATTCAGCTGATTTTTCACAAAGGAAGCTCAGCGCGGGGAACTTTTCACCGTTCAGCACAAGGGCTTCGCATTAGTTCATGTGCGGGCTTAATCATATCCCTAGAACTAGAACGGGAACTGATGCAAACCCAACCTTTTCATATACAAGACACGGTGCATTCACAAAAAGGCCAGCGAAATGTTCAAGGTGTCACCACAGAACAATTTCTAAAGGTACGGTAGCTGGTTAGTGGAGAAGACATTGTATCCATTTTCAAGTGCAGCAAATTTTTCCTCGTCCATCTCCTGGCTTGCAACCCATGAGGTAGGGTTCGTTAGTTTGCAGAATGCCCGCAATGAGAATGCTGAGTTTGATATTCCCAACGCGATCCAAGCTCATCACCACCAGACCAATTGCGCAGCATCGGAAAAGAAGTGACCAATGCTCGAAGCAAAGGTCGAACCGTCATTAGGCTACCGGCAGCGATGCCTAGACTGGCTTCTACGTTCGACCATATTGAAATCTGTGTTGTTTCGTCTGCGAACGAATTAGAAGAATGACGGGTTGGAAGATGAAATCAACTCACGTAGGAAGTCTGGTTTGCCTGCGTAATGCACAAATGGGATGCGTATTATGACAGCAATGCTAGCTCTTTTTATGATCAGCATAAGCTCCAGGATGGGAGAGTAAGCAGAGCATACGAACATGCAAGCAAGTCCCAGAATTGTCGACACAACAAATTTCGTTCCACGATTCATTTGAAGCCCCCAAACCATGAAAATAGGCAGAAAGCCAATAGTAAAATCGCATGCTGCCGCTACCCCACTGTACATATAGACGATACCAAGAAGAGTGTTGATGTCAATGCATCGGCCTTCCGTTGATGATCGATTCCAATAGTATGCAACTGGCCGACATTGAAATATCGTGAAGAAAAGAAAAACGGTTCCCACCGCCGTCGAAATCACCATAATACCGTAAAGAATCCACGAATGAATGCGCTCGACCGTAAGGCGAAGAATGGTGGCGGCAATAGATAGCCTAGCAATAGTACAAGTAAATACGTAGAAGATCTGTCCTAGCCACCAACACTATCAGCAATAGCAGTCAGCAAGCTTTAGTTGAATATCACAGGATGTGACAGGATGCGCGTGACGAACACCTACCAGCAAGCCGCGGCGAACGTCGTCCGGACTATGACTTAAATACGCCTGCGCCTTTCCCATCCCGTACAAGGCGCCCACGATTCCGCATATAGCGAATGCCACATTGAATGCCTGCGCGTATCTAAGTTTGATGATTGATTACTCAAGAGGCACTTTTTCAATAATACTTACTGCTGCCGCTACCATCAACGTATCGTCGGACCCAAAAGACTTTACAATTTTCAACCGAGTAAAACAGCGGAGACTGACAGTGACTAGGGAAAATCCCAATAAAACCGCAGTAGTAATAATGATGGCATTGCTGCCCCCATTTCCCATAGCTTTGATGGCACGGATGTGCCGGGAGCATAGACTGACTGGCTGTCACTCAGATATTAGCGGCTTAAAAAGCTTAGTCGAATTATTATGTAAGAAGAAAAGGAACGACGTCATCATTGACTGGTGAAGGAATGTTTCTCCCGCAAATCACATTGCAAGGATCAAGCCGCATGAAAACAATCCTTTTGGCGAGCAATTAGAAGGTTTCTGCAGCTGGCACAAGAATAGAATGCGAGGGATAATAGGTCCAATGATAGAGGCCAGGCAAGCAGTAAGCCCAAGATCATGACTAATGTTGTTTTGCAGGCCAGGAAAGGGATATCTTTATCACTAAACACATGATGCGCGGCAAACAATTCAATACGAGTACTACCAACATGATCGGTTTGGTTCCCTTCTAGAGAGCCTACTTTCTAGGTAATGATACCGATATTTGCCTAACATTCATATAGAGGATAAAGTGAACATGGCGCTAAGCTGGATAATTTCAATGGCAAGACTGGGCGACGGAATTTCTGATCTACCTGCTTGGTGTAACTTTTAGACTGTGGGGATGTCCTGCGACCTCTGAATATACGTGTACCAAATCCCAAGTCCTGAGAGGGTTCAAATCAGAATCAAGCATGTGGACTTTGTTTCAAGGCCAACAGAAGTGTTGGACCAGAGTCTCAGATCTCGGGAAGAAACAAGGACGATGTCCAAGGGACAGTGATTTGCGACAAAGAACTGAAGACTAGCAGCCCAAGGCCAATTACTTGGGTTTAGTGATTCCAAACCGAAAGCAGAGGACCCGATATCAGGGACCCAACGGGTTCGGAGACCGGGGTCTCAAGACCAGGCAGGCCACCCGATCGCCAACTGGGCGCCCTCAACGGTTTCAGAACTCGCACGGTCGCGTATCTTAGCGCCAGAGACAGCTCATGTCTTGAGGCTATGAAACAGTGAGAAAAGGACGCCGCCTCTCGGGCAAGGGTACGGTGGTCAATTACTGCCATTGGCTGAATAAAACGTGACTACGTATCCCCTTTCCTTGACCCCGCACGCTTCACGTGTATCTCCTAATACCCCAAGACACCCCCAAAGTTAGCTTCGTGAAACTGGTGACGCTCGCTTTCGCCCGCGGTATGCCATGAAACGACAGGAAAAGACATGGAAATTGACTCTTATTGACAGACTCAAATTTTACAGGAAAGACACGTTATCTGGATTATGCGAGGAAGTGGCCGACAAGACAGGATTTAGTTAAAATTAGTTAATGTTTTGCTCGGTCATTCGCGTCTTTCGGGAGCGGGAATCATTTGTGGTGTAGATTCGTTTCGTTAGCAGCGCCTGGCCAGGTTATTTGCGACAGAGCGACATCATCACAGCCTCTATCTCCCTTGCCCAGCACCGCCTTCGAATCTCGTGAACTATCCTCGCCCTTCTCAGGCACAATTGAACTCACACGACTAAGAACAGGCATCAAGAGAAAGCAATTTTTACTTCGCACATAATACTCCTCCCCAGCACACTCAACCCACACCTCGACATGCAAAGAATACCTTCTCTCAATATTAAAGCTTGTAAAGGTGGGCGCTATACGTTCGTCCGCCGGTATCGCCACCTTTATCCATGTTGTATATCCATTCCCATTCGATAAGAGGACTCCCCAGTTTCGGTTCTCAATATCAAGGACCACGTTCTCATTTTTCACTGTGTGATCTCCCCGACTTTTGGAAGACGGAGCAAAAAGCGATGTAAACCCCACCAAACGCACCCTATATCTTCTCGCCCAAAACTCTGGGATGCTCGGTGCCGTCGACGTCCTGGGCGCGGGTAGTATATTCACAAGACACTCTCTCGAGCCACCCAGATATCCATAAGTAGGGGTATCCAGGAAGATCTGGAAGTTAAAATGCGGCACCACCTGTAACCCCGTTTGGTCCTTCTTTTCTGAATTGATATGATGGCTGTGCTTAGGCAGAAGCATCAAGCTCCTCACCACGCAATCCCTCCGCACCGCGATAGACGGCCTCATCTTCCGTATTCTCATGTGATTTGGCCCACCGTAACTTGACTCAAATGTAATTGGGACTTTTCCCTCGCATATTCGTGTAGATCCCCCGATCGAACCGTGATCCTGGATCCAGATCGAGGCGGTCACGGCATACTCCACTGTTCCTTCGGAGACTACTCCGCCCATCACCTCAGTAAAGGAAGGCGGGAGAAGGTGTTGTTTCGCGCCTTGTTGCATGTTTTGCATCTGGACAGTCTGTGGATGACTGTCCGCATCCGTATCCGCAGTCGCAAGGACATTCGGAAACGGAAATGAAAAAGGGCAAATATGTTCCCTATGCGAAAGATATAGATCGATAGCCGTGAAATGGAGAAATGTAGCGTGACCACTATGTGATTCGACTTTCGTTTCTGTGTCTCCAATGAGCTGTACGAGGAGGCGGATGGGGTAGGATAGGAACCACGCATTTCTTTTTGGGTTGTATCTTACTTCCCCGGTTACTGAGTCTCCTGGTTTGTATTTTGTAGGGGGATTGAGGGTGAGGGTGAGCATGGTGTTTGTTTTGATTATGTTCTTGCTGTGTGTTTCGGGGGAGGTAGAGGAATTAAAATGATACGATACATAAATATATCACAAAGACCGAGAAGCAAATACGTGAGGGTATGCGGCACGTGAGCAACCAACAAAGACGACCAATGAGAGCGAGGCCTGGCGCCAAATTGGGCTGTGTTTTCTCTAGCGTCAACTCAGCCCCAAGTCAGCCTCGCGCAGACCCACGGGTTGTAACTGGTGACGCGCGCTTCGCACGCTGTGGCCCTGAAACGACACGGGCCGAGATGGGTGATAACACGAGGGATGGACGTTTGATCTTGATAAGGGATTATCGAGGTATTTTCCTGGAGACAAAGTTCATCACCGCCTGCTGCACTTTATCAAAACCTACCGTGGCCTGGGTGTCAATGATTGTTTTGTCCGTCTCAATCTTTCTATAACCCGGCACTGGCGGCCTCTCTATGGGATCAGTGTACGCGACGGTGATCCCCTTTTTCTTCATTTCATCCCTAAACTTGGCGGCGAATCTTTCTGCCTGATCATAGCGCCGGGCGTCGGCATGGGTCTTGAGCGCAGCCAGCATCATGTTGACACGGTCGATCGGCTTGTTGGCCCCGACTTTGGAAATGGCCTTCATGCCAATATCCTCTGCCTCGCTCATGACGTTTTCAAAATTTTCCTCCTGGTCCCAATCGTTGAAGAGTTTCTCATTGTACAAGGCGCCCTTGAAGCCAGACTTGTCAATCTCGGTGCTGAAAACGTGGTCCTCACCCTCGCCGACGAGCCCACAGTTGACCTTATCAAAATTGGGCGGTAGGGATTTTGTTGGAATCCGGCAGATTTCTTTCATGAATTCCTTCATATTGCAGACAATGCCGCTTTTGGCGCATTCGGGCGCCATGCGCGAGTTTTTGAGGCCGTGGGCGGCGACCTCGAGCGTGTAGAGGTGATAGAAGAACAGGACTTGGTATTTCCCGGCGGCTTTGTTCGCCGTGACGCCGGCGGCGAGGAAAACCATTATGAACAGAAGTGGGAGCATGATATTTGATTGTTAACCAATGAAAGAAAGAAATACAAAGTCCAAAAATGGCAATGCATTGGTGCGATAATATAATTGTTTGTTTCCTCCAGGAATTCTATATTTGAGATTTGTAAGGTGGAAGATACAAACGGAATGGATTAGAGATATGTATACAGATAAAAAGGGGAAGGGTCTATGAAAGCACACAAAAAAGATTAAACGAGGGGAAGATACACGCTGGGAACCTTTTAATATATTCCTTTAGGATCCTTTTCACTCATCATGTGCTGACATCCTTTTGTACAGCAAGGTCTACCCAACTCTCGGATCAGACTTTCTCATCGTCGGAAATAGTTGGCTCTCCGGAGTCGGCGGAGAACAAAAGCACCCGCCTGCGCATTCCAGCCAAAAAGGCGAAAATCCCGAGAAGCCACCAAGAGAACAAGATAGGCAGTGATCGATAGAGAGTTGGGTTACAGCCATGAGTCCAGATATCGACAAGGACCTGGTAGAGCTCATATGCGGGTAAAGCATATCCAATGCGGTAGAATCCAGGAGACAACTCGAACGGACTGAGAGTACTTGCGACATTCATGATGACCCAAGTCAGGATGAAAAAGGGCATGAACTTGATCGGAAGCACCGCTGTGACCGAATCGACGATGAAGAAGTTGAGGTGCATGGCGAGCCAGAGGATCATCCACGTCAGTGGGAATTGGCTAGGTGTGGTTCCCCAATCTTCTTGGAAGGCCCAGATATAGCCGCTCATGCAGAGTGATGTGATGAAAGTGAAGAACACAGATATGCCTAGTCGAAGAGCGATGTTTTGTCTCAGGGACAAAGTTTTGAGGATGTTGGTTTCGGCCGAAATACCGTTCAGGGCCATGACGAAGAAGAATTGTGGTAGGATGACCATTACCATCGAGACAGTGTTGTAGTAGAAACGGCCACCCTGGTTAGTTGGCTTGATATCGATTGATGTGGCGCCGATTGGGTCGAATAATACCTGGGCGATGTGTGCATCCGTGGTGTTGGCTGTTGACATCGCTGCTGTCCCATTCATAGCATTGTAGGCACCTCTGGCTCCCTGCACCAGAATCTGGAGACTCGAAGAGATAACTTGGGCGTAGGAGGGATACCTCGCGCCGTTCCAAACATAAGTCAATGCCTCGGAGTTTTGGTATGTTTGTGCAGCTTCAGGAGAGGCGAGTGCGGCAGACAATTGTGAAGAGGCGTTAGGATTGGAGTAAATCGCTCCCCAATAGTGACCTTTGCAGATGGATTCACGAATATCGTTTGTAGCCGGATACTCGGTCGATGAATGTTCAATGAGAGTCGGGAAGCCAGGGCTTGCTAGCTGGGAATAGGCGGATTTAACTGATTGTCCAATGATGCCGTCGTCGTAGTCGACGAGAAGAATTTTGAAAGCCTTCATCCGCTGCGAGTCATTGAAGGCAGTGCCATATAGGTAGCTCATATTTCCAAGAAACAAGAGCTGGATGAGGACGAACGAGCCTCCCACAGCGCCCAAAAAGGGCTTTGGTATTTGCATGTCGAATGTGCACAGGTGTGATGTTTCGGTGTTCAAGTGGGAATGATCAGTTTACTTTAGGATGCTGGTATATGATTGTTGTTGTCGGGGTAGAAGAATTTGGGAAGGAAGGGTGCATTTGAGCGAGTCTTGAAGATCGGAGAAAATCTTGGGTTTTATTCGGAGATAGAAGGTCGGAGGACAATGTCCTGACCGAATTGCCGGTGGAGTCGGGTCAGGGTCTGTAACATACAAAATAACCGTAGATTAACCTTTCTAATATAAGATCCACTGTGGCTATCGTAGACCTTCCGATACCCGCTTCCGCTGCGTAAGCGGAAGTGTTTCCCGAGGTCGGGATCCCGAAACAATGTAGCTTGGGATATGTAGCTTGGGAAGACGTAGGATGTCAGATATCTTGACCTTACGGAAATAATTTATTCCCTAACTCTGCGGGGTATTATATGTTGCGATTTTATGTTGCGCGTAGTCGAACCAAGAGTTGTTCATAAATCTTGCTGATCCCCCACCACTTGATGGTCCTCATTGTGGAAATCGACTCGTCCAACAGTTTCCCCAGGCCTGAAGGAGACGAGATATTTCCAACACCCGACATCTTGATGCGCCCTCGACCGGTCTCAATCCACTGAGCCTGTTTCGCGTTATTAATATCTGATGTTCCTATGATGACAGAGGGCGCGTCGGACGGGGAGTTCTGTAACTGGCCCAAAAGAACAGAGTATAGCCACAAAACCAATGCAGCTTGGAACAATAGTACTGGTGTGGAGTAATGCGGGCAGCAGGTGGATCGAACGGTTTCAAACAAGTTTGCCGCATACACAACAGCTTGCCTTGTCTTGACGGGGGAGGAGCTCCATTCCCTTTTTAGTCGGCCCAAGTCGGAATCGCTGTATCGCTTGTATTTGACTTTCAGCACGGTCGACAACAAAGGCATTTTCGGAAGGTTGTTCATCATCAACGCGGAGAAAATCATGATTCGATGAGCACCTAGAGCCTTCAGTTCGTTCATGGGAAGCTCTTGGCCTTGGGCATATGTCACTGCAAGGATTTGTCGCAGTGCATCTGCAGCTGCCGTGCAATCAACAACCGTGCCATTGGGGGGACAATATAATGACTGGCGGCGGTTGTCTTCGATAATACTGAGGAGTTGCTGCAAGATAACGCTTTTCCCGAGCACTCCTGTCTTGTTCCATATTGCGGTCCGGCTTGGATCGGACAACAACTGAAGCAGAGTCTGCGGGAACTTGGTCGCTATTTGCCTCGTTAGAAGAAGTACAGCAATCAGTGGAATTTTCATTACCATTACTCGTGCGAGCTGGAAAGCCAGCCCAGGCCTGTGCGCTGGATGCCGCCCATGGCTTTTCCTCTTGAGGCAAGGAGTTCTGCATTTCATGGACTCTCATTACAGGGGTCAGGTCAAAGTCGGTTTGAAAAGCCGAATCCATCAACTTGAGTCTAACATTAGAACAAAAATGCTGACATTGTTTAGGCTCAAACTGTTCATCGACTTACCCAGATTGCAAAGCCAGTTCGCCGCCTCTCCTCGTCAAAAGTCCAGATCTGCCATGTCTGGTCCAGGCGTAGGTCGAGATGAGATACCCTTTCATGAGGTAGATAGTTCGTGAATAATCGTTTCCGACGAGCCAAAGTTACAGGAAGCGCTTGCAACAATTCAGCGATCTCAAGGGCTCTCCGCTCCCCAGAATACCGTAAGGCCAATTGATTGAGCAGGATGGCCTGCGTCAACCACAGTTCACGACCATTTTGATTACGATGTTCACACTGATCGGGCGTTAGTCTTGCATTACCTCGCATATTACTGGGAAACGCTATTCAAAAGGTCTTACCAGATATGATGTCGACCGCCGGACCATCTCATTCATTGCCCTCGAACAGGCTTGCGATTGGGGTAACCCAGAGAATTGAGCCCCAATGGCACTAACAGCAAATATGAGCAGCCAATGTGTGTCCGACCTTCCAAAGGACGGCTTATGTAGGAAAGGGAACACTGGATGAAAATGTTCGAAGTAGAGCTGCACCCAAGCGTTGATTACTGGGGCAGGTGGTATCCTTAAATCAACAAAACTTGGAAAAGTTGATGTCGATTGAATAGTCAATGCCAACTGGGCTATCTGGTCGACGACAGTATTTGACACTTCAGGGACATGCACCAGGTTTTCTTGGTCCACCTCCTCTGGGGAAATGTCTTCCATATCGGGGAATGACAACTGCGCGTCGATATCAATGGAACTCGGCTGATATTGCCGCGGCTCCATGGCTTCTCCTTCTAGGGGTGGGGAAAGACCGCGGGTGTAAATATCAGCCACGGCTGCGGGAGTCGAGGGCGTGGGAGGTCCAGGGGTCCTAGTTGCAAGCCCTTCAGGCTCTTTTGGCACCGGCCAGAGACTATCGGGTAGCTCGACCCCTGTGCTGAGGTCAAACAAGCTTGGGAAGAAGTTCATGTCCAGGTCAAAATTCCAGAGATTCTCCAGCTCTGCTCCTTCGGCACTGAAGGTTTGAAAACCCTCGTATGTCGTAGATGGCGTGCCCCCAAATATCCCGTTATCAGACATGCCTTCAAGTGTTGCGGGTGTTGCATGGCACTGGCTGGGTTGGGTAGGCGTCTGTACGGCGGCGGGCGCTTCTGTCAGAGCAACATTTGCTTTCTTCCGGGCAGGTTGGCCGCAATCCTCAACCGGTTGGCAAAGAGAATCAACTGAATGCTCCTTTGAGGAAGTGTTTCTCGTAGCCTGGGAGTCCTTCATTTTGCGCTTATTAGAAGGTTCATAATAGCAGTCGGGGCCGTTATTTTGGTAACGGCAGCGCTGACACGGTTGTTCCCCATCACACCGGACTTTCGAAATGTTGCACGGCTTGCACGCTTTGGCTATCCGACGTCGATCAGCTGTGGGATCCTTACGGTCGAGGTAGCCTTGGTGGATCGTGGTATAATGGCGTGCTAGTGAGTCGCTTGCTGCTGGTTAGCACTTCAGCTCGGCAGGTGAAGTTAGCGCTCGAGACGTACACTCTGCCAAAGCGCTGGCCGCACTGGGTGCAGGAGAACGGCTTCTCTTTGGTATGGGTGCGGAGATGTCGTTCATAATGCTCTCGCCTCTGAAAGGAGGTATTACAGATCTCACAATTTATGTCGGTAGATTGCATTGTTTAAGTAACCGATAGGCAGATCGAGATAACAGAGACAGCCTGTGCATACTGATTCAGTCCGAAGTGACTAGTGAGAGAAGAATTATTTAGGAGCATCCATTCAATAATTGTCAAAGACGGGGAAGTTCCGCTCTTGGGGCGAAGATCGACGTTCAATTTCCGTCTACAGTCACGTGCATTGAATGAAACACCAAACCCCAAACGATACGCGTCGCGAGGTTCTTGCTGAGGCTCCCGAATTCCGGGGTTTAGTAGGTTTATTCCAAGGTTCTTGGTCAAACGCGTGGAAAAAGGTAATTCCCGGATCCAAGGTAATTTGTTGGAAATTTTAGCCCTAGCGTATTGCCCGGAGTATTCGCTTGTCAACATTAGACGTCAGGATAAATCGTAAAACTAGCGACTAGCTATAGCAGAGTTTGGGATATTGCTATTTAATATTGTACGGGCCCGTATAAGGATGGCCGGTGTAGTTCCCTGCTATCTACTAGTAGATGGTTTGGAGTACGGTAATACCATCGGCTCTCCACCGGGTAATCTTGACTCGGGTACCACACTAAACAAGCCAATTATTGGCTCGTGTGGAGAATTGAATATGACATTTTACAGGTACATGCAGCAAAGAAGTGGATGCTGGCACATCTACCCCCCTTTTCCTAAAAAGAAAAAGGCTATTCGATGCATGCTGTTGTTGACTCCAATAAATGTTCCGATAGTAAGGAGTATAACGCAGCTAATGGGACGATGGAAGCCAAACACGCAGCATTTTCTTGCGAAGAACCAATCTTTCTTCGCTGTTAAGGCCAATTTTGTCAATAACTTGCTCTTTCGCCGAAATTCTCCCGAGCGCAACCTTTTAAGCATTTGCTTGGGTAGCTGCTAGTAGCCCCTGGGCATCTTGTGCCGGGTTAGAGGGCCAAGTGAAAGAAAACATATCTTTCGGAAGTTCGGCGTTCGGCACATATTTGCGCAATTCGTCGACCATCTCCGCGCGGCGCTCGTCAGGGGCCTTCGACATCATCATGACTGTCAATGCTCGCTCATATCGGACCTCGTTGTACAACTCCAAGCGTGCAGATACCTGCTCAGATGTTGTGTCCGAAGGGAATAGCGCGCCAAGAGCCGCGCCATCCTCGAATGCCTGAGCACCACCCTGACCTTGATCTGTATTATGTCCTTATTTAGCAAAATTCATCGTAGTAGGTCAGTCTACTTTGTGGCAGAAGGCAGAAAACTTACGAGGAAGGGTGGGGTGTGCTGCGTCTCCGACAAGAGCAAGCCTGCCTTTAACAAACTTTGCTGGGGGGGGAACGGGATCCTAGACTCCACAGCTTCACATCTTCACCGAGGCGACACATTTCTCGGATCTCGGGGCCAAAGTCTTTATAGGTCTTGAAAAGATGTTCCACGTCACTGGCATCCAGCCAGGAGGATTCCTTCGCCGAGGTGTCGCCTCCCGAGGGGTGAATACCCATAACATTTAACAACTGACCCTGACGGCAAGGGTAGAACACAAGTCGCCGGTCGCTCGCTGTGAAGGCATGGAGACCATCCAAACCAGTCTTTTCCAAGAGAGAGGCAGCCAGTTCAGTATCATGTACCTTGGATATGGGAATCAGGAATCGGAAACAGTTTTGGCCAGTGCTTTCCTTTCGTGACTCCTCTCCGGTGACGCTGCGGACAGTTCGGGACTGTTGGACTAATCAGTGAACCATGCACTCGTAGCTTAACCCTTTCATGGAGATCTTACGTGAATTCCATCGGCGTCAATGAGTAAATCACCGGTGAACGTCGTTCCTTCATCGAGTGTCACGACTCCCGTCTCGGCATCCTGGAAGAGTTAATGGATTTGAAGTATCAAAAGCAATCACCGCTATTACGTACCACTGATTGCACACGAGAGGACAACAGGATGTTCACCCGTCTGCCGTTAAACTCCTTCGCAGCTGTCTCCCGCAGGGCGTTGTGTAGATCAACACGATGAGTCAAGAGCCAGTCATCATGGATATCCAGTATTGTTTGGAGTTCCTTGGTCACCTACATTAAATGGTGAGTCTGAGGAATCATTCATCCTCGGAGAGAGAAAGCATACAATAGGGGTCCAAAGAAGTTCACCCGCTGAGTTCCACACTTGAAGTCGATTGCACTGGGATGCTTGCAGCTTTTGGAAGTCGCATTCCCATTCCCTCAGGATGCGACTCGCGTTAGGGGCAATATGGATAGCCGCACCGACCTCATTGAGAAATCCTGATTGCTCAATAACCTGAGTGAAGAGTCAATCTATCGAAATCAATATTTGGGATGATGAATACGAACTTGAACATCATGTCCGGCCTGGTTCAACGCGATGGCTGCGCCTAAGCCTCCCAAACCAGCACCAACGACAATAACTTTTAGTGGCATTTTGTGGCTGATATCAACAGATTGATCAAATTAGAACGCGGTAGAGACCTGAGGCATTTACATAGCAGTGATGAGCCGTCAATCGGCTGCCTCCACTTTCGGTTCCGCCCACTCGGTCTCTTCCATTTCCTCGCAGTTCCAACAGCTGGTCACCGAAGCCGCACCCCAGAGTACTTCCGGATATTCAGATTTAGATTCACAACAGGAAGAGATAACCCTGGATCAAACATCAATATTGCACGCTTTGTCCACCTATATGCGACTAATTGAAGCCTACCAGCTCACCTTTTCGCAAAATACCCAGAAGTTTGGCTTTGCGTTGGCAGAAGGATCGGCTATCCCATTACCATCACTCCAGATTGGGGCATTTGCTATAGACGATCCAGCAGGTCACGTTGCCTTAGTGATTCAGTCAGCGTTGCAACTGCTAGCTCGCCTAGGAGATCTAGCGAATAAACTCACGGTGCCTTTCCTTAATGGAAAGAATGGCGATAATGGCATCAGCCAGTCTCCGAGTTCACCCGCCGGACACAATATAACCAGCATGGTGATGAAGACGGTCCGCGAACGCGAAAGCCAACTGAAGCAGGCAGCGGCACGGCTGGAGAGTTGCTGCCGCAAGGCACGACGGCCTCGTGGTTGATGATCGTGATGGTGAATTTGATGAACGATGGAACACCACAAAGAGCCGATTGCTAGTATTGGATGTAATATTTGAAGCTTCCAAATCCGCTTCCAAATCCAAATCCGGTGGCCTGAAGCTAAGACCCAGGGAAATTAAAATAAAAGTAATACGGGCGAATATGAACTCCGGCTGCCTGGTGGTCGATTGCATATAGGTGACCTGCCAATCGGGAAATAGGTCCCTTATAGGGAAGGCAAACATATCTTTACCAGCAGATCCGCCCCAGTTAGCTCAGTGTGACGGGGGAGGCGCATGATATAGCTACTGGCGTGGGCGGGGGTATACATTAAGTATGCCCTCCCCCGAACTGGAGTTATAGTGCGCGCCTCTCCCACACCCACAGGGTAATTGGCAGACACTCGGGCTCGGGGTCGAGTCTGCGCCTCTCTTCTTTTTTTCTATGTTGATTTTAATCCAAGGTTGAGGTCTTAGGTCTGGCACCACCCTTTTCACACTTACTAATTCGTCGCTCATACATTCTCAGGTCTCCATGTACCTTGCCCGGGCTAGTTGTGGCCTATGTGTATTGAGAAGAGCAAAGCCTGGATAGGCAGATATCTAGACGCATGAACGAATGTGATAATGGAGATGAATTGTTGTTGAAATTAGAACTATGGGAATCTAACATGGATACGCTGTGATGGAACCAGGGTTTTTAATTGTGGAGCCGTGGATGCTTACTTAGAGCTACATCTTTTCTTTCTACAATATTCTTCAAGCAGGTATTTCATTTAGACTACAATGTGTGCAATAAAATATGGTTCAGAAATATTAAATTTTGATGTAGATAATCTACTATCATCTAGGAGCTTTTTTACATACACTTTAAATTCTCCGGTAGATCACATCTCTATGCCCAAGTGTTTCTAGAAAGAGGGGGTCACGGGAGGACCATCAAGCTTGAAGTAACCAGGCTGGAGAGTCTGGTAAATCTCTCTGGGGTCATACTTCTTAGCAATCTTCTTCAGCTGAGCCTTGTTAGTAGCACCATATCCAGCGACAGCATCCTGGAACATGCTGGCGTAGTTCATGTAGACATATTCATTGAAGACGCCGACGTTCTTAGCCTCAGCAAGGACCTTCTCCATGAACTTGTTCACAAACGCGTAGATAGTCTTGTCATCAGACTCGTTCTTCCACCAGCAAGAAATGTGCAAAAGGTGAACAGGGCCAGAGGAGCCAGCAAGTCCGAGAGCGTTGCCACCGCGGTTCTTCATGTTCTTCAACATTGGCTCGGTGATGCCCTGGTAGATCAGCACGGGCTGGGCGCCAGCAACATCGGCCACCTCGGCGATCATCGAGTAGAAGAGTTCCAACACCCAGTTGGCGAATTTCTCGTCGAGAGCCGCGCTGATAGGCCAGTACACCTCGCGAAGACCGAAGGGGTTTGAGGTCTCAAGGTACTCGACGTACTCAACGAGGGTCTTGGCGCTGGATGTGTCGGCAATGGCCGGAATGCTTCTGTATTGCTTGTAGATCTCGGGGTTGGGGTCATTCTTTACGTAGGTAAGCTCAGCAGATGCAAGGTTCATCCCTTGGGTCCGGAGGAAGGCGACATATTGCTGGGCGTTGCCGTCAACGGTGGCATTGTTGATCACGTTGATCCAAGCGTTAACAACCTTGGGAAACTCGGTCTCGAGGAAGGTCCTGGAACCACCATACATCTCTGGGGAGGGGATGGTGTACAAATTGTACTTGGTAACCAGGCCAAAGTTGTTGCCACCACCGCGAAGAGCCCAGTATAGGTCAGCGTAAGAAGTTGCACTAGCGCGCACAATCAGACCACTAGCGGTAACGACCTACATGTTATTTGTTAGTATGAATTTTCTGGAGAGTATAATAGGTGCATAATCTTACCTCAAAGCTCTCAACATTGTCGCAAGACCACCCGTACAGGTTAGAGTGGTAGGAGATTCCACCACCCAAAACGAAACCACCAACACCAATGCTAGAGGCACGACCTCCAATAACAGCCAAGCCATAGGGCTCGAGGGCAGAGTAGGTAGTGAGCCAGTTGTTTCCAGGCCCAATCGAAGCGACTGTCTTGTCCGCGTTAAGGGTAACAGCGTTCATATCCTTGAACCAAATGCTGATTCCGCCAGGGGCGCTAGAAGCACCGGTAAAGGCAGCATGACCGCCACTGCGAGCAGCAAACTCGCAACCAGTCAAACGAGAGAGCAAAACTGCAGTGCTGACTTCCGTGTTCTTGGTAGGACGGAAAACACAACGAGGTTGGACCTCTTCTTGCTGCATGGACCAGAATGAGCTGGTGAAATTGCTGTACCCAGTAGTCTCTTGGGCAGCGACTTTGGAGCCAAACAGGAAGCTCAAACTTGCGCACTAAGGTGAATTTGAGATTAGCGATTGATCAATGTTTAGCCAGCTTGCTATTGACGCCAGGTTTTCACTCACGGCAGCTGCACAGGCCTTATCGGTTGACCGTGTCTCAATGGCGGCGAATGACTCCAATGCGGGAATTTGCGACACATCCACGCCGAGGTCCTGCAATGCGCCGGTGACGCTGAAATCATCGGCTTCAACAACCGAGCTGGTCACAGCACCCTGGGCCAGGGTCACCCCGCAAATCGCGGATAACCCGCCAATGAGAGTCGAAAGATGCATGATCCAAAAAAAAAAGAGCAAACAAAGGCGAGATCTAGACAAATGCAAGGACTTGGGAGAAAAAAAAGAGAAGAAACCAAGTGGAGGAAACTTATTGTCTTTTAACTTCCTCGGAGGTTAGCTGATCAAAGGTTCTAATCCGATGAGGTTCCGGGATGGTCCCTGGTGTAGGCCATTAGGTGTAATTAAGTAATTAAGGGGGTCGTATAATTGGAGTATATTATGACTGGGCATCCCAAGGCTGTGTTCGTTTTCGTTAACGCGTAAATCAATCTCGCTTCCAAATATAAGCGAAGCGGCGCAACCCGAACGGTTAAGCTAGCCTGAAGCTCATAACAATGAACTTGTGGGTTTTCCTTCTAGTCCATCCCGGCGCTAGCGCTTGTTTCGCACTCTGTATTATTCTAGAATAAAGTTATTCCTGTCGGCTACGAACTCTCTCTTTTCTATCGAGTCGCAAGCCGAAAAATTGAAATTATGATGAATTTCCTAAGCGAGGGCGATGAAGAACGCCACCAGAACCCGGCACACTTCATAGGTCCGAGGCTTATGCAGGGAGCGCTTTAGTTTGAGACAAGAAGAAGCCAAAACTCAATTCGCAGTTTTACCCAGCCGTGTTTTTTTCCCTTCCTTTGAAGATCGTCTGGATATTTCATGGATATGGTTATGCTAAATTATGCCTTGAGCCCTACTATGTTTTTCTTTGATTTTCTCAGACCCCTCCATGTGCGCCTCGGCCCGTTATCGGCTGCTGTGGGCATTAGGGGTTACTTGGGGCATAAGGGCCGGGGCTGAGGGGGCGGGCCATCCACCCCGCCGGTGCTATATATTTCTTCTGCGATTGGCCCGGTGCTGGTGGGGCATGTATCTTGAATCATTCTAGCATTGGCGTTCGAACCAAATGCGTATATTGCCCATCGTCGGCGTTTTACAATCCCTGCTGGTTTTAAAACCACGCACGCCTCCAAGAATGACTGGGCATGGTGGCTGCAGGTGGTGCCCATCTGTGAATCTTAAACTCAAGATATTGGCTGCCATGTGGTTGTCGAAATTCCGGTGAATTGCCTTTATGTATATGGATGGCAGCGGGCCCACGCGGTCCCTGTTTTCTAAAATCCAGTCTCACAAGAAGGGATGGGAGAGGCCATTACGGGCACCGTTGGGCCTAATACCATCAAAGGTACTGGCATTGCCTTGATTGTACTCACCTCGCTCGTTTTAGGCACTCGTTTTGCAGGTTCTATTCGAAGTTTCAAGGATCTCAAGGCCGAAGATTACCTTCTGATTGTTGCTTACATATTCTTCTTGGAACTGAGCATTCTCTACGTCTACATTTCGCCCGTCATCTTTCGAATAGCAGCAGTCGGTGCCGGAACGATTCCCCCCTATGCCACCATTTTGGAAGATGGACTCCAATTACAGATTGTCTTCTTTGTCACGACATCTTCGTTGTGGCTCTGCTTGTGGATGATCAAGTTCTCGCTCTTGGCAATGTATAAACGCTTGTTGGTTGGAAAGAAATATCTCATCGCCTGGTGGGTTATTATGGGATTTTGTGTCCTGGTATGGATTTCCCGCATGAGTGCGAGTCTTCAAATTATTGACGAGATTCTTCCCAGTTTCTTACCGGCTGCATTATCTCGTCATGGTTGTCATGCTCGAGCTTCCATGCCTGGTTTACCTCAGGCCAATGCAACACTCCACGCGACCATCGGGCGGCCGTTATCAGCTTGTACTTCGCATATGGAGTGGATATAGTCACTGACCTAGCAAGTACGTATTGTCCTCTTTCGTCCTTAAAGATCACTACCTAATCTAATACCTCGCTAAGTCATGATTCTCCCCATACGCCTTATCTGGAACCTGCAGATGAAAACCCGCCAAAAGCTGAGCATTGGCGGGCTATTCTGCTTTGGCTGGGTCTGCATCATTATTTCCACCATCCGCGTTGTTAAGCTAGGAAATACTGAAAACGGAGTCCCTGCTCCATCATGGCTAGCGTTATGGGGAACTATCGAGGCATCAATCGGTATGCTTACATTTCCCGCTTTTGTCCACTTGCATGTTGAACCATTTTACTCACTGCCATTCTCCTAGCTGTCATGATCGGTTGTTGCCCCGGCCTCTATCGCGTCCTTAAAACTGCCATCTCGCCCTCCAAGACATCCTACCCGTATGACTCGTACAACTTGCGGGCCCGTGGAGGCAGTGGTATGCCATCGCACCGCTCGGGTGCGTTTGGGAGAACGGATATTCCTTTGAATAGCTTCAGGGGGAAGGAGGAGTCGTACCAGTCGGCGAGTGCATACCGTTCTACCAGTCCATCAAGCAGTCAGGAGAAATTGGCGCATCCGAGTGATAGGCGGAATATAATGGTTAATTATGGAGTTGCCGTCACGGTAGAGGATCGGACGAGTGATTATGGCCAAACGGCACGTTTTGTGTAACAAGAAAGTTTATTTTGAATAAAGCCTCCATGGAGTTGAATTGACTCATCATGACAATGGGAGATAAAGTTCAATTCACGAGAGTAATTTTTACAGCTGACATGATGCGTTTGTAGCTAACGCTGTCGCTCACCACAGATGATATGTGTGAGGGCGCTGATAGGACAATAGAAGGGCAAGACCGTACAGCCTAAAAAGTACCTAACTAGTGAGCAAAGGAGGCTATATAATAGTCCAAGTTATAGGTGAGCCTCCTGTTAGTACTGGAGCTTTACGTGTATCTCCTAACCGAGAGCTTGCCGTTGCTTATATTATGGAGAGTGTCGCATCCACCAAGGGATATCGTGCTCGGTGACGTCAAAATCCTCTCCGGAGAAGTGTACACGGGCATCCAAGTATATCTCCCGTCTGAACTCCGAGCCGTGGGAGAGTTCAAGATATTGAATAAGGCAAAGGCAGCGATGAAGTTGAAGGATGGCAGGCTCAGTAGACCGCACAGTTGGCCGAATAATTGGATGCGGAGGAAAGTCGTCTTCCTCCAGGACGTGATCTGGAATCCAGAAGCGAGATGGCATGCGATTGATCGCTACAATGGTTCGGGCTCTGTTCTGCTGGAAAGTGTTGGTCTCGTAAACTGTGACATTATGCCGCAGGACGATCAACACGCATACCACCCAGCAGTGTTGGATATATTCAGTGTTGGGAACAACTTGATGGTCGTGTTCCATTGACTGGCTAGCTTCAGCCGTCCTCTGAAATACGATACTCTGGCTGGTCAGGCCGGGAAGAGCAGACAGAAGTCGCACGGCCTCAAGGCATGGCCACATAATCACAAACCGCTGGAGGTCAACGACATTATCGAACCCAAGATAAGCAGCTACCGTGCGTTCGGCTTGCTATACGTTAAAAGGATCGATGTCAGCGAGATCTGAGGTTTCATCAAAGATCACAATGACTTACGAAGATCGTCCGGAGACCAAGACGGCTGTTGGATGACATTGCTCTGACTTCGCGTGATGACGAAGAAATGAAGGAGAGGAGAGGGGTGGTTTGTGAAGATGAAGGATGGTTTGTGAGGGTGATAAGTGAGAGGCAACTGATATCATAGAGACCTGAGGTTGATCAGAGAATAAAAGTGAAAGTTTGATCAGAAAATTGCACCCCTAACAAATTTATAGTGTGTAAATAGCAGCCAGCTTACTTGAGGCCTTAGGTGGACATTATATAAATGGATCACATTCCCCTTTAGATCATAAATCCTCCACAATTCTAAGCAATATATACTTCAGACAAGCATACTGCATATTCGAGAAGAACCAGTAACTCAACCAAAACTGTGCACCTTGTCAAGTTGAAAGACTAACATACAGTCAAGAATTTGATAATGGGAGGAAGAAAAGTTGGGATTTCAGTAAACCGAGATCTGGTTCTCTCTATACACATACCGTGGATGAAGTTGGACGCCTTAAATATTTGACAGCGACATTGGCAAACAAAGACTACATAGAAACCGAACAAAGAAACTGGTCTTATAATGAAAGCTTCTTGTTATGACCCCTTATAATCTACCCACGTCTACAACATATGGCGTTCGCACGGCAAGTGGTGACCCGAGCCCTAATTTACAACCTCTTACTCGGTATACTTCTCACCATTCCAATCGCCTGTTATCGAATTGCCTACTATCGCCAAACTATTTTTTAATGGTTTATTCTATGATACTCTTCCACATGTAATCTGATACATACGACCATAGGGTGTGGAAAACAGGGCTTCCCGTCCGCTCAGCCGTACTTAAGCCACACGCCGGTGAGTTAGTAGTTGGGTGGGTGACCACCAGCGAATCCTCACTGTTGTATGTTTTTTTTTTGTTTTTTTGCCGTCAATACTCACTCTAGATTCATTTGGTTTAATCAGTCAGTCCTTTTAGCCCTTTATTATCACCTGTCTGTTGTCAAGTGGTACTCATAGAAACATGGTTTTACAAAATTGAGAGAACCCTAGAAGAGGGACAAACTAAAAAAGAAGAAAAGACATTTAGAAAGACATCCAACTAACATCGAGCCAACTGGAATATGTCGTTCTCAAGGAAAGAGGCCGCAAAAGCGCCGATTATTCTTGTCCTTCTTCTTGCCGAAAAAAGCCAACTCAGAATCATCCTGGATACCTAAACTCCTCTACCCCGCCAACTACAGGGCGTATAAGCCAGACGTAGATATGTTATCAGTGTGGGTGACTATATACAAATCCCTATTATTGTATCCCTTTGCTCACCTATTTAGAATAGTTTCAATGCGCTTAGTTTGTCACTCAATAGCTTTACCATATTGTGTCAGTGTGAAGGCGCTCCATGTTTCACTTATTTAATTTATTTACGCATTTTCTCACCTCTAAGGAGGAAAATGCCGATATCGCGAGCAGCCTGATCGTAGTAATGGTCCCTGATGGAGAGATAATATATACTATAGGGTATTTGTCATATTTCTAATATTGCGACATGATGGCGTGTTTATAATAACGTGCTACTAGATGAATATCACTCTAAGCCACCTATTTCCCCGCAGATATAAGATCTAAGAGAAATCCCATTCCCCATTTATCATTAGAAACAAAATGGGTAGCATAACTCCTTTTCAAGATCCTTTTGAGGATGTCCCAGCGGGCCGAACAGGTAAATAATACAGTTGACGCATTCATGAACCCGGATTAATAAAGCATGTTTAGATGGCCTCGCAGCTCTCGTTTGGCAGTTCCGAGCCGATACTGATCCCAACAGAACTGATCTCCTCGTGGGCGTGTACAAGACGGAGGAAGGTAAAGCGTACGTGCTGCCAAGCGTGAAAGAGGTATATATGACTTCCTACAGTTTACCATCCTCCACCTTCGGAACATCACTGAATCATTACCCCACAGGCGAAGAACAGAATATTCAATGACCCTGATTGGCATCATGAGTATCGCCCTTCCGCTCTAGGTTCGCAGCTTTATAGGGACTTGAGTGCCAATCTCCTTTTTGGTCCAGATCATCGTCTTTTGCGGGAAAAGAGGTAGAGGAAGACTGATATGCTCTTTAGAAAATTGACCTAGAGCTGACCTCCTTGCTTAGGATAGTTTCAACGCAGACCCTCGGCGCATGTGGTGGATGCCATGTCGGCGCAGTCTTTTTGAAAAAACATTATGGACCGTGGAAGGAAAATGGAAACCCCGAGATTTTCCTTCCGACCGACTCCTGGTGTAAGTCGTCGTTTAGTCACACATACGAAAGAAGTTCTGACTGGGTCCTAGTGAATCATCCTTTCGTATTCCAGTCTGCGGGAATTAAGACCAGTCTTCTGCCATATTATAGCAACAAGACAAACAAATTCGATTTTGAAAGGTTTTCAGAGGCCATCAAATCGTTGCCAGCTCAATCCGTTGTTCTTCTCCAGTCTGGAGCCCAGAACCCAACTGGAAGTGATCCATCACCAGATCAGTGGCGAGAGCTAGCCTCGATATTTTCCCAGCGTGGTCATTTGGCATTCTTCGATGCTGCATATCCCGGGTTTGCCTCAGGAGACATTGACACAGATCTTGAAAGCGTTCGTTTGTTTGCCGAGCAAGAAATCCCACTTGTTTTTGTCTCAACATACGGGAAGTCCTTTGGGCTTTACAGCGAGCGCGTTGGAATTCTCTCGATTCTTGTTCCAAGCGAGGAAGTGGGAACGAATATAGAAACACAGTTGAGACTACTCGCTCGAGCGGAGTCCGGCGCGCCGCCCGATTTCGGGTCCAAGATTATTGAAACGGTCCTATCAGATGATATTTTGCAACGCCAATGGCGGCAGGAAGTGCGCGATATGGCGAATGAACTCAAGCGCCGTCGAATTGCACTCAGAGAAGAATTGGAGAAATTGGAAACTCCAGGCAACTGGCAGCATATCACTGATCAGAACGGAATGTTTTCGTAGGTGTCACCAAGATCGGATTCGTGGAGACTCACCATACTGACCCTTTTTTTAGATATGTTGGACTGTCCGTGGAACAAGTCACTCTCCTCCGAGACAAGTACCATGTTTATCTTCAGGACTCTGGGAGAATATCTATCGCGTATGTTTGATGAGCATATTTTGGGAATCACCGTTGAGCTGACATATTTCTTTCCTTTAGTGGGCTCAACAACTTCAATATCGAGTACACTGCTCGCAGTATTAGCGCTGTCGTCAAAGCTACAACCTAAACGAACTTGAAATGGGCTATCCCGCGATTACATAGTACAGACGGGAAAATGTGATTTGAGGGCATGATTTTCACTTCTTAGCTATATCGTCAAAGGCCCACGGGGCCGGAAACTGCAATGTCGGATTCTCGTTTGGAACCACTACGATCTATACTTAGAGGGCGACGTCATAGGCATTATAGTTATTTGAATACGGAATCATCGTGGTTTTTCTAAAGCGTAGCTTTCATAAATTACAACTTGATCAAAGGAATCGGAAACCCGATCACAACTTCCCACAATTGACTCTTGTTCTCTGAAATGGTGCCTATATATGACCTGCATGTCCAATATGACTTCCATGTCCATCGTGTTCAGACCCTTGGTCGCGAGGACTTGCATCCGCAGCTGCAACAGACCAGGCGTGCAATTTGTCCCAGTTTCTGCATGTGTGAACTTGTTCGAAATTGGGCTGTAGCAGAACCTTGTTTAGCAGTTTCCTTTTGTTTGTGTCGGAAAAAAGCCAAACTTACGAGAGACATATTGATCGCGGGCTCGTAGTACAAGACAACGGGTGTCATGTCTGCACCACACTGAATGCTCTGCCGGAGATAATCCAAACAGTGGTCTTTGTGAATGTCAAACGTCAGCTTGATATAAAGTGAAACGCACTTGTGGGATCGCGAATTTCAAGAAAGCTTTGAACGGATGCATAGAATAAAATATTGGATGAAGACGAACCTATGTGAATCTTTGTCCCGTGTGGACTCAAATCTAAGTTGGGGTAGTATTCTGGTGAATAAGCTTTGCGCATTTGGTTCTAATACGCCATTGGTGTTATTTCCATGATAAAGTAAGAGAGTGAAATATAAATTGTGCAGAGTCAACATACTATGCAGTGCAATTGATGAACGGAATCCAACCCGGTTTCATAGGCCTGGTACTCAGTGCGGAAAAACGTCCTGTCTTTGACATCGGGCACTTGGGATTCAGGTAGGTTCACAATTTGGCCTGTGACATGGTTAATAAATGTATTAATCAGTACTCAGCCTGGGAAGATAATTTTCCGAGTTTTGTATCTGGACTAACCATATAGCAACTCATCCCATGCCTTGTCAATCTCTGGTGATGGAGAGCCCACATACTTCGGCCCCGGTGTGTCCTTTATATATACACTTCCATCGGGGTTAAAGTGAATCCCACCAGTGAAGAGGACTTGTTGTAGTTCTATCTGACCTTTGGCAGCGACTAGATTGTTTATCAGCACCACCACTAATCATCGCGTATCCTCCACCGACGTGAAAGTTAAACCACCTGGACATGAAACAACCATGACTTACCAAGGTCAGTGTCGAATCCTTTTTCAAATTTACCGTAACAATTTGAATCTTGCATGTAAATCTGGAAAAGAAGGAGAAGGATCATGGCCGCTAATGCAATGAGCACCACGAGAAGGTTAATGACAACTCTGGTGAAAAGAGAGCCATGTGAATTTTGTTGAGAGTTCGAGTCAATCCTGGCATCTTTTCGCTCGTTGTGATGAGGTAGGAGATGGTCTGTGTCTTCTTCTGCATCTTGCAAAGTTACTAAATCTTTCAATTTTTGTGTCCTCATTTCGAGCCAGTTGGGGTAGCGCATGTTGGTCAGATATGCACAGGTCGTAGTCAAGATGGGGATGGACTTTTTGAGTACAGATGTAAGAGTTCCAACAAAATTCGAAATAGATTGATGAAAGGCGTCAGACCCGAAGCATGAGGCTAGTGGTCCAACGTTTAGGTTAGGTATGGATATGTTTAGTCAACATCCTGTAATCACCCCAAGGTGGGCAGAATTAGGGGCAAAGTTGCAAACTTCTAATTGGTTGATAAGGATAAGAAGATTGTTGAGTCAACAATCAGTCACATATCGTCAACAGACAGTTGATGTGTGTATAGCATAGGACCAAAGCCTTCTTCTTGTGCTATCTAAATAGACCGCAATACCCGTTTCCAACAAGATATCTCCAACACGACTCCTATCAAGCCAACTTGGTCCATTATTCTTTGAAAAATTCCAAATATCCTCCGACAAAATGAGGTTCACCGCAGCTCTCTTTGCAGCCGTAATGGTCGCTTCTGCGGCTGGATCGCCTATTGTCAAGCAAGCCAATGAATCCACTGGCGCTGTCACCAACGGAGATGATTATGAACAATCACACATCTACACCCGCAACCCCGGCGATGACTACAAGCACCAGGACTCAATGTACGGCAAGCGTGGAGACTACGACGCGCAGTCTTCCATCTACAGCAAGCGTGATGAGGCCAAGCCTGAGAGTGACGACTATGAACAAGAGCACATCTATTACGCCAAGCGCAATGATGGAGACGATTACGAGCACCGGGACTCCATCTACAACAAGCGGGATGAGGCAAAGCCCGAGAGTGACGACTATGAACAAGAGCACATCTATTACGCCAAGCGCAATGATGGAGACGACTACGACCACCGTGATTCCATCTACAGCAAGCGCGGTGAGGCAAAGCAGGAGGGAGATGACTATGAAAAGTCAAACATCTATACCCGAAGCCCCAGCGATGACTACAAGCACCAGAACTCAATGTATGGCAAGCGTGGTGAGGCCAAGACCGAGGGAGACTACGACGCGCAGTCTTCCATCTACAGCAAGCGCGATGGTGCCAAGGCTATCTGAGTTGCAATCAAATTTTGAGTTCAGCTATGGGATGACCGGATCTTGGCTTTCTGGCATCTATCCTCAAGTTGACTGCATGGGGTTCTTCATGCGGTTGAAGCATCCCCGATATGGTGACCTCGGACGCCTTTGAGCACTTCAAGTCCTGTGTGGGATTTGGGATGCATTTTGGAACAGAAGATGTATGTTAGTCTAAATCTAGCCTAGAATATATCTATTTGGAGTGTTGAAAATCTTGGGTATTTCTCCAGTATGAAGACTCACACGAAGAATGGACCACTTACCTTGTTATAAACATCGAAGTGTGGAAGTTATAGGGCTTCGTAAATTCAGTATATTCTCCGTTACTCAAAAGTCCTTTTATTCTGTTCGCAGAGGTCTATCTCATCACCCATGCATTCTTGTCTTGCCGGGTACAGGCCTGATTATGGTGAACTAGCATCTTTATTTAGCTCCCACGACCGGATGCGCCGACATTATCATGAATGCCTGTGCCCAGCCTCGTGATCTGAAACATTCCAGTTCGTCTGAACCATTTCTCTGCTGAATCTTTTGCTGACAAGACCATATTTCATCTTGACGTACTACCGAGTAACATTCAATACCATTTCGATATGTAGATCGGCAAAATTTCACGCTAGACAGGCAGCGTAGCCCTGGCCTAGATTCGAAGAATGTCACTGCTCAAATGACGAAGCACGGCCTTCAATCTCTATTCTGTTCGAGATCAATGCGGTCACCCACGAATCACTTGAGGCCCATTACCTTAATTTCCTCTGCGACCCCTTGAATTTATTGCTTTGGAATGGTGATTTATTTATGACAGTGACCTAACTGATTTTTCCGTACGGCGCTGCAAGTGGCGACGGATCCTCATATCGTAAACCATAGACAGTAAACCAAGCTCCCTGTCAAATCTAAATCCAACCCTCTCTTCAATTCTAGGTAGGTTTGCAAGAATGAACTTCATACGGAGTAGGAGCACTTCTTGATGATCTGTACAGCGCTGGGGCCTTGCAGGGGGAAAGAGAAAAACAAGTAGATCCTGTCAAGCAACGAATAAGGTTCAGCCGCAACCCATCAATCGATCGATCTGCAATGCTTGCTTGTCATGGTGACCTCCCAAGTTCTCTCAATGCCATGTACTTCTGACGGGGCTTTTGTGTCCGGTGCATGGCTCGCATTGATAGAACGCCAGGTGATCAAATGATGTCTCACTATAGCTTAGGAGCACAAGAGGGAAAGGATTCCGAGTTAGTAGGGAAAAGTGTGTCTCCGGGTTATGATATCGGTTAGTTACGACAGGTTCGACAGGTTCGACTGGCCTCATGATGACCTGAGAAGTTCCGATGTGTAGTCATTGCGCTTATTCACCGAGATAACTCAACATGAATACCACGACTGGGACACGAGTCTGGTTGATCGTGTAAGTGTTGAGGATAGTGAATACTGTAAAATGTCGAGAGGGGAAGAGTTGCGTTGGTAAAGAGGAGCTCTCAAACTATCTGGTTTGCGAGGGTTGCCAGCCTGAGGCACCAATTCCATAATAGGATTATTTGATGAATGCCCCGGGGTCATCGGGGCCTCCCTGAGGGTCAACCTGCCAAGGCTCCCGCACCCACTGTGGCGGGGCCCTCAACCCCTGGGACCCGGACCGTCGGGGCGGGGCTCTACGCAAACCCACCGACCCCAATTCAGGGTTAAATTGAGCGTGGTATTGTTGATTAAAGTCATCGGGTCGAATTTTTACCGGACTCATGCAGCCCAATACCTAGTGGTGGCGGTGGGCCGTGTCGTAGGCCACGTATGGAGTTGTAGATTATGCCGTTGGTTACTATCATAGTACTCTTTTCGTAAAACTGTTAGTTCACCATTTTTCCGGTTTAGTCAAGTGGATTAGGTCCACTTGCCTGAATAGTATACTGATCGAATTCAAGAGACTCTGAGTGAAACCTGGGATTCCTACTCCCTGAATATTATAGCTAGCCAATAATCCACGCACACTTAATATTTAATTTAACCCTATTTTATGTTCTTGTGGTGTTTTTTTATAGCCTCGGCTTGTTGCTTGTTCTCTGGATTGGCTCGAAAGTGGGGGTAAGCGTGAGGATATACTACGTAGTCTAAGCAATCAGCGCACTATATGGAGTCTATATATCCTTTGTACTCCACTCTAAAAGTGCATGCACTTTTGTTGAGAAATGGAATAGGAGATAGGGCTATCAAGGATTCATGCTGTACGGAGTATTTAGTGGCTGGGTAGTCCATTCAATATGCGGGGAAGCCGATAGGCTGATATTATTCCCCATAGTACCCTAAAAGGAGACACCAACTATGACAGGAGTGCATTTTGCTGCGCCAATGAAGGCGCAATAAATATAGTCAATGATGAGAGTTCAGTCTGATATAATATTCTTTGGAGATTTGGTTCTCTTAAATCGACCTGGAAGTGATACCGATTCCTCGGTTTGTACGATGCTTTCGAGTCCCCACTTCGCTTGAAATGTGAGACTTTTAGACAATGGCGCGGCTAGCAGCATAAATGGCGATATAGCCTTGGATATCCACTTTGCTTATCTACTCTTAGCTCATACTTAGCTACCAGCTACGCGTGACTGGGCGTTGTTCGGATATTAATAGGCGCGCAATGTACGTCTACTGTCACACTAATTAGCCCAAGCCCCCTGTTGATTCACTTCGGAAATGAGATCTTCTGAGGTAAGCTTCAGATCTACTCAATTCCCTTTCATGTGTATCCTTATTGATGGTTGGCGGTGACTAGGAGAGACGTGCACAGCTACGTGAATCACAGCGGAAACATCGCCAGCGCCAGCAATCCGAACTCGAGGCGCTGCAATCACGACTAAAGACATTGGAGAATTTGTTGAGTGTTGTTTATGGGAGGAAAGAAAAGCTTCAAGCCATGGTCTTGGAATGCCTCACTTTGTTGGTCGCACGAGAACGACAAATTAAAGTCGGCAACTCATGTTGCTGTCAATCAAGTGTTGTTCAGAGCGATATCACAAATGTCCCAATGGCTAGAACAGCTACAGCTCCACATGAGCTGTTGTTGAGCCAACTTCTGGGTTCATCAAATGAGATTATTGATCACCCGGAAAGCATGAGAACCACAAACGTCTCGGGAGCTGCAACGGGAACACTTCCTGGTGGAGCCCTGCTGAATCAAATAATGGGCCCATCAGGATTATCTCATGACAACATTGAAAACCTGGGTACTACATACAGCCCAGTGGCTGCAACGGCAATCGTTCCAGATGAATCACTATTGCATCAACTGCTCGGAGGGTTGGTGACACTAGATGATCGTGAAAGAATGCGCACAGCCAGCATAGGGGGATCCTCAGTATCAAGCCCGTCTCCTTCTGGGCCCGCCATGGAGGCTAGTGCTCAGTTGTCGATGCAGGGCTTTGAAGATCTTGGACTACTCCCTTCTTTGGATCCCACTACGTTCCACAGTATGCTAGGCACAGCGTCAGAGGAGCTTGACCTAGATTTCTTTGAAATGAAATATGACCATAGGCATTCTTCCTAGTCGCTGGTGTCCGAGATTGTATCTATGAGCAATATTTCAGTTCACTTGTACAATGTTTATTTCGCCTATCAGCCAGCTCGGCCTTTTCTCCGATGGCAATATATCAATCAATATGCAATATTTATTTGGGGTAACGGACCTAAATGGCAACATCGCAACGGAGAAGTAGGAAAACATAAAGTATGAGAATGGAGAAATTAACAACCATATTTATCCGCAATAGCTCTAAACGAGGGGTCCTTCAGAAGCTGTGTTGCTGTCAGACGTTTCTCTGGACAGTAAATAAATACTCTGGACATGATAGAGTATACATGTTCTCGCTCAATTGGGTTAATATCGGGACGGAACCGTGTAATAATTGAATCGAGGTCATAATCTAAATTAGGCATTTGCTCTTGATCATACCAGGAATCAGAACCTGGGTGCCAAATGTAAAGGTCCTTCCACTCCTTAGGTAGTGGGCCTAGAGTATCAACCATACTACCTATTAATCCACCCTGGAAACAGGTAGGGAAAGGCGGAAACTGAATGCAAAGCACAGAGAAGATGACCATATAACTCCACATATCGCAGGCAAAGCTGGGTCTTTACCATGAAGTCGTTCCGGAGAGCAAAATTGCAGAGGTGGATAGTCTTGTTGAGTGGTATCGTTGTCGTCGTCAATTTTCTTCGCTATACCGAAGTTACCGAGGAAGAATTCATCGGTGCGTAGGTTCTCGGGAATCTTAACGGATCTAACAAGCTCTCCCTGTTTCCACAGCTTGACGAATGGGATGGTTTGTTTCAATGGCCGACCGAGTTTCTTGTATTTAGCAGCCCTATTGAGATTGTGGATTGTCCAGAGGGTCCATTACCCACATGCAGCTTCTCTCATTTAATTCTGTAGAATAATGATTAAAAGGTAGTAGAGAAAGAGGACGGGGTACAGGTTCATTTACCACAGTGTACAATTCCAGCTTTGTGTAGGCTTTCTATAGCCTTGAGCAGTTGTAGAGCAGCAGATATGGGAGTAGCCATAGGAATCTTTTCCAAGGTAACCGGGTAAATGCATGGGCCTAGTAGAGGAAACACTAGGACCCTATGATGACTTTTATTCCCAGGAAGAAGAAAAGTCGCTAGGTATGTGACAAGATGAGAGGTATCTTGAACATTCTGAATGATTTCATCCTGTATGTATTTTTCGTTGTCCCCCAAGTCCCATAAAGCCATGACTTTGAGGGCCACATCCTTTTTCTCCTGGAGATCATGGGCCATCCAGACAGTAGAACAACCGCCAAAGCCAAGTTTATACTCAATTAGGTATCTCTGATGGAGCACCTCGCCGAGGTAGATGGGATAAAAGACATGGTTTTCCTTTGGATCATATTTGTGCCGAGGCTCGACAACCTCTTCAAGATCAAGCTCTTCATCTTTAGTACGCACAAAGTCGCCAAAGTCGCCAATCTCCGGTGTACCCCCAGCAAGTTTTATAACGCAGAAAGGCCATTGCGGTGGCTAATTTGAACTCAATTCCCGAGGTCTCCCTATTGGACTTTATGTGTGCATTCATAAAAGAGATAACGGACGAGGACAGAGGATCAATCGGATCACATGGGTACCTCGGGCCACCAAAGAAGTAGTACTGCATTCAAATTGTTGGAATGCTCCCTCACTACCGGTCAATGATCCTAGCGATAGACAATCGCATGGCATTCGAGGCCGTCGTCCGACGGTATGGGAGGCCTTCAATCTGCTTGCTCTGTACCAACCCAGTGTGGTCAAGACGTCAAGACCAACTCTAGTTAGTGTGTTGAGCATCCAAGACTCAGTCAGGCATATCAACTTGACATAGAATATAAGGCAGCTGATGCTCTCTTGCCGAGGCTGGACTCCAAACTTTGAGGGAATGTATTGTCGCAAGGATTCGATATGGCTACACTTTGTATGGGCCCTCTAATTCCCGAGGTCTTCCAATCTGTTTACACGAAAGCACTAATATACCGTCTTCTTCCTACATAGTAGTCGAGGATTGTAACTCTAAGGCTGCATCTAAATTCGGAATCAGCCTCGGATTGCTGCTGCATAGATATATATTCCGTATTTATTTGCGACAGCTGGCTGCGTGTAGGGTTGATGCAGTGTTTACTCTACAAAAATGTGCATATTAGATGGTGAGGAATAGTTTCCTGCGATCTTAGCTTCAACAATAAGGAAGTCGCTATGGACTTTGCTATTTCTGTTCTTGTAGATCTATAGCTCGACAGGTGATGAGGCCTTCATCGCTCCTTCTCTATCATGTTCTTTGTTTTCCTGGATTTTCTTCATTTTCCAGTAGCTGTCGCACCAGCACAGAACTTCCAATACTCCCAATTTCGACGCCCACAGGAAATTCCATCAATCAAATCTTCATTCCTTTTTGTATCAATACTCCATATTCATTCAGCCACTCTCAGCCCTCCTTTTGTCAATTTTATCGCCCAAATGGCTTCCGGTGGCTTTGCCGAGCCGACCCTCCTCGATCTAGTCCCAACCCTCGTCGGAGAGTCCAATTTCTCTACGTGGACGACTTCACTCAAGTGGACCCTCGACTCGCGCGACCTTCGATATTACCAACTTCTCACCGGCGTGTGGAGTGAACCCAGTGTAGCCCACCCCACACAGCTTACTCTCACTGAAGTTGAGGCTCGTACCCAGTGGGATACCGCAAGTCGTTACCTCCTTCCGCTACTCAACGCCACCGTTCACCACACGGTCAAGTTTTACATTCTTGACGCTAATAATGCACGTACCGCATACGCCAATCTCCACCGCGCCTTCGCAGCCCGGTCTTACGAAGCCAGCTTTTCTAATTTCCTGAAGTTTATCAACACCACATACACTTCAAACAAGCCTCAGGCTTTTGTCAACGAGTGGCGTATTGCCCTTGGCGAACTCCAAGAGAGCAATTCGACAAAGCTCACGCCTCTTCTCATCTTTTACCATTTCCTGAACGCTGTCAGCGCCAACCCAGCCGCGCACTCGTGGCTCGACGGCTTCCTCAATTCGAAAGTCTCCACTGATACAACCATTGAATCCACCTTCGCTGACTTTGTCGTTTCCGAGGATCGTCGCCTCAACTCTCTCAATCAAGCTCACTCCTTCAGCTTGACCAAAGTTAATCATCTCCCGTTCTTTTGCCACTATCATAATCGTCAAGCCGGTCATTCCAGTGAGCACTGCTTCCGCAACCCCGCTAACCAAGTTCCTTTGGATAAAGTGGTTACGGCTCCGACTACGGCTCTCGCTCAACGTACAGTCACCGAAGACCCGCCTGCTGAGTAAACAGCATGTTCACCAACTTGGGGCTTCATTTGTTAGGGGTTTTTCGCAATTTTTGCTCATGGGGAGGTTTACGAATTGGATAGTTCCATCGGAAGTTAGTATTAGCACAATAAACTCGTCTCGCTTGTTTCCTTGCACTTTGATATCTTCCTTCTTGTAAGAGCGTCTCTTCACATGAAAATAAGAATCACTTAAATATGACAAGTCATCAATAGATCTCGATATCAATCTAATCAGCTGTGTGTGCGAAGGCTCAATATCCAACCCGAGCGATTCCCTGATGAGGTCAACTACAGTTTTTACAACATGATTGCCACCGAGAGCATAATGACAGCCTTCGAAACAGACCCGTTTGCCATTAATACAGGTCTCAACAAACCTGTTGTTCGCTCACTGCGGGACCCAGAAATCATCATGTCCCACCAAATGAAGCGTCGGCGTCGGGATTCGACCCGATTATAACGATCGTAATTTGGGATGTGTCAACTTTAACCCACAAGGGCCGACTGCGAATCGTAGCAGCGGATCCTGAATAATTTTACGAGACCCACTTGAAGGCAAATGATACTTACTGCAATTACCCATGATGAATCTCTGATTAGCAACTCGTGCTGTGCAAGATTTCTTGAAATTGCATCTATATATGCACAATAATTGCAACAAGGAAAGGAACGCCAAGAGCACTCCACAGAGCAGATCGGAGACTACCCGCACGATTCGGTGAATTCCCGATAATCAACGAATTATTTCCAAACCCGACAGTCCGTAGCCACGCAGGGGTCGTCGAATTGACGTCGAGGATATCCGAATTATAAGTGTCCAAAACACCCCTGAAGCGAATTTGAACGGTGCCCTGGAGAGCATCGTCACTAGAAGTCATGCCAGTCTCCGTATAGCCAGAATTGTTCGATCGAATGTATGGAGACGCAAAGAAATCCCCATCTAGGGTCAGATTTGCGTTGTGGGCATCGAAATCTACCGTCACATTTGGTTGAACGAACTCGTCCCACTCTTGCGAGTTCCACCACATTGCCTCGAGAACCCGCATACTCCAATTGTCGTACTGCTGGGAGGTGTTGCACGCGGGCATATCGATTCTCAAAGGCCAGGATGCGCTTCCGTCATAGGGACGTGGGATGGTGTGCATTTCCCCCGAAAGAGTAAAGGAAGAGGCACGATTTTTCGTCGCGGTATGTTGAAATGATCGCGGACGGTTGTATTCTCCTGCTTCTTCCAAGTGAGTCTGGTCAAATCAGAATTGTAATTGCAAGAAGGGAAAAGGGCCTCCCTGTATGTGACTCACAGTGAAGACATGACGGGGAACATAAGAGGTGTCCCTTCTTTAAGCAGTTCCGTTTCCTCTGGCATTGCGGACATGTTTTGGTTCGGCGGGAGCATGATCAACCATGAATTGACTGGGTTGATGCCGGAGTTGTATGTGCCTCGCTGTGTAATTGCCAAGAGGGATTTCCATTTCAGGGTTGTGGTGCGGTTCTTGTGAGTCGGACATACTGTCGAGTTTGGGAGATATCCGATTGTTGGATTCAGTTCGATTTCCAAGGTCGCGTTGTAGTAACTATACATCGTTAATCACATGGCTCGTAAATTAATCAGTATAACGTACGATCCAACCCAAGCATAAAGCTGATTCAAACCTGTGACATTGCTAGGCCGGAAATTTGTTGGTGGATTATAATCTAGGTCATCTTTTGCAAGCACAGTTGACGCTAGAATCAAAAGATAAATCCGCGAGGCCCAACCCCAGATATAACGCATTTTGGGCAAATTAAAATAGGGTAAAGGATTCAAGAGAGGAGAGCAATAAACAGAATGTGGGAATTATAAGGCTGAATAGAAGGGTCGGCAACTAGTTGCCCCTGACAAGTTAGAGGTCTCGAGAGTTGCCCTGGCCCCGGGACAAATTAGGCTTAAGTATGACAGAAAGAGCCGTAGAGGCTGTATGTAGCATGGGTGTTTTCACCTATGTACACTCCCAACCGAGGCGCTAGCGGAAAGCCCAGCATTGGCGACCAAATATCGAGATGGTATTTGCTGTCCGAGAACCTCTAGACTGAAACAAATGCACAACTTGGACTATTATCTCTTGGCAAGGCCTGGATTATGTCTTGGCAACCAAATCCGAGCGGAAAAAAACAACACAAAAAAATGGACTCGCGGGGAATCGAACCCCGGACCACTCCCATGCTAAGGGAGTATTATACCACTAAACCACAAGCCCAATTGATTGGTGGATTGACGCCAATCATGGTGCATTGAGAACGAGTGACCGGAAATATAGCCAAGTAAACAAGATATCTTCCACTCCCCTCTTACCTCCCTTATCCATAACCAAGTCTTGCTTTTTTAAAGTTTATTTGGCTGATATTCTGATCATAATTAAGAATGGTCTTGATTGAAAGAGGATTTTGTTATATTTTCGCTGTCCTATTATGCCCCAGACCGTGAGCTGACTACGGATATATATCGTGGCATGACCCGGAGCAGAAAAAACGCAGACTCAAAATTTTGATCACCCGCCTGATGTCTCAGTCCCCGAACAGTCGGCGTCTCAAAACAGCCAATCAAAAGTGTTTCCCGGAATCATCTCTTATCACCAAGATGAGAAGAAAATGGGTCAGATATAGGCCATGAGGAGGCCATACCTCCAAGCCAAAAGTCGAAACTTGGCGAAATTTAATTATCCGAAATCAATATCCATTAAATATTCAGGATTGGATGTTCGTCATGGCGGCACGTTAACTGTATGGGGCGGTGGTTAAAATAACTGCGCGGGCTTTTCAATACTCTGCGTGAAGGCACACGACAACCAAAACACAGCCAAGAGTACCTAAGCTTTGCCACTCCAGCTTGGCTCATTTCGCATGTCTCAAGACCACCATCGTTTGCAAACTGTTCGAAGTGGTGGCTGCGCCGTCATGACACGATGGATTGCCGCGAGGCGGGACTCCATGCGCTCGATCTCAGTGCGCAAAATTTCGTTCTCCACGAGCAGCTTTTGGATCTCGACTCTTAACTTGTAATTCCCGCTGCAGTCTCTCGTTTGTCAATCGCTTGAATTTTGCGGTTTGTCTCTCCAAGCTCAATCGAAAAATGCTCCTCGAGCGTGGACAGTACGAAACTGGACGTTGCGGTTTGGCCGGCGAACTGGTTGTCGATCGATTCAAACGGCTGTCAAGACTGGATACAGCCTTCTCCGTCCTAGTTGTAGGCGCTTCTGGCAGTGCGCGGTGAAATGTCTCCTTGATCTATTCCGAACTGATTCGAGTGACGGTCGCTGAGATGGGACCGAGCGCGTATTCCTAAAGCTCATCCGATGTGGACGCCTCGATTTTAAGATGATAGTTGGGTTCTCAGATGGTTATTTGCAATTGGTTCTGTGGTAGTGCTGGTATGACGGTTGGGAAGACGCATTGCAAGATGCATCGGATTGTGAAGAACAAGAGGAGGTCGAGGTTTGAGCAAATCGAGAGGAAAGGTGTCTCGCGGGTTACTAGAGGAACGGTGGACTGCGCCCTTTACGTGAAAAAAACAAGCAACAACAATTGAACCAAAACAGAAAGAGCCCATGGACTCCAAGGCTGACATATGCTTAGGTCCTGCCTGAGGCACGGGCCTCAACAATGAACCTCGGAAGTTCGAGAATCGACCCTTATCTCGTTGACAGGGGTGCCACAGGGACACGTTGGCTGTTGATTTGGAGAAAGCCTTTTGCGTGACATTTGGACATGATTAGCTACTGCACTGCAACAGGCAGATCAAAAGCGATTGACTTGGAACACGGGCTCCGGCTAAGCTTGTAAATTGACTAGATACTACATCTATCCTGCTTAAGTTGTTGACACCTTTCAAGGTATTGGTTCATTTTGATCAAACCCGGCAAACCTCCGGCAATATCGGCGTTATCCCCTCACGAAGCGTGATAAGCTTTGACTTTGGAACTTTTGACCTTCGGCTTATGGGGCTTTGCATATAAAGACCCTGGATAACCATTCAATCTTCAGACAATGTGTCTCTTGACTCGCGTTGCAAAATGGTCATGTCCGAGCCGAAAGCAGAGTTGCCTTTTACGGTCGGTGCCCTCGGGAGCAGGGGCACTGGGTTATCCTGGCTCTCCAACTCCGGAATTATCAAGCTCAACTTAATGCTTGTACTTTTACAAATCTCGAGTTACGCAACAGGTTATGATGGGTCGATGATGAATGGGTTACAGTCCCTCACTACCTGGCAAAACTCTTTCAATAACCCTGGGGCTTCCGAGCTGGGTCTGTACGTGACAATCAAGCCAGATATGTTTGGACAGTCTGGCCGGTAATCACCGGTTGTTATGCGAGGATATCGGAACTAACATATCCTTGCACAGTCTGAATGCAATACAAAATGTTGGCCAGCTCATCACAATGCCCATTTGCGCTATAAGTTGCGACAAATTTGGCCGTCGTCCAGTACTTTTCGCGGGCGCCTTTGTTCTTTTAGTTGGAGTTGCCCTTCAGGCTGCGGCTCAGAACGTCGGAATGTTCATTGCAGCCCGAGGAATTATTGGCATGGGCCTCGTGCTAAACATCACTGCGGCACCGCTCCTCCTCCTGGAGTTGGCATTTCCCAGGCAACAGGGACCACAGGTAGCGATATACAACAGTCTGTGGAATCTGGGTGCTTTGGTCGCTGCGTGGGTCACCTACGGCACGTTTCGCATCAACAGCACCTGGGCATGGCGGCTTCCTTCGCTCCTTCAAGGCCTCTCCAGCGTGATCCAGATTGGGATCTGCTTCCTCGTTGAGGAATCGCCCCGATGGCTTATCAGCAAAGAGCGCGATGATGAAGCAAGAAGACTCATTTGCAAGTATCATGCCAATGGGGATGATTCCGATCCTTTAGTGACACTAGAGATGGAGGAGATTCGCATTGCCCTTCAACTCGAGAGCGAGGCGAGACGCACCACCTCGTACATGACATTTTTCCAAAGCAAAGGTAACATTAGACGATTCTTTATTATTCTTTCTGTAGGATTTTTTTCCCAGTGGAGCGGCAATGGTCTCATCTCATACTACCTCACACTGATTCTCAACTCAATTGGCTACACGGCGGAGAGCACTCAGACCCTCATCAATGCACTTCTCACACTGTGGTCCATGATTTGGAGCTTGGTATTTGCCGCTGTGATGAATCGATTTGGTCGGCGGACTCTCTTCCTTATCTCTACCGCAGGTATCCTGGTCGTCTATATTGTCTGGACAGCTCTCGAGGCTATGTATGAGAAGCGGGCCGGGCCGGACGGAACTGGGGGTGACGGCTATGCGAAGGGTGTTTTGGCCATGATCTTCCTGTACAACTTCTTTTACTCTGTCGGCTGGACACCTCTGCAAGTTACCTATTGCATCGAGATATTACCCTTCGACTTGCGCGCTCGAGGTCTCGTTTTGTATAACCTCTTCGTCGCACTTGCTGGTATTTTTAACCAGTACGTCAATCCAATCGGCGTGACCAACAGCAAGTGGAAGTTCTATATTACCTACGATGTGTGGCTGGCCTTTGAGCTTGTGGTGGTCTATTTCCTCTTTGTGGAGACCGGCAGCCTCAGTTTGGAAGAAACTGCCGTCATTTTGGACGGAGAAGAGTACGGAAACAAATTGATTGAAGCCGCTGCATCTACAGCCGAGAGAGAACTTGGCGAGAAAGCACAAATGCAGGCAATTGCCAACAGTGAGGAGATAGTGCCGGAGAAATTATAGACACGGAGAAATATAGGGACTCGCAGGATCACGGGGTAATTTCCTCAAGTGAAGACCTATGGATCATTCTTTGTGTTACCAAGTGCAAGATCCCTATAAACTTTGAGTAGCCAATCTTAATCCTCTATCGTGAAGCTTTTACCCATCCTCTGACCCCCACGACCTCTCTCAATGGCTTTGCGCTTGGGGTCTTTAGCGACACACCCCATGCTTGACAGTAAATCAGCCACCGCATCATGGCCATTCGACGTTGCATATTCCAATGGTGTTTGACGGCACATATCCTCCTCAAATAGTGTGTCAATTCCTTGTTCAAGCAGACTCGAGACTACTGGCAAGTGCCCGTACTCTGCTGCCCAAGACAATGGAGTGCGACCCTGTTTATCCTTGCAGTTTGGATAAGCGCGACTTTCAAGGAGAATATTCACAATGGACACGTGCCCGCACCAAGCTGCATATGAAAGCGCAGACTTTCCGAAAAGCTCATCCTTGTCATTGGGGTCAGCACTGGGAATGTGCCGCAGCTTTTGGCCAGAGTTGGTGAATCAGGGAATCACCACAAATGTTGAAATAAAAGGCCGTCCCTCATCATGGGGAGTGATTTGTTATAAATACATTTTCAATCTCGTCCATACATACTGAAGTACCTTTCTACATTAATTATGGATCAATATACCGATAAAGGTCCTGTTAAGGAAACATCGTTCTCTCTCCATCCGATCAATAAATCCAAGCATGAAACACCACACGGTGAAACAGGCGAAGAGGGGATCTACTTGGACCGTGAAGAACCCTTCCCATTCAGTATCTCTACAGCCTACGTGAAGGATTGGGATACTGCGGCTGCGTTTAGAGAACTGTATCAAAATTGGTAATGCACATGTCTTTAGGAATTGGTCTGCGCTAATATCTCTCAGGAAAGACGCCATCTTGGAAAGATTTGGGCTAGATCGTCTAGACTTTCAACCATTTTACGATGAACAAGACGATTATGTATCCGTTATCGTACCAAAGACTTCCGATAGAGGGAAACACTGCCGAGCTCTGGGCTTTATCAAATACGATAAGTTGACAGGCCGAGTGACGATCGCCAATTCGTGTGCTTACCTCAAGCACGAAGATCTAGAGATCGGTCACTCGTCCAAAAGAGAAAACGCCAATCTCGCTGGCTGTCATGGAGAGGGGCTTAAATTGGCCGCTTTGGCTATGTTACGCAATGGTTACAGCATGGGAATCAAAGCAAGTAACACCTATTGGAACTTTCTGTTGGGGGGGGTCTGGGTTCCACTGCCAGTTACAACAGTTCAAGGGGGTTGACATCAACACTCAATCTGAACCAGCCAGCGATATGGCTCAACTTCGATCCCATATTGGGAGAGATGTCACTGTTGTGATTGAAGGGAACATTGAAAAGGAAGGTAATGGCATTTCTCTTGCAATTTTTGTGGAAAGGCGTATCCCAAGCCTGGATGCGCGTAGCAAGATTGGAGAAGTCGATGACTTTGCGCATGCGCTCCTTAGTCAAACTTTGATACTCTGACAGCACCTGCTCAACTATCTTCGCATCCGGATGATCATCAGGGTGGAGCTCGATGGCCCGATTGAGCAGGTTGGACAGAAGCACAATGCTCTCCATAGCTGAGTTACCGCCCAACCCGACATTGGGGGTCATCTTGTGGATAGCATCGCCAGCGAGAACGACACGCCCAAAATACATATGGTTAAAGAGACCTTCTTCGACATTGACCAGCTCTCCCCGGATGCGTGTCTTCCAAAGCTCTCCGAAGACCTGTGTGCTGGAGATGGGGCAGTCGGCACATTCACGCGCCCGTCTTTCGGCATCGGCAAATCAACGGGCAACATTCATCTTCAACGGACTGCAAGCATCCGATTTGGTCTAGAATGCGAGACCCCTGTGGATAAATACCAATACTGGCCCCTTTTCGTAGAGCAATCACACCTTTCTCCAGGACCACATAGTCGATATTGGCCCGGAGGAGGGTGTGAGCTGCTGTCAGGCCTCCCACGCCGCCACCTACCACGATGACACGGAATGGTCTTTTTGGAGAAGTCATGGCTTGAACATGAATCTGAGACGAGTAGTGGAACTTGCTCTAAGGCATAAATAAAGTTGAAGACAGGGATTCTTCACTATTTGTTTACATCCCACAACCACTGCACGGAATCGAGGCCGTGAGACCCACGAAGGTCCGGGCCATGAATCTCCGGGTCTTCGAAGCTTCCGGTCGTATGTTCCCGGCGTCCGGGCCGGACTCTTTAATTCTCACCTTTTGTGATGGATTATGTCCCGGAGAGACATCACAAGGGGGTTTGTGGAGAAGATTTAAACGACCATAAGAACTTTGAGAACCTTTTAAGACGAAAGTATTGGTTCTATTCCACAAAAGCAATCTCTCCACTGATTTTGTCTGACCATGTCTGTTCCTACGATCAATTTTGCAACCCTGCAACCTGCCATTGTATGGAAGGTGAATGCCGGGGCCGCACATCTTATTGGACCTCGCCAGAGTGGCTCGACTTTAATCCATTTTGTATGAATTGATTGATCTTCGTTATGGAATGTCTACTTTGGACTAACGTGGACTTGAATAGGAAACCCCCACTGGGACTATCGAGACTGTGCCTGGTTTTGAACCCCAATTCTCCGCCAAAGTCGTCTTTGGTGCCGACTGGCTTGAATTCGACCCTGACAAGAAACATGCGCGCATTAACATGAAGGCTGTTGCCACGTCAGTCTACTAATTGTCTGTCTTAATCCTTTCGGAGCTCCCACTGATCTGTATCTAGAACTGATGATGGCAAGGACATCAGTTTCGGATATGAAGGCATCATAGAATTGAATGAGGCAGTGATGAAGATTTTCAACATGGAGCCTGATTCTGTCAGTGTTCCATTCGGGTTCAGCAGTAAGTCTCCAGCATAACAGCTCCTGAGATGTGGTGATTACTGATGCGAGCGAACAGCGGGATCCCATCAATTCCATAGTGGCGATCCAGCCCTTAAGGAGCTACAGAACATGACCCTGGTGGGCAATGGACGTATGCTGGTAGATGAGGAAACGCGCGTTATTACGGTGGAATCTCGTATCTCACGCGTGGTTCCTGCCACTGGATTTGATTAGTGATTGGTTCACATTAGCAGCGGATTGTGTGATTCGGGCTCCGGCCGGTGCGGCGAATTTCGCCGCACCAGACAATGTCCCCGCCGGGCCGTTCCTCGGGAGAATGTAAGAAACTATACAACTACTCCGGCATCTCGTCTTGGGCCTAGGCCATCGGTACCCATAAATAGAAAAATATTCTCCCTGTGTTTTTTTGATCGGTATCGCTCATTCCTCGTTATTCATACTCGTACCTGCATCTTAGACTACCAATACAATGACCAACAACAAAATCTTGTTTATTCTTGGCGCAGGGCCTAATGTGGCCACTGCAACTGCGAAGCACTTTGCGGAACAAGGATACCAAGTCGCTCTCGTCAGCCGCGGAACCTCGACCTCTTTCGATCCCTCCTACTTCTACATCCAGGGCGATTTGTCTAACCCGGAGAAAATCCCCGAGTGGTTTGCTCAAGTCAAGAAGAAGTATGGAGGGTCTCCAAACGTGGTGATCCACAATGGTAAATATGCCGAATCCGTCAAATTTGTTCTGACCGGCCAAGAGCTAACCAGCCCATCCTACAGCGTACCATGTCTTCCCGGCGCACCCACAGAATCCCTTATCGCTTAGTCTTGGTCAGCTCAACTACGATCTGGCCGTGAACTTCACGTCAGCCTACGTCGCCGCACAGGAGGCTGTGAAGGGCTTTGAGACCCTTCCAGCCGATTTACCTAAGTCGTTCATTTACACTGCCAACGGCCTTAACATGATGCCTATGCCTCGGCTCGTTAGCCTTGGTCTTGGCAAGACTGCTTTTGGCCACGTCATCGAGAATGCTACCCTCTCCTTTCAGGGCAAAGGATACACGTAAGCATCTATGTCCGGGGTTTTCAACGCTGAGCCAAGCTAATCGTTTACCAAGCTTCTACTATGGAGACGAACGCCTTGCCAATGGCGACTTTGCTAGTGGCGCTATTAGCGGCGTGGCGCATGCAGAGCGCTACTGGGAGCTTAGTCAGGATCGTAAACAGAGACCGTGGATGGATACCTTTGTTGCTGGACATGGATACAAGGAGTTTCCTAAGGTTAGAACCTGACGAGCCTTTGAGCAAACAGAGGGGGAGAAATTGATTACATAGTCACTTCAGTATCTCAAACCGTATACAAGAATTCGTAACATTCAAAACTCTTCAACCCATTCTAGCACTGATAACTAACTTGTAAGAAATTGAATGAAGAAACTGAAGCTAAGTTCATACTGAACGTTTGAAGGGGAAAATGAGTAGAAATCTCTCGCAGTCATTGGAGACGGTTTTCGTATCACATATAGAAAACAAAAAGTTCCGAGTAAAAGGCGCCAAGTGCGCATTCTCCTGAAAACTCCCAATAAACACATAGGTCTTGCATTGTCTATCCATCCTAGTAAATGCAAGTCCTAAAGGATTAGATGCTGGTGTCACGCCATGATGGCAATAGTAGAGAGAATCACCCCAAGTCGATGGCCCACACATTCTTGGCGATGCTCAGATAATCCTAGGCATGGAGCCTGCCCGCCTGGAGGCCGCTCTCATGGCCTCTGAGTCTGCCGATGCTTACTGGTACAATGATGCACGATTCCAAGGTATTCGTCATACAGTTGAGTCTATGGGTCAGGATTCCCCATCAGGCGATTCTGGTGACGGGGATATTATGAAGATTCTCAAGGAAGAGGGACCCGAGGCCATGCTACAAGCAGTCGGACAACATGTGATGAAGAAGTTCGCTGGAATGCTGCTCATTTCATTGGAAAGTTTTGAGTATGATGGCAGCTCGATTGCAAGCTACGACATTGATAGCATGATCAGAGCAGAGCTGCGCAATTGACTTTTCAAGCAATACACTCTGGATATTGCATTCCAGGAGCTGTTGGCACCCAAAATGAGCGTCAAAGCTTTAGCTACGGCCATTGCTACTAATCTGGGCTTGCTTTCTGTGTCCTCCTCAAGTTATAGCTCGCTGGTATGATTTTCCACGTGTTTGTCGGTTGTTTTGGCTGTTATGATCGATACAGACAAGTCTACATGCTCTCGCCATGCTTTTATTTTTTAAATTTGAACTAGATTCGCCTGAAGCTTGTCCCTAGTTGTAGATCAATACAAATTGCATTGCCCTCTATTAACCACAATGGTCCTACATATTGTAGTGGGGAACATGGTCAGTCGTGAACCACGTCTGCGAACCGGGTTCGACCACTAGGGGCAGTGGGAGGTAAAGAAAGGGAGACCTAGGAGTAGCTTATAGAAGAGAAGGTGGTTCAATGCTCTAATCTCTCGATCATAGCGCTTAAATACATGATTCTAGCTTAGTCACGTCACACCGCTAGTCTATGCCCCTCTTCAATGTGTACGTTTTGCTATATAAGTGAGGATAGATATAAAGGCTCGTATGTAATAAAGGATGACACTTTCCCTTCGGTCCCTTTTTAATCTCCCACTTACATGTCACTTATTCTATGTTGTTGGTCACCACTGTTTACATCCCATACTTCAGACTCTATTAAATGCCTTATCATATAGACTTGTGCTCTCTCATTCACGCCTATATTACTACAACTATATACATGTTCCGCCCAGTCGAAGTTAAGAAATCATTTATCGGGATATTGGAAAAGGCTGTTTATTTATTAACGTCAAACGTTCTGGACGGTGGATTGCTTGATGATGAAACTAGATGGGCCAAATGAGCCCTTAAATAGCATCCCTTGAAAGAACAAAAATGAACCCCTGATAACCCTTTTTTCTTTCTTTTTCTTTTTTGATAGCCAAATCCCGCAAACCATTGTCAAAGACGAGATACCGGCGCCGCTCGCCGGGCTGTCGGCCAAATTCGCCGGCACGGAAGAAAAAACGCCCCCAATACTTAAGGAATGGTATTAAGATAGACTGTCAACTTTCTATCCTCGTATTAATTTTTCCAGTCATTCATCTCACATTCCAGTATCGCCCATCAAAATGGCCGATTTTAGCGAAAAAGGACCGTCTTTGGACGCGACCAACGTTTTTGATGACTCCAATGGGCACTTGAGCTCTGGGGCCTCCACGCCAGACAGTTCAAAAGAGACTGTGCAGGTTGAGGATGAGCGAAACAAGTACCGGTCAATTCATGGTGTCAAAGTGAGAATTGTTCCACGCAGGGCATTCGGCAATTGCTAACGATTGTAGTGGTTTCTGGCTGTGTTGGCGATTTTCTCGTCTGTTTTCCTGTTCGGATTGGATACGACTGCAGTAAGATTCCACCACAATTTCAACCTCATTTATCCCAGTTACTTACTGGAATTTGTGGTTTTCAGGTTGCGGATATTTCGCCTGCGATGATCAGTCGATTTGGCCAGGCAGATTTGCTTCCCTGGTTGAGCTCTGGCTATGCACTTGGAGCCATGAACATTCTTCCTTGGGGCAAGTCATTCGGAGTCTTCAACCTGAAATGGACATATATCCTCACGGTTGCCCTCTTTGAGGTGGGAAGTGCTATCTGTGGCGCGGCACCGAATATGACGGCCTTGATCATTGGACGAGTGATTGCGTACGTCTGGTCCCTCTTCCTGTTCAGTTGCGATTGCTAATAATATGACTAGCGGAATTGGAGTAGATCTCCGCTGAATTACTAGGACATTTATTCTTTGAAAAAATAACGAAAGTAGGGATCGGGTATGTATCTCGGTTGCATCACATACCTCGCGATGACAACTAGTCCTCGCGAAGGTCCGCATTATATCGGGCTCGTCGGCTTTGTCTGGGGCATTGGCACTGTCCTCGGACCAATTGTATGATTTCTTCGATATCCTCCATACACGGTATAATCTAACTTGCTATATAGGTCGGCGGTGCATTCGCAGACAGCTCAGCAGGATGGCGCTGGACCTTCTATATTAACCTCATAATTGCCGCCCTATTTGCCCCTGTTTACTTTTTTCCTGCTCCCTAATATCGACGCACAGCCAACGGCTACGTTTCTTCAGAAGCACAAGCAAGTGGACTGGGTGTCCATCATTTTCCTGAATGGATTCATCGCATGTTTCGTTATGGCCATCAACTTCGGAGGTGCCGTTTATGCTTGGAATTCTGCTCAGGAAATCGGACTTTGGGTCATGACGGCGGTCACCTGCGTCGGATTTATTCTGGCGCAGTATTTCCACCCGCTTGTGAAGAAAGAACAGGTTCTCTTTCCTAGCCATTTGCTGAAGAGCCCTCTTATGCTTAATTTGTCTGTCCAAATGTTTTTGTCATCAGGTGTGCTCCAAGGTGCTATTTACTATATCCCCTTGTACTTTGAATTTGCGAAGGTATGCTTTCTTTTCCCTGTTACTTCCCCTGATACTCCTGGTGGACGTCGATATTAATTACAAATTTTAGGCTGACAAAGCCCTTGAAGCCGCCGTGCAGCTTCTACCCTACGTTTTCATACTGGTCGCTGGTTGTTTGATTAACGCTGCTCTTATGGTCCGGTTTGGATACTATATGCCCTGGTACTTTGGTGGTGCCGCGCTGGTAGTAATCAGCTCAGCATTGATGTGTATGTTCTCAAATCCATGAAACATCTGAATGCGGGGCGTAGCGCTGATGAAACTAATCTTGATCAGGCACTGTTAATGCGAATACCTCGAACTCTACTATTTATGGATATACTGCGTTGATGGGAATCGGCGTCGGCTCCTACTGCCAGGCCAGCTACAGTGTATCCCAGCAATTGGTTCCAATGACCGAGCTGACCAATGTCGTCGGCTTGATGAGTATCTGTAAGCGCATGGCGATTTTTCCAGCCCTGCAGCGGAAGACGCATACTGACGTTCTTATTAGCGCAATTCTTGGGCATCCTGTTTTTCTTGGCGATCATGGGCACTTCCTACCAAAATCTGGTCATCGAGAAGATCCACAAGCTCCTGCCTAATGCTAGCGATGTCGATGTCCGTCAATTTATTGCTGGAACCAGCTCCTCCCTCAGCGCTAGCTTGACAAGCGCCCAATCGGCCGCCGTGATAGATGCTATTGTTATTGCTATGCGATCAGTGTGGATTTTGCTCGCTGTTGCAGGTGGCATTTGTGTGGTGTTGTCTCTTTTCCTAGGGGTATGTTCTGCAAATCCAGAGCTAAATTTCATGAAATTTATACTGACTTGCACTCCTCCTACAGAAAGACATGCTTTTCACCAAGGGTGCTAAGGGCACAGCAATCGCAGCATAAATGTGTCGCTTGGGTAGGCAACGATCAACAAATTCACAGCCAAATCCCTGCCCTTTAGATTTTAGGGCATACCTAAATTGTGATACTTAAGCCCTGGAGTCAGATGCAGAGTTGGAGCGTGTCTGAAACTGGTTATGGATAGGGTCATTTCATTGGTTTACCTAGTTTTCGGGTTATTCGCATTCTAAAACTAGAGGAATTGAGCAATATATTCTCCCTTGAAATTTCTTTATTTTCGAGCATCTTTTAATTTCCCTTGGGCTTTTTGTCCGGGATTAATCCCATTCTTGGACTCTTGTTCTTTGTTTTACGGCGAAACTGGCCGACGCTAGTGCCGGCCAGATTCGCCGTCCCATTACTAAATGGACGTTTGTTCCCTCACGTCAGCGTTTTGGACTGCTAACTCCCTTCTTAATACTTCACAATTACCACGTTCTGGGAATCTCAGCCCTAAAGGTACTAATCTAGCCGATCGGCCATAGCTTCTTCTTCTATTTATTCCACTACGATCAACTAGCTGCCATGTACGCATGTACCCTCTGCTCGAAGCCCTTCAAACAACGTAAGTTGATACTTTTGACAGGTCTCAAACTGATACTGCTGAGCGTCCTGAGGAGTGACACAGCTAATATTTTTCTAGTGTCTTCCAGAAACCGGCACCTGGAATATTGCCGTCAGGCAACAGACCGGCCTCACGCGCGAACTCTGTCGTGTCGCGCCTGCAGCGCTGCCAAGACAAAATGCACCAGCTCTCATCCATCGTGCACTCGATGTCTACGACGCGGCATCGAATGTATATATGAACAGCGACCCGGTCGGCGGCAACTGCCTAAGAAAAACGGCGCCGATGAGACCCCTCTAATGGACACACGAACACCAACAGACTCAGTTAGCACTAATCTAGATGACGGCAATACAGTCAGCCTGATGGCCAATATTGACCAACTGGCAGATAATATGATCTGGGATGGGCAGTCGAATTCTACGGACTTTCTTTTAATGGATCCAAGCCTCGCTGTTTCCAAGACCACACAAGCTTCTGCACCGATGGTAGCAAACACTCCTGACTTCACACTCGGCTTGCAAAGCTGGGGCATGGATCCACCGGAGCTGCTTGCTGCACTTTCTGCGCCGCCAAAGGTCTCACCCTTGGCCGTTGCGGGGTTTCTTACGCGGCTACCTATTGATGATCCCATTGCACAGCGACACGCCACTCATCTGATTCAAATCCTGCGAGCTTTCCCGCAAATGATGGTCCGCAGAGCGGCTTTCCCCCCTTTATTCATCCCAACTGGCACCGTGGAGATGGGCCTGAAGTGCGGAAGACACTACCCGAGCCTATTGGTAACTGCATGAGTATTGCACAGATGTTCGCCTCCAGAACACCCGATACAAGAGCCTTTGTTTGGAACGCTATTAGGACTGAGCAGCGACGACTAATGGACCAGGTAAGCCTACTTTGCGTTTTTGCTCATATGGAACTACTAAAGCTGATGGAAATTATCCAGTCTGAATCATTTGGGCCGGAGGACTTACTTGCTTCGATACAATGTTATATTATTTACATTATTATGCGCGTGGTCGACGACGCGGCGTATCATAGCGAGCATGACCTTAATATGCTACTAACCTTCGCAGTGGGTTTCCTTTTCTATTCCTATAAATCGGGCGACGAAAATGGTGCTAATATGAAAAATTCAGACTCTCTGCGGTCGCTTCCGCACGCTTTGTCAAGGCCCATTTAGCCTTCCAGAGCAAACACACCCTAGCCGGCGCTGGCCCGACTGGGTATTTGCCGAGTCTCGGCGCAGGTACGTGGATTATGTTTGATGGATTCATTTATTGCCCTGACAAAAGCAACCATTAGGGTTGCATGCATCTGGTTCCTGATCGGACAGGTCATATCCACCAAAACGGGTATCCCTTGCGACACGTCGGAAGAATATCATTGTCTTCCCTTGCCGGGTGGCCGATCCCTGTGGGAATGCCGAACTAATAAAGGCTGGGAAGCGGATTACAGCGCAACACAGACAACTATTCCTGGGAGGCAGCTTACGTATTTCGGTGACTTGATGGAGGCTCAAAAGGCGAATAGTGACCCGAGCATGATTCACAAGATGGATTTCTGGAATGCAGAGGCTGATACAATGGGGTTTATGCTTACGCTAGCTACAGCAATGGTTTAGATGGTAGACGGGGTATCCCGACCAACTGGGATCATAATTTCTTTCCCTCTCCAGGGATCCTTTTTTCCATATCTTCACACTTCAGGCAATCCTGATAACTACCCCCATGGGCTGCGACTTAAGAATAAAGAGAAGCTTATTTGAAAAAGAGTAGAAAGAATTGACTAAAATTCCTAGATTACTATTATAAATAGATAAAAAATAAATATCTAAGACCTAAGATATTTAAGATATTATTAATAAGCAATACAGTATCCCGTTCTGTGTGCTCTCTCGTTTTTTTTCCGTAGTACATTGTACTCCTTCCCCGCCTTGGTGCTTTTGGCGCCAACAGCTTCATCCAAGCACAGACCTTCGATAGAGGCCTTATGAAAGGATATCAGCCACAATGAGTGGCTCGGTTACTGAGGCATACGTCGCCACCCTGAGGGGAGCTGCCGTGACCTTCACAGGAGGCGCTCACTAGGTCCTTCGCTTCGACCTCGGAGTTGCACGATATTCAGGTAGTAGAGAAGAAGGCTGCCCGCACCTTGTAGGTAGACCAGCTTATACAGCAGTGACTCCCTCCACGGGACATACACTTGCTGCGAGGAGCCTTGTCCGTCACGAGGTCAAAGCTACAGCGTTTTCCACTTATGCATGAAAAAAAGGTCGCGCAAGCGCTCCATTTCACAACGTGGCGTGAGCTCGTGGAAAAGGTGCTAGAGCCGGTATGCTTTCCGAGGGAAGTAGTATTGCCAGCAACCTGAGCCAACATATACTCGACATCTTCAACCATATCTAAGTCATTCGCGTCGAACCTTTTAGAATAAGCCGCTTCAGTAAGTATGATTGCCTTTCCCTCATCGGTAGTGGCCGGGGCTGGGTCAAGGGAAATGAGCCAGGCCCGAGTATCGGCGTCATAACCCGAGAACAGACAATCCACGTCGAAAAGACTCAAGTTTCCCTTCGCATTTGGGATGTAATCAGAGGCACTGAGTGTAACGATGACGTCTGTAGAATTGTTTGAAGCGACTGGCTTAGCAACAATGCTAGGAATTTGGGCTAAGCCAAATAGGAGGCTGGCAACAATGGTAGAAGAGATCATTTGGAGAGACCACTCAATAGAGAAACGAGTACACAGGGATTTGATTGTTTTTCCCCAGAAATTCAGCTATTTTGGCCGCTGTTCAAATATTCCGGATGACAGTAGAGACATTCTTTTACTTAAAGTTGGAAGTAGTATGGTGCGTCAATTTCTACGATATCAATAAATGAAATACAAATACCCACCATGGTCTGATGTTAAGGCCGTTTGAGACAAAGCCCCATTGGGAGATAGGAATTTTGGATCTTTTCAAACCGATGTCTTTGCTTTCACAATTGTTCCCCACAGTTTCGAATGGAACATTTAAGTGAATGATATTTCCAGTGGCTTCCGCTTTTTGAATACAAGTAGAAGAGTCCAAACAAAAGGAAACAACGAGCTTAGCTGCGTCAATTGGTTTGCTTAAAAAGTGGAGCGAGTGAAGTTGATAAGTTGAGAAACTCTGACACGGCAACACGTGAGTCGGCACCATCGAAACTCCCCGAATTTCGACGACTTGCATGATTATTGGTACAGTGTGAGGGTTTCATTTTACCTAAGTCCTAACTGTGCTCAATTTTTCTTCGGGTCAGGGACCGGGTAAAATCATACTAAAGAAAATTATGTCGTTGCATACCTAGCCGGATTTATTGGTTATTCCAAATTGCCGCAAATGGAATTGCCGAGTCCGGCTCAACATCCTAGAAAAGCTTGGTGCTGCCCCATAAAGCTGGAAAATAATTATCACTTCCTATAACTAGTTGACGGAGTATTACTCTGTTGGCATGGTGGGCAGTCAACACACGTGGACCCGGCCTACCACAGCAAAAGTCAATAATTGCTGAGAGTAATAATTTTGGAAATTTAGTGGTTGACGGCGTACCGTAGGGAGGTGGAGAACGAAAGTTCGGAGCATATTAAGGCACGAACAGGTGGGCACAGGCCAAATGTTGATACAAAATTCCCTAGTTGAGGAGATCTCAAATTAAGTTCTATATCGATTTTCTTGTCATTTATAAGTCCATCTAATTCCGTCCGTTATTGTCTCATTACTTCAGGATCTGATTTACCCTTCATTCTTCTCTTCTTATCTAAGCAATATGGAGTTCCGAACATCTCGTCTTACACAATTCGGATCTAGCTGTGAAATTGGTTCCCTAGAGCGTATCGTTAAACGCAAATGCATTTAGGACGGCTTTCGAATATAAGACCCTCTAGAACAATTCGCACCATAGACTCATTTCCACGTCTTGCTGAGGCTGACAGTGGGGTCTGGCCATCATAATCTTTGCATCTTGGGTTAGCGTGCCATCCCAACAAAAGCTTGACGACGTCCTCATGCCCACGTGTCACTGCATTTGACAGTGCAGTCTCGCCTCTATCATTCTCAAATTCTATATTGGCACCTTCTTCAAGGAGTAGTTTTACCAAAGCCTTGTTGCCGCCTTGCACTGCATATGATAGGGGAACTTGGCCGGTTTTGTCCTTGCGAGAGAGATCGACGTCTTTCGATAATAGCAACTTCACGATTTTGACTCTCTTATTTGTCTCAAACAATCCCTCAAAGGTGTGTTGTATGGCATGGAAAAGGGGTGTTTGTTTGCCGTTGTCTTCGCAATTTGCATCGATACCCTCATCCAGAAGGAGCTTTACCATAGTCTCATGTCCACCCCAAATTGCGTAAAATAACGGAGTTCGCCCTTCATCATCTTTTGATTCCATATGGGCCCCTCTTGCTTTGAGTATTCGAAACACCTCCTCATGTCCCTGCAGCACTGCATAGGATAGGGCGGTCCGGCCGTGAATATCCATGCAGTTTGAATTGGCCCCTTCAGTCAACAAGAAATTAACTGCTTTGTGGGAGCCGATTTCCGCCATCCACAACAATGGGGTTCACTGGGTGCCATCGTAAATATCGACCTGCCAGTCTTCCATCAAAAGAACTTTCGCTATGCCGAAAACATCGAGGGCATCGTTCCCGGAACCGACACTATGCAACTATTCAGTCTTGGGTCTAGTTACAGGAATCTTCGAGCCCCAGATGAAATGGCAAACTCAATAAACATCTGTGCCGTAGGGTCTCAGCGAATAGCTTTCCTCTAGGTAAGACCCCTCCTGCATATTCGGCCACAGGTCGAAAATCCCGGACAGAGAGCACTTCATCCATCCTGGAAACGGCGGCTCGGAGTCTTCCTCCAATGCCTCAATGACTTTCACATAATGACGCTGCCTATCTTCTAGTGTTTTTGGCAGATCATCTGGAAGCGGAGCGTTTTGTAAAGTCCGAAAACTCTCCTCGTCAATTACAATAAACATGCGGTAACTAGGAAAGCGATCGAGCTTATTTCGCTTAGTTGCCCAGGCTTTAAAATGCGCGCGGACCTGATCTATCGATGCTCCGTCGAACTGGGAAGCATCTTCGATGACGCGTGGCTTGTACTTAGCCCACATTTCATCGAAGGGAGTTCTTTCGAACTCAGCTGCGTTGGGTTCATAGCGGAGGCAGGATTCGTATGTATCGTAATATCCTTTTTTGATGTACGCCGTGGTAAGGTCGACCATGCGCGGAAAAGAGGCATGAGATTGCGGGGTGTAGGTTGTCCGGTAGATTGTGTAGCCCCATGTTGGTTCCGTGGAATTCAGCCACTGATAAAGGTGACGAAAATGGTCTGGAAGCCAGGGGTATAGCTGCCTCGGTAATCGAATTCCCGACATGATGGGGTTGATACGATCTTGCGGTTGTTGAGAGTCATAGGGGGTAAGTCTGCGGATGGAGAAAGGTACAACCTGGCGACCTTGGGAATGCGGCAAGGTCCGGATGTCTTCAAGCTGCCGAATTTATACCCAACTTTCAATACGTCCCCTGTACGTAAAATACCCCTAGGAATACACAGACTTGGGGGTGCTGGGTATTAGGAAATTAGCTTGATTTAGAGTGGAGAGTGTTCCCTAGCCAATCATACTCAATAAACACCTTCCTTCTTTCACTGCGTTGATTAGAAGGAAAAATAAATTAATCGGTCTGTTTATTCTTCCAAGGTTTTCAACGATTTTGTAGTCAGATTTTTGAGATAATCAAACTCTAATCATGGGCTACCTACATAGGCTTAAAGCGATCTGGTCGATTTCCCACATTTTGGCGCTCGGGTGCCTTATTCCAAGCTTGTGCCTTATTTCAGGCACCTGAACTCAGCCCGCTCTCAGGCGGTAATTCGAGATACCGCATAGGCGAACGATATATGCAAATTTAATTTCAATCAAATCATTCAAAGGCGCTTTGAATATTTGTGAAACAAATCTTCTATATACCTCAGCATTCTCACCGAGTCTTACTCCGTATAGCACCAGCCCCATAATTAATATGTTTCCTCATTTATCCCGCCTGTCAGATCAATGGGCCAGCAGAGCCATATATTGGCAGATAATATCGGCAAAATGTAATTCATATTTAGCCGGTGTTGCTGTAAAACTAAGGTAGTGGCTTGCACAATCTTAGCCCCGCCATTGCTCAAGCGTATCTGATCACCCCTCTCAACATCCCCCGGTTGCATCTCAAGCAATCACATTTGCAGCTCTCTCGAGATACATCCTATGATAATGTCCTTTCCTACAGCTCTACCCGATTGGAACAACCTCAAAGTGATCCACAAGAACACCCTTCCACCGCGGGCGCACTTCTACAGCTATGCTTCAGAGGGACGGGCCCTCACCTTCAACCGCGACAAGGGCGAATATGTTTCCCTCAATGGCACATGGAAATTCCAGCACGATGCCTCTCCTTTCGAGGCACCTGAGTGGTCCACTGCCAATCCCTTGAGCTGGGACGACATTCAAGTCCCGGGAATGTGGCAACTCCAGGGCTACTCCCATCCAACCTACACCAATGTCAACTACCCGTTTCACGTGAATCCCCCTCAAGTGCCACTCCTCAACGAGACTGGGTCTTACTGGAGGCAGTTTGTAACTCCTTCCACGTGGGAAGGACAACAGATTCGCATCCGCTTTGAAGGTGTTGATAGTGCTTTTCATCTCTGGATCAACGGAGAAGAAGTTGGGTACTCGCAAGGTTCACGCAATCCTAGTGAGTTTGACATCACCTCCCTACTTAGGCCTACCGGATCCGCAAATACCATCGCTGTGCGCGTGTACGAGTTCTGTGATGGCTCGTATATTGAGCGACAAGACCAGTGGCTTCTTAGTGGCATCTTCCGAGATGTTGGCTTGCTGGCACTTCCACTCAGCTCAGTGATCGACTTCAACGCTGTCCCAACACTCAACGAAGATCTATCTACAGCTCAACTGCTCGCCAATGTCACAATACAGGGACAAGATGCCGATGTCCAGGCCAAGTTATATCGACCGGATGGCACGTTACTCAAGGAGCTCACATTTTCTTCAAAAGAATCTGGTCGTATCAATGTATCTGGTGATGATTTGAAGCTGTGGTCTGCCGAATATCCAGTTCTCTATACCTTGACTCTCACCTTCAACGGCCGTACAATTCCCCAGCGCGTTGGATTCCGCCGCATCGAGCAGAAAGGACAAAACTTCTTGGTCAACGGTAGGCCCATCATTTTATACGGCATGAACCGTCATGAACATCACCACCTCCACGGCCGCGCCGTGCCGTATGAAAATATGCGTGCGGATCTCATTTTGATGAAGAAGCACAACATCAACGCCCTGCGGTGCTGTCATCAACCAAATGATCCCAGATTATACGAAGTTTGTGACGAACTTGGTCTTTACGTTATAGCAGAGGCGGATCTTGAGACCCACGGTTTCGATCCCGTGGAACGATCTAATATTCCGAACCAGCCACTTATGACCGAGTACGAAATTCAAGAGACCTCCTACAAAATGGCCACCAAGTGGACATCCGACAATCCAGAATGGAAGGATGCTTATCTTGATCGGGCTGTTGAGCTTGTTCAGCGCTTTAAGAACTTCCCTTGTATCATTATGTGGTCCCTTGGAAACGAGGCGTTCTACGGCCAGAACCATGTGAGCATGTACAAGTGGATTAAAGAGGCTGATCCAACCCGTCTCGTTCACTACGAGGGTGATCGGGAGGCTATTAGCGCAGATTTGTACTCAACCATGTATTGGAGTATTGACGACCTCAAAAAGCACATTAGCGAGAAGCCTGATAGACCTCTCATTCAGTGCGAGTACGGGCATGCCAGTAAGTTTGAAATTTGAGCTTGGTGAAATTTCTATCATGTCTTCTAACCTTTGTTACGTACACAGTGGGCAACGGTCCAGGTGGACTGAAAGAATACATTGAGGCCTACCGCACTGAAAAGCTTCTCCAAGGTGGTTTTATTTGGGAGTGGTGTAACCATGGTCTTCTCAAGAGAGATGGTGACACCTCGTATTACGCATACGGCGGCGACTTTGGCGACGAGCCCAATGATGCAGACTTCATCCTTGATGGAATGGTGTTTTCGGATCACACACCCAGCCCGGGGCTAACAGAATACAAAAAGGCCATTGAGCCAGTTACGGTGACACTCAAGGAAAGTAGCCTGGAAGTGGTCAACCACTACGACTTTATTATCCTAGATCACTTGTCTATCTCATGGCACCTTGTTAAAGAGACGGGAAACACTGACCCAATACCATGGAAAATTCCCCAAATTAAGCCTGGAGAATCCAAGGTGCTCAACCTGCCCGATGGCGTGACTTTCGGCTCTGATCCGAGCTGGCTCACCATCAACTTCCGACTCGCCGCGACCACATCCTGGGCACCCCAGGGACACGAGGTTGCCTGGGCGCAAATCCCCTTGTTCGAAGACCAGAAACTCGTAATCCCCCCAACCTTAACCTCACCACAATTGACAATGTCTGTTCAGGAGGGGCCGGGCCGGTTATACATCAACTCGAACAGTTTCACCTCCCATATCACCTACGACCTGATCAGAGGCGATCTATCATGGTCCACAGACGCAGGCAAAATCTTTAACAGCGGACCACACCTGGGGATATACCGAGCCCTGACACAGAACGACCTCGGAACAGCGGGACCTTGTGTCGAGTGGAACCGCTTCCGCGTCAAAAGCAGTCGCATGGTGGTTGAATCCGCCAATTGGCGTGTCAGCGACGACGGCAAAAACGTATGCATCACCACCAAAGTCCGTGTTGCACCCACCGTGCTAGAATGGGCATGCGAGGCTATCCTCACTTACAATATTACGGAGACATCCGTGAGTCTGCATGTCAAGGGTGATTTCACAGGCACGCACCCAAATTACACCCCAAGAATTGGTCTAACACTTCGCCTTCCCCGACAATATGATGCCGCCACATGGTTTGGCAGAGGCCCCGGAGAATCCTACCGCGACACCAAGGCGGCTGCGCGATTCGGAAAGTACACGGCCACTATTGAGAGTGGGCTGGAGACGCCGTATGAGTGGCCCCAGGAGAATGGTAATCGCGTCGATACACGCTGGGTGAGCATTCACTCCTCACCTCCGGATACATCTTATGCTGCCTCTGCTGGGTCGATTGTACCTGTTCCAGAGATTCGGGCATCTATGGATGCGCCGTTTAGTTTCTCTCTTCGCAAGTATGGCACATTAGAGCTTGACCGCGCAAAGCACCCGCATGAACTTTCGGAGTTGAATAATGAGACCGAGCTCAATATTGACTATGCGCACCATGGAATTGGAACGGCGAGCTGTGGGCCTGGTGCTTTTGAGGGTCATAGACTTGAGGCTGGGCCGTTTGAGTTTACCACCATCTTTAGTCTTGTTGGTGACAAAAAGGACTGAGAGGACATGAATATTATTGTGGTGGATGGGTGAGCTTGCTGGTATCCTTTCTCAGTTTTATTTCTCTTCTTCTATGGGAGACCTTGGAGTGGGGTTACCATGCAGAAAAATAGTTAGCCATCAATTGGCCCACCATAAGTAGGGGTCTAGAGGGGATTTGTCAAACAATACTTCATGTCATCAGTTGGGATAATTGCCTTTCTCTTAATCGAGCCATACGAATATTCCCTTGATTCAAGTTCCATATCACCAAGGACGGATACAAATAGGGAAGGTGTGATAGTAAAGCTTCATGAGATCGACATGAGGTCATCATCTGTCGAAACATCCTTTGAGGGGTTGGTCGGGGGATAGGGAGACAAGGAAATAGCCTCTCGCGTAGCTGGGGGTGTTTTCACGGGAGATTTTCCTTTTGAAACGGAGCTCTGTATAACTAGCATTAAAAGTGATTTTGTATCAGCCGACAACAACCGCACTTTCGAACCTGCGCCAGCCATATATTGACGACCCAGAAAAGGAAAACAGAGGGCAAATCAAATACAGTTCAATTACCGTCTGCACCTTTCAGCATCACTGCCTTTCTCCACTGTCAAGGAATTAGCTAGGAAGGTATATCTTGAAGCATTAAATAGTTTTACTCCTTACCTCGATATCAACACAATACCACCAGAGACATTCAAAAATAAATCCAAAAGGACATTCAAAAGGACATGCAAAAGACAAATATCACAACCGAGATAAATCAGGGCAGGCATCTAACCGCGGTAGGGAGGAAAGCAGAAGGCAGAGCGCAAATGATATGCAAGTACAAGAAATGAAGACGCTGATGTATGAGTTGTCGTACTGAGCACAACAACCTGCCATATTCTTTGTGTTCCAGATGCTATATGGGATATGATAGGTTATGCGACTCATGCACATATGCTCTGCGGGCATGCTTTCTAATGTAACAACCTCGACTTTTTGCACAATTGTAAATGTAAACGGCGGACCTGTGAATTACCATATCGGGTTAGTTTTGCCTTTTTGGGTTTAGCGCCCCAATACGCTGTCACGTAACCTACCTTCAATGCCGCCGACATAAAGCCCGTCTTCGCTACTCTTCCTCCCACTCTCTCACTTTTTCATTCTTCCTACCCCTCTATCTTGCACTCATCGCCACCCCCTTTCTTTACTCTGGCCCCCACCGCCGCCTGCGCATTGGTTTTCAGCCCGACGCACTACCCGTTTCATTTTTACCGGAGATGCCGCTCGATCCGACTCCCTGGTCGTTCTGACAAGCGTAGGCTGCAATGCTATCTAGTCGCTTAGGAGCAGAAACACTGGGGTGATCCAGCCATCCACCGTATCGCATGATTGTGTGTCAATACTCTATTTTATAAAGAAGTCTACAATTCCATCTAGATCGCTTGCTTTCTGCTGGTGAGGCCTTCCCGTTGAGTGTCTGCTATTCCGCTGACCCCCCTTGTTGCGAAGTCTCCTCGATGCTACATGCTCCGCTTTATCCGCCCCATCTTAGGCCCCCACCTGAGGTTATAATGGATAGCCCTTGGCGTCGTAGATCTATTCTCGGCCGCTTGTTCGTAAGTGCCTCGACCTCCTATCTGTCGTCATCGTCGGCCTCCCGTTGTCTAGTTGCATTTAGTGCGAATTTGGGCGGATCAGAACGGGAGCTAGGTTAACCCGCGCGGGTTAACTTAACTTTCTCAAATCTACCCGGATATAGCCGTACGGTAGGTCGGGGATCACCCGACGAGGCTTGGGCTTTAAGCTAGGGTTCAAACCTATGGGGCCCATGAGCTTCGGCACGCGATTTGTACTGATTTATACCGAAGAACCATTTCTTACTTGGTCTGTATTTTGATGATTCAGCGCTTTATACCTTGATTTGGATAGTTATATAGAAAATGGGCTTTTTCAGACAGTATACATGGGTTTGAAAAAAAACGAAAATTTACCCCCTCTCTATATGGGTATATGGATTTTTTTCAGGTCTACGGGGGTCACCTACAGATAAGGGCGTGGTCAACAGTAAGAGAAACAATTTCTTTAAAAAAAGGCATAATAAGATAATGATTACGGAAGGGTGTAGATATGTTAGGATAAGGTAGTCGTCGAGATGTCATCGGACCTACGCAGTCAAAGTTAAGAAATAATTCTAGACCATCCTAGAATATAGAATAATAAGCAAGGTGTTGTTACATCATATGTACATCATTAATATATCTGCAAGTACATTAACGTCCTTGACTAATATGTGCAGCCTTTTAGATAATGGAAAATATTATAGTTTTCCTATGTCGAATAAGGATTTTGTTCGCTTTTTGTTTGAAATAATAAATTAACATGTACGAATTTCCAAATAGCTGTGGAAATTCTATATGAAGTGTTGCTAATGTTATAGGTAAAAATCTATTTCCCTGCTAAATATCTAGTCGCTACTTCTAAAGTTTAAGAATATCTAGTGGGTCTTATTTACTTTGCTGCCACTGAGCTATCCTACATGCGGAAACAATATTCTACATCGAGTCCCTATAGGTAAAACCAGGAATAAAAACGAAGTACAGATTTTACATCATGACTACAGTTCATTGAGGTCATTATTTATCACCATTGTACATTCCTATTCCTGTGTACTTGGATTCAAAGACATAAATAGCGGCTGTCTCTGAAACGTGTACTTCCTCAATCTCTGAAGATCATTCCTACTATACTGACATATATATCATTGCTCACATTCAATCAACTCCTAATATGAAGTATGCTATGCTCTCTCTCGCCGCACTCGTGGTGCCGTGTTTGGGCAACCCGGCTCCCTACTGGAGGCCTTATTTCACGCGCCCAGTCCGTCCAGCCGATTCTGGTACTATTGTTGTACTCAATGACATGCAGTTTAATGTCCAGGTGATAGAAGAGCCACAAGGGGGTATATATAACGCTCCACCCGGCGGGCCGCCAGTTTATATCCCAGGATCATTCTCAGCGGATGTGAAACTAAACGGGCAGGTAGAAGTGAGCTATGTTTCTGGTAACCAAGGCACATTTAATTATGTTATAAACCCCATCGACGGTGGTGGCTTCCCCGGATGTGTCAGGGTATCGCCCAATGGATGTGGGGCTACGACATGGTGTCCTGGAAACCCTAGCTCACCACCAGTGACCTGTCCCCAGGGAACTGAGCTTCCGGTCACCCTGCAGCCCTTCCATTCCCCACTGTAAGTCACTTAGAGCCGATTTTTATTAGCTGGCGCTAACTTTGGGCCCGTTAGCGGAAGATACAAGGAATTTCTAAAGTGAACCTCTTTCGGAGCTCAAAATGCTAGTAATGGCCACCCTAGGCTTTGCTAGTGTTGTTTTGGGGAGGTAATCTCATGTCGTCCTGAATTTGTCTCTATGATATTTTGTACTGCTTTTTTTCTTTTTTTTGGGTAACTTAGGGGAGTATCAGATTGTATAAGTATTACTCTCCCCCTTCAAAATATAGTAAGGCCACAATTCAAATCTTTCGGATTGCAGCATTCAATCAATCTACGTCATAGAAAGAGTGATTAGTCCATTTGAATCAGGGTTAAGGTAATTTGTATGGGGAAAAAGAGTGGGCCCTGGGCTCATTGAATCAACCCTAGATACCATATCTTATTCTAATTTAATTTCAAGATCAGAGATTAAGTGGTTGGCGAGAAATAGTTCATCAAAATCAGGGGATATCTTTGGTGGGGTACGGTTATCCGGCCGCGAGCAAGTCACCAGCGAGATCTGGGGTAAGCTCGTAACTCGTCTGTATCAGGTCTAGCGTGTTTCCACCTAGGTTCTGGGAACAAATCCTTTGTCTGAAGCGTCGAAGCCGGTTTCGAATGTTACTATACACTTAGTATATTACTCGGCCCAACGCACGGCCCAACTCCCTCTGGGGAGTGGGCCGCACGGGTTGAATGCAAAACCTCACCCACCCACCATTTTTAACCTCTATTTACTACCACTGAAAATGCCTTTTTCATCCCAAAATTTGGAAGATCGGATCTCTAGTGCTTTGCAAGCCTACCATAAAAATGATAAGCCTGTAATTTCAGTATTGGCGCGGGAATTTGATGTTCCATACCATACCCTGAGGGGTAGAATCAACGGTCGCAAATCTAAAACTGGCCATGCTGGCGCTAACAAAGCATTAGGGACTGAGCAAGAGCAGGCATTAATTCATTGGATCGATACCTTGAATTCTGCAAATGCTCCTCCAACTACGGATATGATCCAGAAGTGTGCACGTCAAATTCTTCATCGGCATGATCCAGATATATGCCTTAGTATGAATTGGGCCTACCGTTTTATTAAACGACTACCCGATAAATACACCTATATCAAGCAAAAACCAATGGAAAAGGACCGCCTAGAAGCAGTTACACCTAGTCATCTTGTTACCTAGTATACTCGCCTAGGTGATACTATTCAGCGGTTAAAAATCGGATCGAAGAATATCTATAACTTTGACGAAAGCGGCTTCAAAATTGGCGAAGGCAAACCCCGAAAAGTCGTTTTAACTAAGGCTGGTTAATCTGCTAGTATTAGAACTAGCGGGCCTAGTGAATCGCTTACTTCAATTGAATGTATTGCTACCGATGGCTGGGTCATGCCACCTTGGTTTTTAGTTAAGGGTGAATTCTATATGGAGAATTGGTATAGGACTACCAACCTCCCCGACGACTATTGGATTACTCCTACACCTAATGGTTAGACCGACGATACTATAGCCTTTCAATAGCTTCAATCATTCGAAGAAAGCACTAAAAATCGCTGTACAAAGACGGGTTTTCGGCTTCTTCTTATAGATAATTATAGCTCCCATCTCACCTATAAATTTATCAAATTCTATAAGAATAATCAAATTATTCTATACTATTTTATCCCACATACAACGTATATATGTCAGCCGCTTAACGATGTGCCGTTTTAGGTGCTAAAGCATTATTTTCGTAAGAATAATAATAATATAGTATAGTGGGGTGGTTTAGTAAAGCAAAAATCGGACTTTTTTTCAAGCATCCATAGGGTTCGGAACCAAGCTTTAAAAGCCGTATAATACGCTCTGGCTTTGAAAAATGCGGTATCTATCCTTTAAATGCAGATACTGCTTTAGAGAAGCTAGGTTAGAATGACGATCCTAATCTTCCAGAGCTAGTATTAGAGATATAGGATGGTGATACCCCCCCTCCAGATGTTACGGACATGCTAGTCACCAATCAGTTGTGGGGACCGCAACTACTGATGGGCCACCGAGAGCCAACCGAACGATCTGTCATCAGATCACGTGCAACATCCTATACTCTAGGATACCCGGGCATTCAGGGAAAAGAGAAACCGTGATCACGCTTAGTGAGCAAGAGCATGATCAGCCCTGAGTAGGACCCACTTCTAGAGGATATCCTATATATATGTACCTATATGGACTAGCAAACCTCTGCCACTAACGGGAGCTAAAACTGGCCTCCCGCTAGCCGTCCCGAAGTATACTCTATTTGGTGATACTACGGATAGCCGTCACGTGATCATGTAAGTAGTAGAATAGTCGACGGTAGACTGGTAGAATCTGCTAAGGCAATTCTACTTATCTACGATCTACTTAGCTATATAGGAAGAACCTAAGGATATATAAGGACACTCATTTATATATCTAGTTTAGTTCTTCGTCTTCAATCATATATTATTACTTATATATACCTTTAGAACCTTAGTGACTCTTTACTTGATTATAACTTGATAACACCTACGAGTAGACTAATACCTCGGTATAGATCTCCTCAGCGCTCTACCTAGCACCGTTCCTCGATATATTAATAGGACGCACCCTATAGTAAGGCCTAGACCTTGCCAACTCCCATCATTTGGTCCCATGGGACCACTCCCATGGGAGTAGATGGGACTCCCATATGGTCCCATGGGTGTGCCAAGAGATGGGAGTGAGGTGCCAGTCCGCTCCCATGGGACTTTGATGGGACTCCCATGGGACTGTAAACACTGCAAACACGTAGAAAAACGTGACCTGCATAAGATATGCAGAAATGCCCTGTATTAATGGGTATTTAGCTTACAGTGGGAGGTAGCATTGAATGATTCTGGATTAATTCCTGTCAAAAAGTAGTGTAATTATAGTATCCTGTGATTAAACTATCTAGTATACTCGTATAGATCTTCATCCCTACGCCGCTTACGATCTCTTTGGGGGCGTGCCTGACTTATAGTATCGATGGCAGGCAATGGATGTAGTGCCGAATCATCATCTGACTCCTCAGCGGCCTCCTGATCGGTAACAATCTCTCCTGCTTCATCTGAGTTATCACCGTCCTCACCCTCGCTAATTGCCTCTGGTATACACTCAGGAAGTCCCGCCTCCCTTACCTCATCACCCTCAGTCCTTTCGTCCTGATTTAAGGTAGCCTCAGGTTGGAAATCCTCCCCAGTTTCCTCACTTTCAATATCAAATTTGGATAAACAACGAAGCATCATCAAATCCTATATTGTTACTTCGTTCAATGAGCCTCGTCGATAATGGCAGATATCGCGAGCAGTACTAAAGAGGCGCTCAACACCGGCGCTAGTAGCTGGGATAGAAAAGACATCCCGTGCAACCGCTGCGAGTGTCGGAAATCTATACTCATTCTCTTTCTAGAAATGGCATGGGTTTACTACGCTCCGTTCTACATATAATTAGCTTAGTTAAGTTATAATCATGATCATCTAAACATACCAGTATTAAGATATCCCTTAAGTTCTTCTTGCCACCCAGTCTTCGGCTGCGGTGGTGGCTCTGGTTGATCCTCCTCGAAGAGGCTCATCATTGTATCCGTGCTATGCGAGGAGGACTTTGCCTTTGTAAGCACTTGCTTTTCAGGCTGGCGTTTTGAGTAATCCTCCAAATGATTATGAAGAGACTTTTCATATATGTCATGCCAGGAGGAATCCATATTATCGACTTCACCTGCCCACTCTGGTCCTTTAAAGAATTCAAGCTTATGCTGGGGTGCAAGAATTGTACCAATTGCATATAGGCTGCCATGTGCTTGCTCAGTTGCTTTATAGTATACCGAGAGTTTCTTACTTCCGGCCTTAAGAGCCTTAAGCATAGCCTTTTTCCAAGGCACTTTCTTTCGCCGAAGTCGGGCCTGGGCCTGCTCAAAATGGGTAAATAGTCGGTTGTAGACCCGGAACACATCATGGATTGTTGTCGCCTTAATCTTTGATAGGCTAACCGTCCATTTGTAGAAAGGCTTTGTGATATGGAGCAAGTATTCGATCTGCCGCCATTCGCTTTTACCAAGCCGGAATTCGGGGCGCTGATGCTCTGCGCAATATCTTTGGTAGCTATCTGAAAGGCGATTGGCGCGCTGGAGCATAAGATATATTGAATTCCACCGAGTGCGTACATCCTGGATCGGGGCAAGCCTCGGTTCTTCGCTTTGAAGATTCAGAAATGCCTCCCGTCGCTGTGGGCTGGCATTAATGAAAACTGCGAAGGCCCGCACCTAGTAGTGTAGCAGTTAGTATTAGATAAAATTGTTAAAGGCATTAGTTACTTTACCTTAGCTAGCGTATAAATGATTCCCTTCTGTCTCTTTGCCTGTTGAAGAACACTCCCGTTTTCTTCCGACCATGTTGTTGCTGTCTTGTCGTTTTTTGGATCAGCCTTCATTAGGCCAAGGAGATCTTTCAGACTCAATTGAATCACATGAGCAAGACATGGAATCCGTACAATTTCAGTGAAATTAGGAAGCTCCAACCGTTCGATTGAATTATATAGACTATCGACTAAGGTCTTATTATTTGACGCATTGTCTGTAGTAATCGCAATCACTCGATTGGTAATCTACTGTTGCTGAAGAACCTCAAGGAGAACGTCTGCCAGATAGGAGCCTGTATGCTGGCCGTGAACTGGCATGAAACCTAGAAGTATCTCATGATAATCCCAATTGATATCCATAAAATAGCCTGTGATTGCCATGAATGACTGTTGGAAGGGGGAGGTCCAACAATTAAGGGCAATTGATAGCTTCGCTCCGGCTGGGAGAAGAGAAAGGAGCTTTTACTGCTCTGTATGGACGATTGACTGGAGCCGACGCCGCGCGGTCTTTGGTGATAGAAGGGTGAGCTTTTGTTGAGAAAGCTGAGCCTCTGTAATTAGATCTTCAAAGTCTTTATGCCGGAGGATCTGAAATGGAAGGCGTGAGTTCGCTATAAATTTGACTTGGGCTCTTTCAAATCGTTGTTGGTCAAAGACTTTTCGGGTAGGCGTACGAGTAGACTAAATGTAATATAGATATTAGTATCAAATCGATAGAATGTAGAATCGGACGTATATAATACCGCAAGTTCGAGCGATTGCTGTATATCCTGTTGTGTTGAAGCCTTTTTCGAGGCAACTACACATGCGCGGCTAGATAAATGTGCAGCGAGTGACTTCGAACCATTTAATGTCGAGGATGGGTGCGAGAGCGCTTTTCCACACCTCCGACAGAGTGCCATTGGTTTCCCGGTTTGAAAGTTTGCTACTTGGTCAAAGTGCTCCCAAGCAGCAGAGGTATACCTTGCTTCAAAGTTCACTTTATGAAGCGGAGGGTGTGGGTGAGCACCTGCCGTATGGCGCCACCACTCAATGAAGTCGGTCTTATTCATTGTAGTCCAAAGAACCCAGAACTTTTGATGTTTAGGACCGATACGGCGGAGATTTGGAGGAATCGGATTCGGCTCTATTTGGAGGATTGAGGATTCTGGTCCGCTATAGATTGGCTGCTGGCTAATTGAATGATCTGGCGTAAGGGGGTCATCAATAATGCCAATGCTATAGACTGAAGAAGGTGGAGGAATTCCGGCGTGGGATAATGTGATCTGGGATGACGGGCCAGCCTCAGCATATAGTTCGTATTGCGACATACTAGAATAACAATTCTGTTGAACTAGAAGAGGGTTTAAAAAGCATATCTCTAACACCTACCTTTACAGTCGCGAGAGTCGCGTTCGGCTACTAGCAGAGTTCAAACGAGTAATAGCGCGAAGATACATCACAAATAGGCTAGTACCCACTTATTATATGTTACTTATTGGTCTGTTCGACGGGACTCCCATGGGGGTCCCGCGGGACTCCCGTGGGACTCCCATGGGACTCCCATATAAAAGGGAAATTGATTAGATTTAGGGGTATCTACAATCCCCCACAACTTCAAGGGGAAAATTCTCACTTTTGAGCCTTCTTTATCCCGAAATTACTCAATAACCACGTAGTATGAATAGTTATTCTAAAGTGCATATAACTAATTTAGAGGTAAGGTTTCTTATAGTGCGGGAATTAAATATAATTTGTTAAAATCTTTGTCAAATTTGTACTTTCCAAATAATATGTAGAAAATGTAGTGTAGTACCTCTCTGTAAATATATATTTTGCTCAACCACTTCCTTCTAATACCATGTTTAAATCTCCTTTGCGCCCAGAAGCCACCACAATCTAGTATATGAAGTTTTTTTTTTGAAGATGGATGCTTTTTGATATATACTTGAGTCATTTGTTAACTCTATTATGGACTATGTCATATAAAAAAACCATATTGTTAGACATTGAAAGTAGGGACACTCATACGCCTGTAAATAACAGTATTTTATCTGATTACTTTGCAGTTTTGTGCAGCTGAAATAGGAAATCCTTGGCAAAATTATGCTAGCGTGGGACCATATGGGAGTCCCATAACTCCCATGGGACCCCCATGGGACTACTAGGGTAATGGGACCGGAATTTTTTTAGTCCCATGGGAGTAGATGGGACCAGGATATGGGACCAAAATTTTCTTAGTCCCATGGGAGTTGGCAAGGTCTAGTAAGGCCTGTTAGGTAATAGTACGGTTAAGAGAACAGATCGTTAACGTTAGAAACCTAAGAAGTATAAGGTAAGTATAACCGAACCCTTCTAACCTAACTATAACTAGTTAGTAGTGCGTAATATATTAAAGACCGTCTTAAATTAAGTTTCGAGTCACTAAACGATAATATATCTCACGTTAGTTCGGGTAAGAAGCCTATTAGGGAGTAGGTTACTCTAACTTAAGAGGAAGCTAACTCCGACGTCGAACGAGATAACACTATCGCTAAGCAGAAGAAAAGGGTTAGCGAACTAGAGTATAATATTAAGAAGATAATAAGTTAACTATCCGACTTAGGCGAACGAAGCGGCACTAAGTTCGGCGAGGTAGACGAGTACCTCGAGTAAATCAAGTCTTAAGTTATCGCCTCTATACCTACTAGCTCTATCTAAGCACTACGATTACCTAAGGCTAAGTGCTTTAAGGGAAACCGAACTAAGCTTCGAGGATTCCTCACTTAGATAGATATACACCTTAATATAAATTAAACTAAGCTACCTACCGAAGCTAGTAAGGTGATCTTTATATTAACCTACTTATATAGCTAGGTATAGAGCTAGTTCGAACTATATATTCGAGACTACTACGAGAAGGAAACTAGCGAGTAGTTAACCACCACTACCGAAGTCTTCGGAGGATACTATAACTTCCGTAAGCACCTTAAGCGAATATTCGGAGATATCGATATAGTAAGAACGGCTAAGCGTAAGTTATAGAAAATTAGATAATAGACTAGCGCCTTAGTATACGCCTCTAAATTCTAGCAAATTATTTCGTATCTAGATCTGCCCGATCGAGCGTATATTCCGTACTTCGAGGTAGGACTTAAACCTAATATTAAGGACGAACTAGCTAGGATCGATAGGCTAGATACCCTAGACAAACTTATTAAGATCGCGGTTAAAATCGATAACCGTATTAACGAACGAAAGTACGAACGATAAGAAATAGATTAGTGGAAGCGCGGTAAGACGTACGGCTTCAATCGATTTAGTTATAGGCGCCGCGATAAGGCACCACTATAGGATAGCGACCTATATAGCCTAAGGCTAATAGAGTTAGACGCCACTTAAGATAAGTAAACGAGCGTTATAAAAAGAATCTCTACTTCACGTGCGGGAAACTAGGACACCGTATAAGAGAATATAAGTAGAAGAAACCGTATGAGAAACAGTAATATATACGAGCGACACACGAAGAATTACGTGCGACTTAAGAATCTAGAAAGGACTACCTAAGTAAGGAAAGCTTAGAAGATCTCTTAGCAAAATTGGAAAGCCTAAGCCTAGAAGAGATAGTAGTGGGCAACCTATATATTAAAGGGTTAGCCGACGAGTAGTATAGCGATTATCTAGAGATCGATTAGGATATAGTAGAGAGTTAAGGATAGATATAACACGTTACTTAGAACTAGAGTTATAACTTAGCGGGTTATAAACCCTAGGAGGACGCTAGTTAGTAGCCCTAGGGCTCGTTAGGACTATAGGCCGCGGATATACGCCTAGATAGGACTTAAGACTATTACGGACTCTAGGGGTCGGATATAGGGCTCCTAGGAACACTAGTCACGTTCCCTAGAACCACCGTTAACCTAGGAACGCTAAGCGCGCTCCTAGGTACGGATTAAATGATCCTAGAAATACCACTAGAAAGTCCTAGGAACTATCGTTAACTAAATAACGATAAAGAAGCCGATAAGCTTATTAGTTATCTCTAGAATAAGATTTAGACTAGTAGGTTGGACTATGTAACGGATAAAAGATCCTTACAACTGGAATACCTAGAGCGGGCCATATCAATGATCTATCAATAGATCGACATCGATTCGATGTCGATCTGAGAGGGGTTCGTCAGGTGATATCAATGTCAGCACTATTATATTGGTTTCCCTATAGTCAAGGACCCCCAAAGGATCCTTTCCATTCTAGCAAGAATTAGTCTTGGCACACTCTACAATATATTATGTTCCCCTCTCAGTCATAGTATCTTACCCGGTTGATAGGCCTTACACCTAAAAACAGTATACCTTTATAATTCTAATTCTTCTTTTTTAACTACCTAAGATATAATAGCTCCCTCTACTCGCCGCCACTCTCGAAGTAACACCGAAACCCCTAAGAATCTATCCTAGGTCGGTAACGAATCGGGAACCATTCCTCCGATCGAAGAAAATAAACGATCGAGTGTCTAATCTTAAAACCAAGATCTACAGATTACGGAACCGAATCTTAAAACGGTCACGGAAAATGCTAGACGTGTTAAGGAAACACTTAAAGCCCTTAAAGCTAAAGTAGCATTTTAATAAAGAATCATTACTACCTAGGAACTCATTAACGTAAACCGAGAAAAGATCGAAAGCTATAATAAAGAAAATATATCGTCTCGATCACGAAATACCTACGATTCCTTATCGGAAGGCGAATATAGCTAGAGGGGAGAGATTAAAAGATATATAGATAAGTTCGAAGAAGACTTCGGTATTAAATAGAGGGAAGACTAGTTAAATAACCTTAATGCTCTATTTAAGGGCGCCCTAAAGAAATACGTCTCCGGAATATAAAAGGTCCTCGCCGCTATAAATTACCTTTATACTACCTATAAGAGTAAATAGGTATCTCACGAGCGAAAACACCCTAAAGACGCTAGCAATTAGGGAATATTTAAGGAATAGACGAAAACACTACTTTAAAACTCCTATAATATCGTTACCGATACCCTTATTCTCTTCTAATAAGCCGAAATACGTCCTTACTAGGACCCTCGTACCTTCGAAACCTACCTCGAATCACTAGAGAATCACCTTCTAAAATAAACTAAAGAATAGAGGGCCTAAACCCTATTTATAAAACTCTAGAAACCATTAAGAGATATAATAATCACTATAAATAATAGCACCCTACTAGAGATAAGGGATAAAATATTAAAATTAGTAGCCACCCTTTTCCATATATATTTCGCACCTTTTAAAAGAAAGAACCACTCCTATTAAAATTAAGATAGATAAAAAAGGATCGATTCGGCATCGAACTAACACTAATCCGGTATCTTAACGATAATAACTACTATATTCTATAGAGGATATAGAGGTTTTAAAGGAAGGGGTAACTAAAGAGGAAGAGGCTAAACTAGAGGTAGAGGCCGAGGTCGTAGGGGATTTAATAACTAAGGAAGACCTTACGCCTCTAGAGTATATATAATATCCACCGAAGGAAGAGGAAACCATACCGATTTAACACCGAATAGAGCCTATTTCCTCTATAGAGATAAAAACTATTAGGTAAAAGAATGCCCCTAGAAAGTAACGATTTAATCGTTAATATAATTAGTTCGTTTAACCTAGCCACGACGATCGGGAAAAGTAAAGGAGCTAGAGTGAATCCTAATACCTTAGCTTAATACCCGCTAATTAGGACTATAGTGCGGCTTTATATACCGATTACCCTATAGAACGGTGACGAAACGCACGCGGATCTAGACACTAGCGCGGAATGCGATATTATTAGTAAGGAATTCGCTTATAAGAATAAATTACTCGCTACTCTATTTTCGTCTCCTTCACTAAAGGGTGTCTCCCCTAAACGACTCCACACTCATAGTGTATTCTAGGTCTTATTTATAATAAGAGATTCTAGAGGGACTAAGAAAATCATAAAAAGACCCTATATAGGCATTAAGAGGGACCCCCGCCTAGAAGGAAGCCCTATACTTCTATCTCGCACCTTTATTAATAAATTCGACGTTATCCTATATCTAAGTGTAGATAAATGGTAGTTCGGAGTTAAAGACTTTAAACTAATGAAACCCCACCGATTCGCTAAAGCATCGCGGAACGCGGCTATTATCTACGCCCTAGTAAAAATGCTAGAAGAAGTATGGCTACTAGATAAAAATAGGGACTATTCGCACCTAGATTCTTCTTAGATCCCTCCCAAACTAGAGGCGTATCGCGATATATTCGACTATAAAAAGGTAGGGACTCTCCCTAGGATAAAAACCTTAGACTTATAATTAAATTAGAGGAAGGAAAAGCCCCTCTATATAGTCCAATTTACCCCCTCTCCTAAATAGAACTTAAAGAGCTATAGGCCTATTTAGTAGATAATATTAAGAAAAAGAGGATCCGACCTTCGAAAAGCCCTACTAGCGCACTAATTCTCTTTATTCTAAAGAAGGATAGTGGCTTACGCCTCTATATAGACTACCGAGGACTTAACCGCGTTTCGGTTAAGAATCGCTACCTATTACCCCTTATTTCGGAAATCCTAGACCGACTTTCTAGAGCAAAATACTTTAGTAAGGTTAATATTAAAGATACCTACTATCGTATCCGTATACGAGAGGGTGATAAATAGAAGACGGCTTTTCGTATAAGGTATAGCCATTTTAAATATATAGTTATACCTTTTAGACTATTAAATACACCCGCCACTTTCTAGAGCTATATCTATATAGCGCTAGGTGGACTAGTCAATGTCGTTTATATAGCGTATCTTAACGATATCTTAGTTTTTACGCTAGATCGAGAATCATATATAAAGGCATTATATTAGGTTTTCGAATGCCTAAGAAAAGCAGAACTTTATATCAAACCTTTAAAATATACCTTCTACTAGAAGGAGGTTAAATTCCTAGGATTCATCGTTAATAGTAACGGTATAAAAATAGACGAGAGCTAGGTCCGAGTCATCTAAGAATAGGAGGAGCCTCGAAGCTACCACGATATATAAGTGTTTCTAGGATTCTATAATTTCTATAGGCGCTTTATTAAAGGGTATTCATATATTTCCTTACCCCTCACCTTAATACTAAAAGGAAGCAAAATGGGAAAAAACTAGGCTAGGTCAAACTTAACGGCGCCGAGTCGATAGCGTTCCGACGCCTTAAAGAAGCCTTTTAGTTAGCGTCTCTCTTACACTATTTTAACCCCGAATGACTAATTAGGTTAGAAACCGATACTTTAAATAAAGGAATAGGAGGAGTTCTCTCCTAACTAGATTTAGAAGGACGATAGCACCCTATCGCTTTCTAGTTAAGGAAATTCTCCGGAGTAGAGTTAAACTATACGACACCGGATTAAGAGCTATTCGCTATCGTACACTCATTTTAATAATAGAGACACTATCTTAATAGTAGTAAGTATACTATAGAGGTATTATCTAACCACGCAAATTTACGTATATTTATAACCTAGTAGAAACTTAATAGGAGATAAGCACGTTAGTATATATTTCTAACGCCTTTTAACTTTATTATAAAGTATAGGCTAGGAAAGACAAATCCTATAGATAGACTATCTAGAATTCTAAATTAAGAGAAATCACAATAATATTAAGGGCCACCGAATCTATAACAGATCGGCACCGAGTAGAAAGAACTACGATAATAGATTAAAACCGCCTCACTATAGTATAACTATAATAAAAATCGAAAAAGAAAAAGAATATAACCTAGGGGCTCCGAACTAGTAACGAATCGGTATTAGGAAGACGGAGTTATAGCACCTAATCGAAGGGGAAGTAGCTTAGATGAATACGTAGAGTAGACCGGAGTATAGGGTCGGTAATAAGCTTACCGATAGTAAGAATAATAGCATTCTTAAAACCTATAGCGGCCCTATACTAAGCGTGAACCGATTCCTTAGAGTTAATAAGTCGGCACCGATCCGATGCCTAAACGGCTAATATATCCCACTTATAGGAGGCAATATAGGTATTATATATAAGGTTCTAACAATAGGCGGATACCCACTAGGTGTAAGAATCGTGAATAGCCTAAAGGGACGCGAGAAACGTTAGCGGAAACCTATCGAATCGATACTAGACTAATAGCAACTCACCCGCTTAATACGCGTTCTAGTAAGGAAGTGATAATATCTATAATTCTTCACTAGGTTATCGAAGCTAGCGATAAGGTCACGAATCGCCGCTAAGACGCGTTCAATAAGCTTAAAACCTAGCGTGAACTCGATAGGGTCAACTTCTTTATCCTCCTCGTCTAATAATACACTATATTCCCCCCTTACTAGTCAGCTAAAAGTGGCGTGCCTAAGTAAGAATCGATAGGAGCTTAAAACGGTTACCCTTAACACCCTTAGGAACCTAAAAAACCAAACGATATAAGCACGAATTATAGGCGGAATAGGATCGAATCGATATTAGGAACTTACTAACTCGTAAACCTTATATAGTCTAGTATAGTACGTATAGGACTTTAAGTTAGGAGTGTTAGAGATATAGTCTATAGTAAAGGGTATATAGAGGCTATCCGGCTTCGAGTCCCACTCGCGGTTTATAAGACGTAGATAATATATATACTAGGTCTACGTACGAGTAATTAGGATCATTATTTACTTCCGCCGGTTTCCTAGAAAACCTATAGTTCTAGTACTAGCTCTTCTTCTAGGTATCGCGTATTATTAACGTGGAGTCTATAAAATAATGTTAGTCCGACGTCGAATCGATAGCGGATCGATCGTCTACTTACCATATAAAATTAGGAAAGGAGTTATATAGGAGAGAAAATGGAATAGAGAAGAGCAATTTAAAAAGTAAATAAACCCGTGTAGAGACTAAGTATGACTAGCAACCATATAAAAGTGGAAAGTACGAACTATAATACGAGGAAACTACGAGTTATCTAAGTTAAAGTCGCACCTTCCAATTTTAATATTACCGCGATTCACTATATAAACACTATTAAACTAACGCCTCTCCGCCTTATAACTTGGGTAATAGAATAGGAAAAGAATCTTCAAAATCCTTAAGTAATTCTATAAGCGTGGAAACTATAGTAGGGCTATAAGTAGTGGTAGTAGCCGCCTACACCTTAAATAAAAGGTTATATTTCGCTTAAGACTATTATATATACCCCTTATCGCCGGCCTAAAGACGCTACCCTAATTTATAATAGTATCGTTTCTAGACCCTTACTAGAGACGAGACTAGGGGGCGAGGTAAAGGATTTAGGTATATCGCGCGTCGTCTATCTAAATACTTTCGATATCTAGATAAGACTTTCTTCGAAACGTTAGCGAATCGTAGTCGGGACTATATAGAATCGATATCACTTACCCTACTTATATCCTTTTTCGCACCTCCCAATTTATACGAAGACTTATACGCTTTATATATATGCTCGAAATCCTTCACTATCTTAAGAGTCGTATTATTAATAGCCACTAAAAACTCTTTATCCTATATAAAGTAACTATTATCATCTAAAAAGGTCCACGCGACCCAATCTAGAAGCGACACTAAATCGTAAGCGTCTCCCTATATACCTTCGCTAGGGCGAGCATATAAGTCCTTACGAGACATATATTATTAGTATCGCTTTAACCCTTCCTTATTAAGGAAGTACTAAATCTCGAACGGTTCGCTACCGCTAATATTAAAAGCCGCGATAGACGACCTTAAGCATTTTATACACCAAGTGTTTTTAAGTTAAACACGTCTTATCCGGATAGTGGGAACTATAGTGGATTGAAATGGAAATTCTATATAGAGTTTTCTAGGGTCTATATAGATCTATTTAATAAAGGAAGGATAAAAACGTCATTCTTTAATATTAAAAGGTGGTCATTCTAATTTTGTTCCCTTTGATCGCAATCGCCACTATTTTACCTTTACTTTATAAATAGTTCTATTTCTATACACGGATGAGGACATCCTCTTTATAAGAGAGAGGATAATTATAACTAGGCTGCGGCAACATCCTCAATATCCATGGATATCCACATATCCTCTCCGCAAATTGCGGATATGGTAGGTCACCCAATATCCGCAATCCTCAATTTTGTGGATATGGTATGCCACCAAATATCCTCTGGATATTTGAGGATATCCAGTGGATATAAAACATACTAAACATGCCAAGCGTTGTGACCTTTTTGAACATGCATTATTTATGCAGATTCCTTTGTATTTATCAAGTAACTATACTATAATTGAAGTTTTCAATTTATAGACCAAATTTTGTTATTTCCTAATATAGACTATCAAAGATCAATTTCGAATCTATTAGGTAACCTTGGTTGCTTCCGAATCCGCCCCGATCGTCCTTATGTACCCTTATCTACTGGCATTTCTGGAAGGCTATCGTCTTCCTTATCGAAAGCCTTAGATGATCGTTTCTTTGATTGTTTACGTTGTAGCTGCCTACTTCGATCAGCTTTCCCACTATCTAAATCATTCTCGTGGCTCCCTATCCGTTATATATCCTCAATACTAGGCTCTTGATCCTCCTCTTCGTTATCACTTATTAGCTTAAGGGTTTTAAGCTAGGGCATTAGTTTCCGAGTTTGATCTAATAATATAGCTTCTCTAGTGGAAAGATATTCCTTTATAATATCTATCTCCTTCTACTTAACCTTAAACTTAGTAGCGAACTAATGAAGCATTAGTCCTCGGATTGTACTTAGTTTTGATTAACCACGACGGTAGTGGCAGATATCGCGAGCGTAATTAAATAATCGCTTAACGCCTACACCACTAGCTAGAATAGAGAGAATATCCTATACCATCCTTATAAGAATAGGAAACTTATACTCATACTCTTTCTAGAATGCTCGGGGCATCTATCTCTTAATCCCGCGCGTAAGATACCTCGTAATCTTATCGGCTTCGGGGTTTAAGGGCTTATCCTATAGCTAGTTCTAAGAAGTATAAGCGGTATTAAGATCATAATAATCATTATCTAAGGCCTCTCTAGTGTTATCTTATAAGACCGAAGTGTCTAAATCATAGTGAAGTATCTCCTTATATCGATGAAACTCTCGCTTTAGGACTCTATAATAGTGTTTCACGTAATTAATTTCACCTTACTAGTCTGATAATATAAAATACCGAAGTTTCTTTAATAGGTAAAGGATTGTTATAAGTGTATAGATATCACCGTATAATTTATAATTAGTAGTAGTGTAATACTTTGAGAGCTTGCTTTTTATAGTCTAGAGAGCCTAAAGTATACGCTTCTTCTAAACAACTCCTTTATTCTTTAACTTACTCTTAGCTTCGTTAAGGTAAGAGAAAAGCTTATTATAAATACTATAGATATTATATGCTATAATATCCCTAGTCTTTAATAATATAGTAGTGAAGTCAAAAAAAGGCTTTATAAGAAGAAGAAGATACTCGATCTATCGCCACTCTTCTTAGTCAAGTTTGAAGTGGAGGTATTGATGATCTATATAATACTGATCGTAGAATGGTTGTAGCCTTTTTACACGATTCAGCATTATAAAGGTTGAGTTCTATTAGGTTTAGACATCCTAAATAGGAATCAAAGGAGGCCCTTTAGTTTATAGAGCTATAAATGCCTCCCGGCGCTACGGGCTTATATTGATAAAGACTATAAGACCTCGGATCTTAGACTTTCGTATTAGAATAAACCTAAAAGACTTAGGATGATAAGAGATTTACCTTCTTCAATATATCTATAATTTGTTTAGAGCTAGATCGGTTAGTCTAAAACGAATAGGTTCGTTTATTAGACCACTCTAGCTTAACCTCTTTATTAGGTGGTGTCACTTTTAGCTTCCTAAGAAGCTCGTTTAAGCTTAGCTAGATTATATGCGTAATATATAGAACTCGGAATATTAAAGTATCCGATCGGCTTTATAACTAGATAGTCTTTTAGACATTAATTATTAAGGTGTTATTGTTAGTCGTATTATCTATAGTCACGGATAATACGCGGTCGGTGATTCTATGATCGCTAAGAAGCTAAGTCATAGTTTTACTTAGATTCTCACTAGTATATAAGCTATAAAGATACTTAAATCTAAGAAGAACTTTATAGTAATTCTAATCCTAATCAAGGAAGTAACCTATAATAGCTATAAATGCTTGCTAGAATAGGGATGTCTAGCAATTAAGCGCTATTAAAAGTTGACTTCTATCTAGAAGCCTTTAAAGAATCTCCTTCTAGTTACTTTCGACTATAGAGTTAAGGTAACGCCGTATATTTCGCGTAGATAGGATATTAACCTTACCTTAGGCTTACTAAATGACCTCTACTAGATCCTTAAACTAGGTATACTCAATGATTCGGAAGGGAAGGTGGGCGGCGGAGATAAAGTCTAGTATCGCTTTAACTAGACGCTCCTAAGATAAAGTTGGGCTTTTTAGGGGAGTTAGCTTTATAGTAGTATATAAAGATTAGTAAGAGAGGTATAAGAGACTAGATTTTAGATTTATAATATACCATCTATTTTAGTAGCTAATCAACCCTCTAGGTAGGCTTCCGAGTATAGGTGCCTCCCTTAATATATATATTCATTAGCGATGACCCGGCTCGGCGATATCTTAGATGAATAATTGTATAGAGATATATTGTATATATAACTTTTGGCTTGCCGGTCTTCTTATATATAACTTGGTTAAAGTGATCCTAGATATTAGATGTCTTTTTCCTATCCTAACGGATAGAGTTTTATATATTAGGCTTTAATCCAAACTCTATAGTTAACCACCACCTTATAAAGCTCTTATGGGATTTATCTATTTCGCTACTAGGCTTAGAGGAAAATAGGACCTAGTACCGCTAAAGAGGGAGACTAACACGAGAAAGTGAGGAGGGTGTAATTAGAGATAAAACTTCTAATATAGATATTAATAGAGTTTGGCTACTAATAAGATCGGAGATATTATCTGAATAAAGTAGGTTAGTATTCAGACCTAGATCTAAATTAGCGTAAAAGGAGTACTAGGACTAAGATGCCTATAAGTAAGATATATTACACTTAATCACGGGTTATATAGAAGTAGGGAGAGAAAAACGTATATATAGGACTAGCTAAGAATATTAGGGGTATAGTGGTCGCGACTCGCGGGCGCGTTTTCGATATATCTCTAACTTCTAATAGCGATAATTAGCTATTACTAACCACTAGTGCGGATATTTGAGGACAATTAAGGATATATTATAGATATCCGTATAGATATCCGCGGATATCCTTAATTATCCTTAGGTATTAGTTTTAAAAGATAATAAAATCACTAAGTCTATAATATCAGAACTTCTAACCAGGATTTCTATATAATATTATAAAAAAACATAGTCTGAAAACTTAAAATAATTTAAAGATAGGCTTAGACCATTTATTTCATATTAAACTTATTAGATTTAACTAAGAAATGGCGATTTTAATCATATATATTTTATTTAGCTAAAATGCCCTATACTACCAAATAGAGCCAATATATATTTCCATTATAACGTACCATGGAACGATAAAAACTTACCTACATCTTCTAATATATTCTGGAAAATAAAATTGACACCATAAAGAATAACCAAACGATAAATGTTGTATATTACATGATTATTTCTTAATATTTCATT